CCGGGGAACCAGGGGTTCTTATGTGGCAGCTCAAAAAAAAAAAAAAAAAAAAAAAAAAAAAAAAAAAAAAAAAAAAAAGGCAAAGCAAAGCAAATCTAAGAATGGTAACTACAGCTAGACACCACCTACCATGAAGCCTACAAATTCACCGCCGCGCACGGCCTCCCCGGCGACCTGCACGAGTTCCACATCACAGCCGACGACACTGTCCTCCTGACGAGCTACGACCGCCGCCGTGCCAATCTCTCCGACATTGAATCCGGCCCCGCGGAGGGCTGGATCTGGGAGGGCACGTTCCAGGAACTCGACATCGAGACGGGCAGACTGCTCTTCGAGTGGCGGGCCTCGGAGCACTTTGCCTTCGCGGACGTCGTGCGCGGCCGCGAGGGCAACGGCGAGTCCGAGGACAATCCCTGGGATTTCTTTCATATCAACAGCGTCGATAAGGACCGGCAAGGCAATTTTCTGGTCTCGGCCCGCTATGCGAACTGTCTGACGTATATCGATGGGCGGACGGGTGAGATTCTGTGGCGGTTGGGGGGGAAGCGGAATGATTTCGTAGACATTTCGCCATCAGTTGCAGCTGCTGCTGCAGCTAGTACAGAGAGGGGGACAGAGGCGATAGGCCCGGCAACGAATTTCACCTGGCAACACCACGCCCGCTTTCGCGATAACGACACCGCCATCACCCTCTTCGACAACGCCTCGCGCGGTGTCGGCGCCCCCGCCCTCCCCAGCCGCGGCCTCTACCTCGACCTCGACCAAACCCGCAGGACGGTCAGTCTGCGCCACGAGTACCGCACCACCCCCGATAACCCCCTCAGCAGTCAATCGCAGGGCAGCCTGCAGCTGCTGGATAACGGCAACGTCCTGGTCGGGTATGGCTGGAACGCCGCGTGGACCGAGTTCTCGCGCGCCGGCGAGCCGCTGTGTCGCGTGCATTTCGGCCCCGAGCGCGAGTTTGGTCTCGGTAATATCCTCTCCTATCGCGTCTTCAAGCACCCCTGGCACGGGCGGCCGACCACGCGTCCGGATTTTGAGGTGTATAGGTATCGCGCGGCGGTGAGTTGGAATGGGGCTACGGAGGTGGCGAGGTGGGGATTGGAGGGGGCGAATGGGAATGGGGGTGATGGGGGGCATGATGTCTTCGAGCGTATCGTAAATGTCTCGAAGGCGGGGTTCGAGACGGCTATTTCTATCCCCGAGGATGCTGTTGCATATCGCTTCCTCCGGGTGGTGGCGCTGAATGCCACGGGCCATGTGCTTCGCGCGTCGAGGATTGCGCGCTGGGATCCTGCGGCCGAGGAGGCGGTTGTCGTCTCGGGGGCTGAGGAGGAAGAGGAGGATGGTTTGGGGCTGTCGGGGAGGTTGTCTTTTGGGTCTGCGGTTGCAGGATTCTTGCTCAGTGCGCTTTTCCTGGCCGGTGCAGTCTACATTGTACGTCGATTCAGGTTGGGATCTGGGTTCCGAGGAGCGCGTCGTCGAGCTCTGGACCGGGAAAGAGGAGAGTTCCGGCCTTTGAAGGGCTTGGATGAGGATGAAGAACGTCCGAGCGATGTCGAATGTGAGGACGGCGTGCAACTTGACTCTTTGTTGCGACAGCAGAAAGACTCTCATCCGGAGGGCGACAGAGGCAGGCATACGGCATCGCGGGGATCGTTATGATCTTGTGTTGACTCCGATGTGACAAGCGATCTGCCTGGGGATCTGTATGAATTCAGCAGTACGGTTCTCATGTGGTCTAACGATCTTCATCCACCATGATAGTACTGTTTCGCATGGTTTCTTTTACCGGGCGGAAACAACTGCTACAACCTACGCATCAACTGTGGGAAACACATGGGGCCAAAGCTCAATAGATATTCATGTTAACGAGTGCATAACCAGCGCATCCTCAAATCCGCCAGCCTTATCATGTTGACAGTGTGTTGCTGTAGCAAGAATCTTCTCTTGGCAGAATCAAGCAGAGGCAACCAGCCGACGGAATCCACCTTGGTCGGCCACCTCCTTCTGCAACTCCGCCATGCGCTTCTGATCGCCCAGCGGATCGGTGGAGTCAGCATCCAGCTCCCAGGACAAGAACTCGTTGGTGTAATTGGCCTGGAAGTCCGCATCCAAGATCCCCAGCCGTTTGCCGTAGTTGGTGACCTTGTTCCAGTCGCGCTGGACGTTCTTGAGGTCGCGGCTGAAGTATGCGAACGACCGCTCGAAGATCTGCCGGTTGACCGGGGTGCCCATGATGGGCTTCATGGCCACGTACTCCTCAAACGCCTGGGCGGGCGAGGCGAGGACGTACTCGGTCGCACGCTTGACGGCCTTCATGAACTTGCGGACACGCTCCCCGTTAGCGGCCAGGAAGGCGTCGTTGGCGATGTACAGGATCGAGCAGAAGCAGCAGCAGCCGAGCTCAGCGAGCTGGTCGATGCGCAGCATCTGCACGTCAGTACGCGGCCGGTTCTGGCTCGCCAGCCAGTTGGCCAATTCGACCATCTGCACGTTCTCCAGACCGATTCCCGCGTCAATGGTACCCTCGATGATCGCTTTAGTCACGTTCATACCACAGCGCACAGCAGTGTAGTCGTCCGCCGTCATGCCGTAGTATTTGGTCAGCTCGTCAATTTGGATCTACAGTTGCGAGTCAGTATGATAACGGGGACAGGTGCTTTGCAGGGTACGCTACGCACCTTGCCAAACTCGCCGACGTAACCGATTCTCTTACCCTTCAGGGAGCGAAAGTCCTCAGTGATTCCGCCACCCTTGAGGTAGATGACTCCGGTGAAGGGCTCATCAAGGAGAGAGCCGATCGAGGTGACAGGAAAGTTGCGAGCTTTGGCCTACATCGACATTAGTGACCAGTGGAGGCTATTGCTGGGCAGCACGTACAGCCAAAGTATGAATCATGGCCTTGAAACCCATGTCCACCTTGCCGCTTCCGATGATCTCGGTGACATCGGAGGGGTCATTGGGCTCGAGCAGGGCAACCTTGAGACCCTCCTCATTGAAGAAGCCTTTGCTCTGCGCAAGGTACAGTGGGGCGTGGTACGGGGTCGCGTGCCTTAACACAGAACTTAGCAGGGCCCACAAATATAGTCTCTGTGAGCAGCGTGAGTGCATACCAGTTGGTCAGGAAAGTGATCTTGTCAGTAGACATCTTGGCACAGAGTTCAAGTCAAGAAGATCAAAGTACTGGACATTGTCAGCAATGGGGAGACAAGCTCCCCTTCCATCTTGGTTGCAGGGGTATGGAACAATCAGTGCCACGCATGTCCTTTCGCTAGTATTATCTAGATCAAGTTATGACAGTATAATCTCAGAACGATCGAGTCCCTGCCCTCAAGACACAGCCAGTGCTGCGGCGTAGGAATTCACCACTGGCCGGGAATTGAGGACAAGGCCCCGAGTCGAACACCTGTCATGCGCGAGCCGTGACTGCCATTATACTAGTACGATACCTTGATCCGTGTGAACCCCTAGCGAGAAGACCCGGAAGTCATCCTGATTGCGTAGCCTCATTGTGATGGCCGTACCGGACGATAGTGTAGTGCGGTGAAGGTTGGATGATTGAAAGTTGGGAGCAGAAACAGAGGAAGTTTGAGTGATAGAAGGAAGAGTAAGAGGGAGAGGAAGAGGAAGAGGGGAACCGGAAGTATAAGTAAATAAGGCAGAGGGAGGGGAAACCCCACCTCCATCACATGTACATACTGTTGTGTACGCCGTAGCGTGTACACACAAAGTACACACAGTCCAGGGTTCCTCACCGAGAGACAGGGGGGATTATGCTCCCAAAGTCTAAATGGGCCAGACTTGCTGATCGTCTCGCACGTCTCTGCTCCGAAAGACCCCCACCACTGGGCCCTCCATTAAATCACTCAACCTCTTGGCGTCTTTGAGGACAATCCTTCCTTTACAAGTATCGTCTGATTTCGGACTAACTTACTTGTACGCTCAGTGGACAAGCCCACCTGCATGGCTAGCACCAGATTATATTACAGAAACCTGCTATACACAAAGTGGTTCAAGCATTCGAGTATCCCATGTTCAATCTGTGAGTGGGGGGAAATGTACAAGAGGCATAACGGAAAAGGGAACTAATCAATATCAGATAAGGGACTAAAGAACCAAGCTGGAGACACCAGACCGTACGGACAGGCAAGACTGTAATCTCACGCGGCAATGTAACGATTCGCTTTACCAGGACTACAAATTGGGAAAAGTCGACGTAAGTCAAAACTGCAAGCATGCTTGGACGAACAAAAGAACCGCAGAAAATGCAACAACTACATAACAATAGGCTTCACATCAAGAGGTAAGGAATTTGGGTCTGTTGGTATCGTATGGACAGTCAATCATGCATCACCGTTCACCGAAAGCCGGTCGAGGGGGGAGGCAGGCCGGTCGCCAGCTTTCTTCGTTCTGAGGGTGAGAGGGAAGTAGTGGTCATCTGGCTCTTCTTCCTCGCTGGTCCTGTGCATTGAAATTTGGTCAGCGACTAGATCTTTCACCTAGTGATGTATCATCTTTCGACTTACGGGAGTCGCCAGGCGACGTAGTCCTCCGTGCTGAGCCCTTCCTTCACCTCCTGAAGCGAGGCAAAATCCCCAGGCGTCATCATGCCGGAACGATCTCTGGGAGAACCGGGAACAGATAGAGGGCGCGAGATCTTCTGCTCTGTGCCTCCGATGATATCGTAAACGTCATCACCGTTTCCAAATGACGAAGGGTACGCTGCATACTGATGAGTATTCGAACTTGTGACCATGTTGCGAACAAATACACACCTCTGCGCAAAGCAAGTTGTCGGGCTTTGACATATTCCAGTCCCATCCGCTTCCAGTCCAAAAGATCGCTCAGTCTCTCGGTCCGGTTCCTCTGGTTGATCCGTTGCCGCCGGCTCTTCTGAGTGAAGTTGAACATAAAGTCTGTAAGCTGATTCACAGAGTCATCCACCCCTTTCATCCGACGGTCCACGATATAGATACCATAATCGGACGAGTTCTCAATCAATTCCTCCATGTAGCAGCCGAAACCAGAAAGGTTGGTGGTGATGCTAGGGACTCCCATCACGGTACACTCGGCTGGAGTGTATCCCCACGGCTCATAGTAAGACGGGAAAACTCCAAGGTGGGTGCCGCGCACAAAGTCATCATAGTCAAGCGGAAGCACTGGGTTCGATGAGTTCAAAAACTCGGGGTGGAAGACCACTTTAACCCGGTCCGAGGAGTGGTTAAATAATTGCACCCGACGGATCTGGTTCAGAATTGGGTCTTCATGGTCGTTGACCATGTTGTGGGTAACAATAGGTGGCAGGCCGTGGCGTTTCATGGCAAACAACCGACGGCGCAGCAGGACGCGATCTTGGCTAGTGATCAAGTCCTTCTCATCCGGCATGTTGTCACCCTCCTTCCATGCCAAGGAACGCTCATACATACGCTTTCCAATGCCCTGCTCAATGTTGTGGATTGTCTCTCGAAGCGACTTCACGACAGCTTGGCCTTTCAGCGACTCCACAGTAAGTGAGGAGGTCTGGGCAGGCATGATGATGAACGCAACGACTGTTGTCTTCGATCCACTGGATTTCAGGCGGTGGTTGAGACGTGCCAAGCTCTCGATGAACATATCCACACCTTTGTTGCGGAACTCATAACGACCAGCGGTAAACACATACAGAGTGTTGTCTAGATCGAAGTCGTTGTGCCCGTAAAAATGGCCCCGAACAAAGTCGTTGATCTTCTCCTTTGACTGCGAGTGCAGGTTCTGAAACTCGTGCACCGCTGAGAACTTCTTTACATTCAAGCCGTTTGGTAGCACCCCATCCGGCTTCCGCTTGAGCAAGTGCTCACTTTCAAAAGCAGTGATGTGCGAAACGGTTGTGAAGACATCGGCTGTGTGCGCAGCAGCTCGCTCGATACAGTATCGATGGTAGATGCCGCGCTTGCCCGCCTCTGCATCCACGTCAAAGTGCTGCAGGTTGTTGTAGAAGTCTACCGAGCCTGCGCATAGGTAGCGACCGAGCAGTGTAGCGTGAGTGGTGAAAATCGTGGTGAGGTCCATATGGCGCCGCTTTGTCAGGGGAAGAGCAACGCCCGCAAGCCACTCGTGGAAATGCGCCACGACTGCTTTCTTGCGCTCGTGTGCAATGAACTAGCCATTCAATTAGCACAGGTCACTAGACATACTGGACTTTCGCTTTCACCTACTTCACCGAGGAACCAGGCCACCAGGTAACCAAACACAATGGTCTCATTCGTCTCTGTATCTCCCGCAGGAGAGGGAATACCAGCGGTGTTCCACAGATCGCCTTTCCACTCGTCCAAGTACTTGTATCCGGTTGAAGTGTCGATGAGAAGCACACGGGGCGCACCTTCAATCAGCCAACGGCCATAGACAATCTCAATACCACGCTCTTTCATGGACTGGATGGTCTCAATCAGTCGCGGGTTCGAGGGAGTCAGCTCCTCGACCTCCACAGCTGCAGAGGCCCGATTGAGCGGGCCGATCAGCGTGTATCTTTCCCCATACTCGGCGGTGGTAACTGGAGCTTTGGACTTGAGGACGGAATAGATACCTCCCACGCGATTGGCAACCTCTGTTGCAATCTCAAAGAGCAGATGGTTGCGAACATCTCGCTTGGGAGGATCTTGACCGTTGTCTTCACTCGCCATTGTGCACTGTAGAGCTGTGTAGCTGTGTAAGTGCTAGAAAGCGGGTGCGGAGGAAGCTCCAACAAGCTAGAAACCAAGAGAAGTCGACGATGAGCTACTTGAACTCGCGTCACTTGGGGGAGATTTAGGGGGTGAGGATAGAAATGTAGAGGGGAAAGTAAAGAAGTAAAGGAAGAGAGAAAAGAGGAAAAAATTGGCCAAAGGAAAAGAGAATCCCCAGGAGGAGGAGATGGTGGTGACGTGCGGGGAGGAAATTCAAGGTGGGTGGCGGGGGTGGGAAGGATGAAGGAAACAGGCAGGACGAGTGACTACTACTACTACTAGACCACTACTAGTACACAACGGAGTTCAAGGTTCAATCAAATACGGAGTTTGCAACCGCCAACCTGAACTTTTCCTCTTCTCATTTCCCTTCCTTGTGTTTGGTTGCCAGGGACAATTTTAAACCCCAACCCCCAGCCTAGCACAGCACAGGGAGGGGAAGGGCCAATTCTTAGCTTCACTTTCCTTCCTTTCCTACCTTCGCTTAATTATGGGTATCCTTTGTGTGTCTCGCTGAGCTACTCACTAAACGATTGGCGTTGCACGGACACATCCCCAGTCCTGGCCTCGGCCTTCGTCTGGAGACCTTGGAAGAGGAGCCGGCTAATGACAACCCCCGGTTGGTCCCGTCAATTGCAGAATCATCCGACCAGATGATGATCCGTGAGAGAGCTGCAAGCGTTACAGCAGACTGAGGTTACCCGCGATGATGATGCTGCAAGTTTTACGTTTTGTCGCCTCCTTTGGACAGATATCCCAAGCAACACAGCCAGTACAGGAAAACAGGGAGGCTCCAGTTGTCAGCTAGTAACTATTTTATGTGACACAAGGGGGAACAGGATTCCCGCCCATGAACGGGGGGGAAGTGACAATCTCGTATTAGAAACCATCCCCCCAATGTAATGGTTCCTGTTCTTATCAATTGTAACGGTGTCGTCCCCTTTTTCTTCTTTTCTTTTCTTTTCTTTTTTTTTTCCCTTTTTTGTTTTTCTCTGAATAATTCTAAATTGTGGTTCCCTTCAGCAAAAAACCCACAGTGTAGGCAAATGTACCTCCCAACCCAGAGATTGACTCCGCTTGGCTCCGACCAGCCGCATTGGGTAAAAACTTGGGTAAATCTGGGTAAATCTGGGCAAAAAAGAATCTGGGGAAAGCTGTCGCTGCTGGCTCTGACGTCACCGCCCGCCGCCCACTGCCCGCTCGGTCTTCCGCCTGCCAATCGTCCCTCTGATGGTTTTTATTCTGATGCAGAGCAGCAGCCACCCCCTCGTGCTGATGTGCAAATCATCAACTTTTCTGTACTGTACCTTTTTCTTCCGAGCAATTGAATTGCACAATCCAGCATTCATGGTTGTCTGGTTCGCACAATTGAGTTCGCCATGATTCACTTCCAACTCATACTCTCCCGAAACTCGCTCTCTTACCGCTTGGCCTTGAATCGTCAGTAATAGGACATACAGCCAGACATTTAACAAGCCATGGCTCCTCTTGCGGGCTCTGTTGGAGCGGTTCTGCACCGATCTCCATCGAGCATCAGATCGTTTGCGCGCCAGGCGCTGTCTCAGGTGACTTGAGTGCGTCAATGGTCTCTCCTTGGTGGCTCAATTGACAGTTTTCTACACAAACGATTCCTCCTGATCGATGAAATGGTTCGGTACTCGAGCGAACAGCAGCCAGCCTTGAAGTCAGAACCTACCTTCTGCCATCTTCCCCGCCCCCACTTGCCACCAACGTTGGACCATCGTTCTCCACTCCATCCTCCGCCCACAACATCTACTGCGTACATCTAAACTATGGTGATAAAGCAAGTCCAAGGTCACTTCCGTGGACTCATATCAAAGTCGAGTTCTCGGACTCCCTGGAAAATCCTGCAGGAGTTCTGGAAGTCCTTTCAGAAATCAAACGATCCTCCATCTCAACCGGACGTCAAGCACCGATGCCCTCCTGTGTCGTCCGACGCCCCAGCCATCAACTACAATTGCATTTCGGCCGTTGTCGGCTGTGATTACATGCACGCACCGCTAGAGAGGCTCATTGTTGTCAATCCTGACCCGGTGTCCGAGTCGGAGAGTATCCGCTCGCTACGACCGTTTCTCTCACCTGCCATGAGGTCGACCTCTCATACCCCCTCTCATGCGTCCACACGACCAGAGTCGGAATCTGCGGGCAGCATACGCTCGCTACGACCATTCATCTCGTCTGCAATGCGATCAACCTCCTTTACTCATTCTCTCACCTCGGTGCGAAGCAATCGTCCAGAGAGTCGTCTGTCGAATGTCGATGCCAGACCTGTACTGTCTGAGCCGCAGGAGGGTACTGGCTCTTTCGAATGGAGCCAGGAAAGCATTGATCTATACAACTTTTGCATGCAAAGTGGCGTCCGGGCCCAGCGCAGCCGCAACTTGCCCCCAGGCTTGTTCTATCTACCTGACAGTTGTGGATAGGCTGGGGCGGTTCTGGGAGTTTTAAGAGCCAAGCTAGGCCGGCGTGTCTCTGGGCGCTGGGTTGCATTAGTTTGAATTCGGTTTCAGTCACGTCGTCAGATACCCTTGCATGCTGGAGTTTAGGATCCACTTTCTGTTCAATACATTTACCACTTTGGTTCTCAAGTACAGATCTCTGCTCGCACACGTAGGGTCTCGGCCTGCTCGGGCAAGCCAGTAGTTAACTTCCGAGGGTAGACCATCTCCGCTGCCGCGTTATCCTCGATGCACAGTGTTCCCTCCCATTTCCTCGATCTGGAAGACGCACACAGGGCGACCTTCAGCAGCTGTATTCCGACTTGACCTTTGCACTATGACATGCCATTCAGAATCTCTACAGCGTTTAACTCTACGCAGCTGACGACTTCGTGTCTAGGGGAGCTCTCTCGATTTACCTTCACGGGAGCGACCATAATCCAGTCACGAGGCTCAACCCCTCTCAGCTGCCCCTAAACGAAAGACCAAAATAACCGCGATCCTCTGAACTCTGACACTTTGTGAGAAGTGTCCTTCTTCCTTCAGTCCTTGTTCTTCTTCTCCTGCTACTGTGTACTGGCCAAGTCAACGCTGCGACCGGCCCGCTTCCGCCGCACGAGCTACTCCGCAATGGGCCCATCCATCTCAAGCAGTCCAGACTCACCACCACAACTCTACCGATCGGATACGCGATAACTAGTCTATACAGCGATACACTATACACTGTTTCCCCCCTCTCCCACTCCTCCAGGAATAAAGCAACCAAGCCCCCAGCCTCTAGTCTCACCCCTAGCTTTTCCCCACCATCCCCATCATCACCAAGTTCCCCCAACAGAGCCCCGAAAAAGGTTCCCCGGTGGCTGCCCCTCGGCTCAATTGAATCAACCCCACGGCTAAAGATCCCGATCCCCTCGTCCTCCGCCCGCAACCAAGTCCAACGGCGGCGGTCACATGTTTCGGCGCATCGCACCCCTTACCCTCCCCTTTCCCGAGCCGTTTGCGGCATCAGCCCAGCAGCTGCACCACAACCGCACGAGTTGAACACTCCGAAGTGTCTCCGGGCCGTGGACAGTCAGTCAACGCGACCACACCCGGCCTAGTGCTCACTGCGCACGGCGCGACGCTTGCTCGGAAGACATTCGCCCCGTTCAACCCGGTGGCGTGGTCATGAACGTGAGCTAGAGGCGCGGCAGGGAAAGTTCAAGTCGTCGTGTGAGATCGTGCTGTGGGCTGTGGGCTGTCGGAGCCGGGTCGCTTCGGTTATTGCAACTCTGCGACTGGTGAACGATGAGTCTACTGAGTGCCGAGGGTGGCCGGGAAGTGGGGACTCGGCGTGTGATTTGTGTTGCTGCTCAGTGCTGAGGGTGGTGATTTGTGTGTCTATTGGGTATTTGGAAGGGATTGGGGTTGAGGGGGTTGGCAGAAGGGTTATAGCTTGCGTTATACTCAGGTCACTGGTAAACGGTCTACTGTGTAGAGGATTGTTTTATCGAGTGTGGTTGTGGGTATATATTCGGACGGTGAGGGCGTAATCTGGGATTGAGCTTAGGATTGAGCTTGGGATTGTAAGCTGGAGGCAGTAAGCTATCCCCTCGCGTAGGTACGTGCTTTCAGTCTGCTACACAGCTTTATGTTTCTCTCTTGTCTCAGATTGAGCACTGGGCTGGCTGGCAAGACGATGTTGATGGTGGTAACACAGATGCTGCAAGGCGGGCCAACGGCGACAACTGGCCAACGCTGCAGCTGAACAATTTGTCGATTTCCTTCTCTCCATCTGCACACCACCCTTCCATCCATTCGATAAATCCCAATAAGTACTGGTATCCAGAACGATAAAGAAACACAAATCGAGATCACAGATCGATCCGATCCAGATCAATCGGACTGAAGGTCACCTCGAAGGATCCCTTTAGTGTAACCTTGAGAACCCCTGCCGACCGGGTCTCCCGCAGCAGCACCGACAGTCGGATTCCCGCCTGTATGCCGCAGCACCGTGCACCGAATCACAGACCCTTACGGGTGTACCTACACAGTACCTCACCTCCCTCAAATTATTGTATGGCATGCGCACCATCACTTACCCCTCGCCGATCCATACCCAGTCCGAGTTGGCAGCGAAGGGAACTTCATCGAACGGCAGAGAGTGTCAGGGTACCTGAGTGATCTCTAACCGGGTCGTACAGTATGAAGTCATTGGGTGGGGGAGGACGATGACTGATGACCTCACAATGCTGTCAGCCACGACTGCTGCGATGCCCACAAAATCGATGAACACATCACCACTTGGAAGGGAGCATACAAGCATATAAGATCGGTCCCTTGCTTTGTCCACTCAGCATTCCTACAAGACACACACACACACACACACACACACACACATCAAGACAACAAAGCACAAGCAAACTAATTCAACTACATCTGTAAGTTGATTTCCGCTGGGAACAGCCAGAGCAGGAAGATTTGAAACTGAAGCTAATCATCTAATTTGGGCAGCTACCTACCTACCTTCCTACCTACTTTTATCAACAATTCACAATGCCTCGCGGAGCTGAATACGACGACGGTGTCCCCCACAGCGACAACGCTATCGAGGCCGGCCAGACCAAGGCCCACGGTACCGGCTCGGATGTATGTCCCATCCCCTCCCCTCCCCATCCTCTACCTAACCAAAACCTCTCCTCCCATACACACACACATAGTTACAACAACATGGATACTAACAACACTCCCAAAGAATGACACCCTCAACCGTGCCCAGCGCACCGCCCCCCTCCCCGAAGCCGCCCAGAGCAGTGGCGGCACCTACAGCATCCAAGGCGGCGCCGGTCACAGCAGCGGCAAGGGCGGCCACGAGCCCAAAACCCTCGGTGACAAGAAGGGTCTCGGTGCTTTGCCTGGCCAGTAAGCGAAGCATATGTTGAAATGCATAGATCTACTTCCACGCGGACAACAAAGTCCTGAAAATTGGGGATTCCTGTTTGCATGGTTAGAATGGGAGTCCCGGGTGTGTTGTTCTTTTTTTACCTGGTGACACTCATGAGTGGAAGGTGGAGTGCTGGGATATGATTGATGATGGATATGGATGGTTGAGCCAACTATTTTTGTATGATTACTTTTTTCGGGAGGGGCTTGGAGATGATATGTGAAGATCGTCGGTCTGGGAGCGATGATCGGTGGCCTGCCTACTCTACTTACTGGTTAGGTAGGGGTTTATTCTCTTTCCTTATATTAAGAAAGATTAATGGACTTTGTTCATTGGATTGTGGTTCTTGATACATTGCTGGGGAAGGGTAGGTTATTAGTATTAGTCTAGTGAGTTATGTTCGGTTGTTGATATGGTCTCATAGAGCATTCCATGTCAGACACAGACAGCAGCATGTGTGATAGTACGATGTTCTGCAAGTATTATGTAGTGCTTGAATTAAGTATCTATATTAGAAGAAAAGCGCACTCGGACCACAGCCCAGGAAGTACATGATGTCTCTGCTCGGCAACTCGAGTATACTCCGTATGTACAGTCTACGTACTGACCATGCCCTAAAGCTCAGAGCCTCACAAGTCAAACAAACAAGCTGATCTCGTCAAGACAGGGCCACCAGACGATTCTATTTCTGGCTCCGGCCTGTGTCAGTCTCGGACGACACCTTCGTCCCGTCCGGGCTGGGCTCGCGTGTCTCCGGGGTAAGGCTCTTCTGTTGCACCAGCTCCAGAAGTCGCTGGCCTAAATCCCCAAAGCCATCGATCTTGCTGAGCTTGGTTTGGAAGTGCTCCGCATCACGTTGCAACCTACAAAAAATTAGCTGCATCCACACACTTGAGGTCGAATCACTTACCGCTGCTTGGCCGCCTCCGAAGTCACCTTGACCTCGTCAAAAGCCTTCGTCCAGTGCTCACGATAGCTCTTGAACACAGGATCCATGATCATCATGACCGTCATGTCGGGGAGGTGCTTGCTCAGAACCCGGTGCAAGGTGCCCGTCTCCTTGGCCAGCGTCTCCATGTACGGGCTCACTGTGGTGGTTCCGGCAGAGGCGTCCCAGTCGATCTTCTTCATCGCGTTCACGTGGATGGCAGACCGTGACCCCATGATGTCGACTAGTTTTTCGTGGATGCCGTTCTGGTGCTCCTGGTACAGACGCTTCACTTTGTCAAACTCGCCCATCAGCGGACTCGAGGGCGCGTGTCGCCGGACGAACTCGCGAACATACGGCACCAGGGCGATGATGAAGCTAAGCGCCTGCGAGGATAGAGCAAGGTGTTTCGTGGTAATATTCTTCAGACCGGCACTTCGCGTGGCACCGGCTCCCAGGATCAGCTGCGAGGACCGGGAATTGAACAGCTTCAACGACTCCAAGAGCCCCGGTGCGATGTCCTGCATCATACTAGGTATATTCGCCATAAGGAACTGAAAGTCTTCGATGCTCTTCATCATCGCGACCCCAGACTCGGTGAGTATATACTTCTGCTCGTCGATTACCGCACTCCGCAGCTTCTCCTTGCCCGTACCGTTGGTTGTCGACTGGCTGGCGGGTTTCGAATCCTGACGTCCGTTCGCAGACAGCCAGATCTTTGAAGCATCGGTCCAGAGCTCAACGTCCCGCGTACTTGCACTGAGGATCCGTTCCAGGATGGCGTTCTCGGCCTCTCCGAAGTCTCGAGCGTCCCACTTATCAGAATCCATGACTTCGACGATGCGGCGCCGTTGACCGTCGCCAAACCGGTTGATATAATCTCGAATCTGGTTGCCCACAACTGTTTTCAACGCGGTGCCACCTCTGCCAGAAATAGCTTCACATTCGTCTGCAAAGAGTCGATTGAGGGTAAAATACTTGAGGAAGTCCTCCATCGGCAACTGCGCTGTTTGCTCCGACCGAACTTTCAGGACTTTGACAACTTGAGATTGGGCGATGTCGACAGCTTGACCTAGAAGACTGGACATATCTAAGACCTGTAAGATCTCGTTTTGCGCCATGATAGCTGCGGTCCTCTCTGCGTCCAGCGTCGGCGTCGTCGGACCTTGCGGGTTTGGACTCGGGGGCCCAGAGCGCACCCCCAACGAGACAGGGCTTCCTAATCCACTAGCGATATCGAGGAGAACTTTAACCTGAACACTGAGTCTTCTTAAGGACTCACTGATGCCTGTGTATACCTTGGCTAGCATCTCATATGAGTCCTGAGCGTCCAAGGCGCGAAGATTGCGCGCAAGTATGGACGACTTCTCCTGTTGGCTTAGCTGTTGAGACTTGTGCGTGGACACAGACACCACTGATTCACTGTCATCATCGCTGGAGCTCGGCATATGTTTGCGAATAAGACTCTTCATCTCTCGTAACACTGCGGTCTTGAAGGAAGTCGCCGCAGGCGTTGTGTGGCGCACACGAGCCAGACCGGTGAGGTGAGTGCGCAATGTTGACCGCAGTTGCTCATCGAAATTCATATAGGCGGGTGATTGTGCAGCTCCAGGGCGTGCACCCCGTTGTCGCTGAAAAGAGAATCCCCATCGCTGTAGCGTCGTATCCAGCGGTACCGTTTCGACATGCTGTCTGAGATCGCCAAGGAGGTCGCTGAGGAAGCGGCTCTCATAGCCGCTACCGATCCGGGATCTCAGCTGATCCAGGTCCTCGGATGCACCCTCAAGCGCTTTGAGTCGCCGCAGGTCGACTGTCCTCCTTGGCTGTTGTAGTTCACCAGTCGCAGACAGACTTGCAGCATCTTCTCCTGCCATCAATCTTTCCACTTCCTCAAGGCCATCGGCGGCCTCCTCGATATCACCCTTCTCGACGAGCGCTTCACATCTAGACACTGACTCGACAACGTCGCGAAGCTGGGCCACGGCATCGGCCAGCATACGTACATTCTCTCTCCGTCGGCGCAGGTTCACAATCTTCAGACCACCCAAGGCCATCTCACGGTCAATCTTCTGTAGATCCTTCCGCAATACTTGGATTCGTTTCACTGAGTCAGCAGCTTCTGCATGAAGCTCTCGCAAGGACCCGAGGGCGGTAAAGAAGGATTTAGAAGCCGTTGATATGGACGAAATTAGATGGATCTCTACAGTGTCCATGTACCAAGAAAGCTTTTCTTGCAAGATAGCATTCGTAGCGAGAGCTTTCCTCCCAGCAGCAGCTGACTCCACGGCGGCTCCGTTCTCCGATCTGTCCTTTGACATGATGATTCCAGCCTTCTCGGACACCACGTCAAACGTTCTTGGGTTTTCGAGGTGGAAATCATCCTCGAAGTAGACCGCTGGGATTGTGGACAAAGGAGTGACGGCATGGCCCCGGCCGCGGCCAGCGTATGAACGTCTCCTGCCCCGTGTGTCGTATGGAGAAGTCGCTCGAGAGCTGCTCGATAAGGTTGACGGTCGGCGGTCTCGCGACCTAGGAACTAGAGAATCCGCCTCTTCCGGCCTTGGTGAAGCCTTACCGCCTCCCCGCACTAATTGCGACTCCTGCTCCGTATTGCTCTCTTTGGCTTGCTGAAAGGCATCATACAACGACCCTACTTGTGCAAGGTACGAGTCGAAGACTTTGGAGTCAACGTGCGGGATATTGGTCAAGGTGACAGGAGGGATGTCCCGAGTCGTGGGGGGTTTGTATCCGGCGGTGGCTACGGCGGTATGGGGCACAAGACCCGTGCGGACGATCGGAGGCTGCAGAAGGGTAGAGATTGCTGTGGTCGACAAGTTTAGGTGGCCATTCAATGGTCATACCAGGGTCAAGAGAAGTCGTACCATTCTGTCCAGACTCAGCGATGGAGCCGTGTCTGCTCGCAGGATCGAGAATTCCTCCGATACTTGCGATCGAGCTTGCGGTCGAGCCCCTCCTCAAGGGGAGGCGTTGCGATGAGATTCGAGGGGACTCGATCTGTGTGAATGAGAATTGAGATAAGGAAGGTGTTGAGGCGCCTGAGGCCAAGCTGTCAATCGACTTCCGGGGACTGGCAGACATGTTGTTGCCGGTATGGCGACTCCGAGACCCGCGGTCACCGTGCTGTTGGGGACAATCGCTCACTGAACATGACAAGTAGACAAGTGATCGGGGAACAAAGGCAATACCAGCAGCACACTAACAGGCTGCAAGTTTGCCGCTAGCAGACAAGACAGAACCGCCAGAGAGAGAACTTGTGAAGTCACAGGAAGCAATTGACATTGAATCTTGCTGCAACGTCACCCAGCTCCATCTGATACGGGGGGTTCATGATAGCTTGAGCCCAATCGGGTAAAGCGCCAGGACCCCCCGGGATGAGGGATGACAAAGACCCCTTCATGCCCCAAAGGGCTTCGGAACACGGAACTATGTTGATCCTGCAATCAACTATCTTGGGCCTCAGGCAGAAACCACTTAACGCGGGGAGCCGACGCGACGCGTTTCATTCGTGTTCCGTTGCTCAGGAAAGATATTTGCAGTTTCTCCTCGCAACGGGATAGTCCGAAAACCTACACACCTCATCACAAATACTTCCCCCACCTTCTATCACTTCCGTCACCACCATGGATAGACGCACCCCATATACTTTGAGCGTTCTCGCTCCCAGCGTCGATGGTGTTGAAGACTCTCGCAGCCAGATCCAAGCAAAATTGAGGGAGTTCGTCTTGGAATTTCAATTGGATAATGCTTTCATCTATCGGTATGTTGACGCCCGCCGCCGATGCCACATCTCGATACTGACCGGTTATCGCAGTGACCAATTGAGACAAAATGTCTTGGTCAAGCAGTACTTCTGCGACATCGATATCGCACACATGATCTCATATAACGAAGAGCTGGCTCACAAGCTTACCACCGAACCTGCAAACATCATCCCCCTTGTAAGTCTCTAAATCTACCTGAGGTCTTCGACGGGTCTAACTAACATCAACCCTTGCGCAGTTTGAGAATGCCCTTCGAGAGTGCACCCAGCGCATTGTATACCCCTCGCAAAGAGACATTGAACTTCCCCCTCATCAGCTCCTGCTCCACTCGTCCGCGACGCATATCTCAATCCGAGACCTCAATGCCACGAATATCTCGCATCTTGTGCGGATCCCAGGTATCGTCATCGGTGCCTCAACGATATCGTCCAAAGCCACGCAGATGCATCTCCGATGCAAAGGCTGCGGCTATACTGAGAACCTCACGGTCGAAGGCGGATTCGCAGGCATGCAGCTTCCGAGAAAATGTGGCCGTGAGAAACAACCAGGCGACCCTTCCTCGGAACCATGCCCGCTGGACCCGTATGTCGTTTCACATGAGAAGTGCCACTTTGTCGATCAACAAGTCCTGAAGCTGCAGGAGGCTCCAGATCAGGTACCCGTGGGTGAACTTCCTCGCCATGTCCTCATTTCTGCCGACCGCTACCTCGCCAACCGGGTCGTGCCTGGTTCCCGCTGCACGGTCATGGGTATCTTCTCGATCTACCAATCCTCAAAGGGTGGGAAGAAGGATGGCGCTGTCGCCATTCGCAACCCGTATCTGCGAGCAGTTGGTATCAGCACGGATCTCGACCACACCGCCAAAGGCAATGCAGTTTTCTCGGAAGAGGAAGAGCAGGAGTTCTTGGAGCTCAGCCGTCGTCCCGACTTGTATGAAGCCTTGGCACGCAGCATCGCCCCCTCAATTTACGGAAATTTGGACATCAAGAAAGCCATTGTCTGTCTGCTTATGGGTGGTTCCAAAAAGATTCTTCCGGATGGTATGAAACTGCGTGGTGATATCAACGTCCTCATGCTTGGTGACCCCGGTACCGCCAAATCACAATTGCTCAAGTTCACAGAGAAGGTCTCGCCTATTGCCATCTATACGTCCGGTAAGGGTTCGTCCGCGGCAGGTTTGACTGCTTCCGTACAGCGGGACCACGTTACGCGTGAGTTCTACCTGGAAGGAGGTGCCATGGTGCTCGCCGACGGGGGTGTTGTCTGCATCGATGAGTTCGACAAGATGAGGGACGAAGATCGTGTTGCTATCCACGAAGCCATGGAACAACAGACCATCTCGATTGCCAAGGCGGGTATCACCACTATTCTCAATTCCCGGACGTCGGTTCTGGCCGCAGCCAACCCCATCTTCGGTCGTTACGACGATCTCAAGACTCCAGGCGAAAACATTGATTTCCAGACTACCATCTTGTCGCGTTTCGATATGATCTTCATTGTGCGTGACGACCACGAGCGCAGCCGCGATGAAAGCATTGCCAGACACGTTATGGGTGTCCACATGGGCGGACGAGGCATTGAGGAACAAATCGAGGCGGAGATTCCTTTGGAGAAGATGAAGCGTTACATCAGCTATTGCCGCACGTATGTTGTTACTTACATCTCCCAATACTTTGACCAGATGTGCTAACGAAATCTACAGCCGTTGCGCTCCTCGTCTGTCCGACGAAGCAGCTGAGAAGCTATCGTCCCACTTTGTCACCATCCGAAAGCAGGTCCACCGTCACGAAGTCGACGCTGGGACTCGCTCTTCCATCCCCATCACCGTGCGTCAGCTGGAGGCCATTGTGCGTATCACGGAATCCCTGGCCAAGCTGAGTCTGTCGCCCATCGCGACGGAGGCCCACGTCGACGAGGCGATCCGCCTTTTCCTGGCCTCGACCATGGACGCCGTCAACCAGGGTGAGGGCCAGGGCAGCAAGGAAATGATGGAAGAAGCCAGCAAGATCGAAGACGAATTAAAACGCCGTCTCCCGATCGGGTGGAGCACGAGCCTGGCGACCTTGAAACGCGAGTTTGTGGAAGGCCGAGGATACACCGAGCAAGCCCTCCACCGTGCTTTGGTGGTTATGCAACGCCGCGACACGGTCCAGATCCGCTCCGGCGGTACACAGGTGTACCGACACGGTGTGTGATGGGATAGTCTCTGCTTTGATTTGGGTTTGGATTTCGGGTTTGATGTGAAGTGAACGGTCATGACTGCTGCTTTCTGATTATCATCTTTTGGCGGGATATATTGTTTCCATACCAGATTGGGTTCGGGCACAGCGAGGATGAACGGTGTATGGCGCATGTATGATTTTCCCCTTCTCCAGGTCGGTCTACGAACCGGCTTAACTATTAGAACAATCAATACCAAGCACATAATTTCCAAGACAAGACACGCGCATTGTTCGTCTGCAGGTTTTTTTTTATCGGTGTCAGCTATCCCTCATGCGAGGATGGAGCTTGACTGTCAGTGGAAAAATGTGGAGTTTGCCTCTCAGTAAAGTCCCTTCGCGGGCAAGCTGAGCCCAATGACAGCTGCCGTGCCCGCACACCGTATTGAGGAAAGGGCTCAAAGAGGATACCCGCTGAGACTGCCCTGCAGTGCAGTGCCAGGTGCTTTATCGGTAATTTAGCATCCCCCTCGTACCTCCGCAAGACGTAAGGTTGTGTGCATCAGCCCGAGAGCCGGACAGGACCAAGCTATACAATCGATCCTTCGTGGGTCTGGGGCTAACTTATTCTGCATACTTCTTCTTCTCTACGTCGAGCCTGCCTTCGTCTCCGGCTTCCGTTTGCTCTTCTCGATTTTCTAAGCGTGCAATCACCCTCATTCTCAAATGACTTGTCATAATGAGAGCCAGGGATCATACCACATCGACACGTGCAGTGCAGTTGGAACTACAAAGGACTGTAACTACCGAGTACAGTACACCACTCAAGTATGGAGGACTCTCCCCCCGGGGTTTTGGAGTCGTGGATCCTCACCACCGTACTGCATGCAACCAGACGAGCGCACCAGCCGCGCCACCAGGGCAATTCAAGTCATCATCAGCATGCGCCAACTAGCTATGTAATTAGTATGTTTCTAGGCATACGGTACTCTAGGTACCAGGTTCCTCTGTGTATCTGACTATGTCATACCGACAACCTTCCGGCGGCAACGAGCGACATCGCGAGGAATGTGGAATGCGAAGTGCGAGGCCACTGCCCTCCTGCCATTGCAGATCCCTAGTCCAGCCCAGTGCAGTCCAGTGCTCAGCGTGAGACGACAGAAGAGCACATGCGCAGACGGGAACCAAAGAAAAGAAAGCGTGAGGAATGCTTTACAGACTACAGTACTAAACTCCGTGGATTCCCTGCTCAGAGAGGTTCTGGCGCGTAGTTGGTCCTGAAGAGTGCTACGAGATACGGAGTACTCTTACGGGATGGATGTGGGCCCTGGGTCGAATGACAAGTGGGGATAATTTTAGAAAGCTTGCCTCGCTGGGTCTCATGTATGAGTATGAGTATGTTGAGAAGTGGTTGCGATTTGCGAGGTGCAGCGAGTAAGGACCATTTTAGGGGGGGCCGGCTGGTTGTCCGTGTTGTTTCAGTGGGATGCAGGCGATATTTTGGGAGGTTTGAGACTGGCTGGTGCTAGAGTAGGTGTGCGGGGGATTGGAGTGGGAATCGGATTTTGTGCTTCCAGGATAGGCGAGAACGGTGTTATTAGACTTGCTTGAGTTGTGGTCAGTGGTCGGTAGCACCGGTAGTCAGTGCATCTTGGAGTTGAAGATGACGGGTGGGAGAGCTTGTATGTAACCGCCGGCAGATGGCGCCGCATTCCAGGGATGCGGCGTGGTGAAACAACTCTACGTGGTCCACTATTGACGGACACGCGACTAAGTTGCCAAGACAGCGAGCGCTATGGAGCAGCAGAAGGACTGGTCGTGAAGGCGCGCGCCCACAAAGGAAATGAAAGGAAGGGGAAGGGGAAGGGGGTCGTGATGGGCAACGCGTTCAGGGATGGATGGACATGATTGAGCCACCCCCATGGTGGATCGTGGACTGGTTGACTTCATTGTGCTTTAAATTCAGTAGAAGCAATGTCTAAAGCCACTAGATCGTTGGATCATAGCTGTTAACCTCGGAGGGGCCATGGCTGATTGAAGCTGAAGCGAACGCGACGCGCCTTGAGGCGGGGGGGGGGGACGTGTAGAACTAATTGTCTGTAACTACCTACTAACTTAGTAGAGGCTTAGGCAGAGAGTCTCTGAAGAAGAGACCGACTCATGGAGGGGAAGAGGAGAATGTAATTGTCGCATCAACCAATTATCGGTCAATAATGCAGGGTGTAGCCTTGCATGGCAGTTGGGTTTAATGCCTGGAACCTCCAAAGGTAAGCTTCATACAACCGGAAATCTTACCACTTTTACCCTTTCGGGCCAAGGAATAAACACGAACTTGACGCGACTTTGGCTCAGCTTCTGCCCACTTTTTTCTCTTGCTCTCCCACATTCCTCCACGCCTACTTATTATAACTACATTACACTCTCCCATGGTCCCATTTTCCCATCCCCATCATACATATCTCCTTACTATTACCCCCTTCTTCCACCCTCCCCCCCCCTCATCCAGATGTGCAGGCAGGAATGAACCATCTCCCCCCCTCCGTATCCGTGAGAACTACTACTAGTCACATACATACGTACATGCAACATACATAAGGTACATACTACAACATACTTACTACATACTCCACGATCGGTTACAGATTTCCTGCCTCCTCTCCCCTCCAACCTTAGAATCTTCCCTTCCCCAGCTCAACCCTTGCCTGGTTTCAACGCTTTATATCTTCCTTCCTCCGGCTCGCTCGTTCTCTTTCTCTGAGAAGAGATCGTGGAGAGGCAGTGTTATTGTTGCATTGTTTACTGTCTCGATTCTCTCTCCGTCGATCCTCGCCTTCCACCGCCAATCACCTTTCATCCTCCTCGACTCCACGTTGAACCAAAACAGGCTCGTCTGTCAACGCCCAATTCAACGCTATTTTTACAATTACCCCCTTCTCCCTTTCTTTCACTTCGAGATTCTCCTCAGTCAGTACCTGGGGCCGCCATTCTTTTACCATGGCCGCTCTCACAATGACCCCGACCGCCGTTCGCCAGCCCTTCGCCAGCCTGGATGCACCTCGCATGCGTTCCTTGCTCCGCACGAAGATGAACTTGAAAAACAAAAAAGATGGTATGCTTGTGACCCGTCATTTCCGCTTCTTTCCCCTCCCCGACAGGGTTGCTGACGGCTGTGGTTCAGGAGCCATCTTGTCCAAGAAGACCCAGTCAACAATGGACTTCGACTCGGAGAATATCGACCCAGTGACTCTGAAGCTCTCGACCAAGCGGAAGCGCACTGTGGACGACGACGACGCCGAACCGTCAACCAAGAATACTTCTAAGCCACACAAGTCCTCACGCGTGGTTCTGACCACTCTCGATCCCAGTGCTGTCTCGCGTGTGCCTATCACCCCGACCAAGCCTATTCTCTCCACCCCCAAGTCGGCTCCTATTCTCAAGCCGGCTGGACGCTCGCCTCAACCAAAGTCATGCAAATCCTCTTCCCGTCGTTCCACCATTGCTAAGAGCCGCCCGGAGTCGACTGGCCGGAAATCGGTTCACCGCCCCTTCTCCCTCGCGGCTGCCCTGTCGGGTCCCAAGCCCAAGCGTCAGCCCGCTCCCAAGGCACCCGCGTCGTGGGCGTTCGATATCTATGTGGACAACGAGCAGGAAGAAATGACGAACCTAATGCAACACTCCACGTGCGTATTGGATATCAGTGACCAGGAGGGGAAAATGGAGACCTCAGGTCGAGGCAAAGAGAACATTCCTCCCGCGGATTTGGGGCTGGATCTTCCGCGCTCTCTTCAGCGGGAGTCGCCTGCCGCTGCAGCCCGCAAGTCAGTCATGATGGAGGAGTCTCGCGAACCCCTGGGAGACCTCAATGCCTCCGATTTCTACGGCGATGACTGCCACGCTTTCTCATACGTCATCGTTTATGATGACGAAGAAACAGACAGTGCGGAGAAGAAGGCGTCGCTCCATCTGGCCCGCACTAGCCCGCGTTCCGTCCCCAGCAAGCTATCGAGTGTCTCTTCCATCTCAGCACTCCTTGAGGCTTCTCTGCCAACCGAGCCTAGCACCGATGTCAAGTCAGAGCCAACGGAGGCTGAAATTGAGATCTGGGAGAGTGCTAGTGCTGCTGAGGAAGCAGCGGAGGCTGCTGCAGAGTCTTGAAACGCTTGAGGTGCGCTTGTCATTGCCAAGAAAACGGTGTTCTAGTGGTTCTTTTTGTCTGTTCTGTTTTTGGCGTCTGGAAGCTTGAGTTTGCACAGCATCATATGGATACCCTATCGGCTACTGTCATTTTGATTTCTTTCCTTTGTTGGATCACTCTGTTCGACATTCCGTCCCTTGTGCCACGCACCGCAGGCCGACGTTCCCTCGTCAACCTCGCCAACCTCGATCATACTACCTATATCGCGCGTCCATTGCTTCTGTTTGAGGCCGGAAACCACATCGTTCCCTTTCATCAATTATAGCTCAAGGAGCCTCTGTGTCTACATGTTCAGCTAATGACCAGAGAATGCGTCACGTTTTAATGTCTTATACGACTCCACCTGCTTGAACTAGATAGAAGAAGATTAGCTAGCTACAATGGAATTATACAATCTGATTTGTTTCATGTGATTTGACGTTCTGCTTGTTGAGCTCGGCTCATCGGTTCATCTTAAGGTATCCATGTCCTCGTCCGGCTCACTCTCGCTCTCATCCTCATCCTCGTCCGCCTCCTCGACATCCTCTAGAGCAGCAGATACCGCCTGGGCCGCCTCCGCCGCCTGGGCTTCCAACAGCTCCTCTTTCTCGAAGGCCTCTTCCTCTCCCTCGCTCATTTCCCCGACCTCCATCTCCACGTTCTCCTCCTCCTCCTCTTCCTCTTCTTCCTCCTCCTCCTCCTCTTCTCCTTCTTCCTCCTCCCCGCCAACCACATCTTCCCGAAACTGCACCCTTCTACCCCTGGTACTCCTCCTCGCTCCCGCCGGACCCCTCCTTCCGCCACCCCGCTTCTTGCTCACCCGCTTCTCCGCCGCCGCCCGCTCCCGAAACCCGGGCGCACTCTTGATAATCGCGCGCACCTCGGTCGCCATCATCGTGCTTTTCTGGGTTGCGGTGGCCGGATCCAGCCAGAAATCGGTGTTTATGGTCTCTGGGGTGGCGTGGTCGGGCAAGCTGCGGATCTGCGCGAAGTCGGCGTCGTCCGTGACGCGGTCGTCGAGTAATGCGAGCACTTTGTGGCGCATGATGGTTTTGAATTTCGCCAGGGTGCCGTTGTGGAACCATCCATCCGTCACTATGTCGCAGGTGGATCGGAGGAAACCGTGCGGGGGGAAGGGGTTGGTTACGGGGGTGAGGGTGGTTGTTGGCTGGTTGGTGGGTACTGTGGGAGTCTGTTCGGGGGGGCTTGCAGCTCCCGGGAAGAGAATGCTGCGTAGCGTCGGGTCGAGAATATCGCAGTACATCCACATGCGGCCATCCCGGGGCAGCGGGGGCTGGCCGGTGAAGATGTGAGTGTCCGTCGGCAGGGCGCCGGACTGATGCTGGAGCTGGTTCCCCAAGAAGGAAGAGGAGGAGGAGGAGGTCGGGTCGACGAACTGGGGCACCTCATTGGGGCGGATGTAGGTTGTGCGCCTTGCGCCTTCGCTTTTCGTGGCGCCGCTGCCGCTGCCGCTGCCGACGTACCCGTCGCGCGCGACCTCGGCGTCGCGCGGTTGGATCTGGAACATGACGGTCTGGTAGATGTGGTTTTCGGGAGAGGTGCGCGGGTCGTGGCCGAACTTGATGATCGCGTCGCGCCACGGGCCCGAGCGGAAGATGTAGCCCACGTACGGGATGGCGTGGCGCAGGGCGTAGCGTTTCTCGATGGTCGGGATGGCGTTGCGGAGCCCCCGGCGTGTCCAGGCGGGGCGCGTGGCGAAGAGCGACTGCACGATGGCGATGGTCTCTTGGAGGGTTAGGTCGAGGGTGGAGATTGGGGGGCAGTCCTCGCGCGGGTGCGAGGGCACGGTGGGGGTGTCGTAGGGGACGAGGTGCGTCAGGACTTTGACGGTGCGCTGCGTGTTGATTGTGGTAATTTTGCCGGTCGTGTCGATGGACTTTTGCATGGTAGGGTTTTGGCGGTATCTTTGTCGGTTAGTATGATGACGAAGACGAGGGGTCGGGACGCCTCATGGCTGGTATAGATAGGATGTAGGTTCCAGGAAGCTGAAAAGAAGGGAGGTCCCGGGGGAGAACCCCCGGGAACGCTTTATATGCAGGTGATATAGAATGTGGTTTGCCAGGAAGCTGAAAGAAAGGGGGGTCCGGGGGTCTCCCCCGGGAACGCTTCATATGCAGGTGATTGACGAGGGGGGAGGGGGTAGGTGGGCTTACATATAATTGAAGGGCATGTCGCCGTGGCTGAATGACGGTGGGGGGATGATATCGACGTTGGAGGTGATGCCTTTGGTCATGTCGAGCTCGAACTGCTTCATCTTGTCGACTGCGTGCGGAGGTTAGACGGTTGTTTGATCATAGGAGAGGACGAAGCTTACAATCAAACGGCAGGATATGCTCGCGAAATTTGTTCGCGAAGACACTTGATGCTGTCGAGAAGGCAAAGTCCGGCATCCCTGGGCGAATTAGTCTTCTTCCTCGTGGAATTGTTGCCAACCAAAGGTGATACCTCGGAATACATGCGTGCGCTCGATTATGCCCACCGGCTCAACTTGATACCTGCCGACATTATCGCGAAGGCTCTGCAGCACCTCGCGCGCGCTGCGTCGCGGGGCGTCCGCATCCCCCGTGGTAATGGCTACCCCGGTGAAGGGCTCGTCGGAGCCCTTCTTGCGCTTGCGACCCGTCCGCTTGGGCACCGTGACCTTGACCAGGACGTTGTTGGTCGCGGAGCTGATCGACTTCAGCGGCCGGGACATGGCATCCTCCGGCCGGAGGAAGAGGCTGGCCGGGCTGTCCGCCTTGGGCGGGTTGAGGATCTAGTATTGTTGTCAGCGGTTGGATCTGCGATCTGGGTTGTTGCGCTTACTCGACTGATACCTGCCTCGCCGCTAAGGGTGTCGAGGGCCCTGTCAACGTTCTTGATGATGGCGGGATGTTCGACGCTGACCATGCGACGAGAGGGGATGGAGTAGAACGGAGCCGTTCTGGCCCCCGTCTGGTCTGTCATGGTCTGGGTGAGGTGTGACTTTGGACGGTGCGATACTATAGCCTGGATGATCCGATAGTCGATCGCGTGCTCGATATATTTTCGGTGGAGTTGGCAACCACAGTGTATGGAAACTTGAAGGGGATGCGCGCTCAAGTGACGTCAGTAGTTGATGATAATTGTCATTGCTCTTCACCAAGAGATATTTGCGTGTCTTTACTGTGAACTGCTTCGGAGGCCGTACACTAACTACACCTAACCACAGACTACAGAGTACTTAGTAGGTACAGACTGTATCATCCCCTGGAATCTGAATTGTCCTTCACTATCCGCCCATCACGTGACCTCGATCCGATCCAGGGGAAAAAAAAACTCGAGCGGAACAAGCATCATCGCATCCAGCGTCGCGGATTGCGCGCGAGTCTGAAACAGACCCAGACGGGTCGGTTAGTCTTGTATAGTTGGTGCATGCTGTATGGAGTGATTGCGCTCTATCATTTGATGATGTAGAGATGTATCACTCACTCTCCATCGACATCGCGTAGACTGTAGAACGACCTATTACACAGTGGTACTAGTAGTTATATGCACATAACACATCCATTTGAAGTTCCTACAGTTCTTACTGAACTGTAGCCATGCAGCAGCAGCATCAGCAGCAATTGCAGCACCACACAACTCGTCCAGTGCTTCTTTCTTCTTATTGATGCATGACCTTGACCCTCTTTCTCTCTCTCTCTCTCTCTCTCTCATTCATCCATCCTAATCCTGAAGCCCACATCTTCATGGTGGCATGGCAGCACTTGAGCTACGCTACTAAGCTACTCACTTTGACTTTCCCGCCTCGTGTCTCATTTGGTCTGTCTGACAGATCGTTGGAGATCAGCTCTCACTCATTTCAGCATCTCCGTAGTTACTTTTCACTTTCAATCTCTTAATTTAATCTCTCGTTCCCCGGCTTTTGTTGCACCCCCGCTTCCTACGCCGAACCCGCTAAGCGACCAACTGGTGACTACCACTGACTGGTGGCTGCTCCCTATACCGCTCCCACCTCTCCGATTTCCCCGTCCACCCTGCGCCCAGAGTCCAGTGTGAGAGATCCTCCTCCTCTTTCCACTTTCTTACCCAACAACTTATTCGATCCAAAACCACCACCCCCCCCCCTCCCCTCCTCCCCTCATCCTCACTCCCTTCCAATCGTCCCCTCCCCCCATTTTCAACTACTTTACTCAGGTAAGCCTGCAGCTTGACTTTACTTTCGTATTCCCTTCTGCCTTCCCGATTCACCCCTTGTTTGTTTTCGATTCTCCCCTCACGGTGCTTCCTCTCTTCACCCGCTTGTTCTTTCGAATTGCCCGCAATTCTCCCGCTGCTGCGTTTGCGTCCCAAGGATTCGACCATTCCCCTCACCTCCACTCCCTGGGTATTACACTACCTTTATCGCCTGTCAGTCGAGCATCGATCTATATTGTCTTTCAGAATCATACCCATCTTCTGTGTTGGAAACAAGCGCTATACTCCGCCGTGTGGTCGCTGCAGATGCTCATGTGGTCATTACTAGGTCGACATAAACAACCCCGACGTGGCTCTCCTGAATCGCCTCCGCTCTGTCCGACCCCATCCCTCCTGCTAGGGTGCGGCTTCTTGCTGCACTGGCACCGAGATCCCAAACCGAGTACATGTGGCTGTCCGTTTAGTCGTCAAAATGAAGGGTTTCAGACAGAGAGTGGTGAGTGCATCCTCGTCGCCGCCCCTTAGCTGTTCCCCGCCTCCGCCTTTTCTCTCCATTGCCCTCGACCAACCACCGAATGTGGGCTGACCTCCATAGCACGAGCAGTTGTCGAGGGCGAAAGACGCAAACAAATCCTCCAAGAAGAAAGAATCCTCCCACGCCTCCCAGAACAACGCCGCTCTCGGAGTTCACCATGGCCAGCAATCTTCTTCCCCCAACCAGGGCACCCCGACCTCGTCCACAACTTCGGTGAATGATACCAGAGGAAAGTCGCCGGAGACTTCTGCGCAGGCTGGAATTTACCCCCCTGGTCAGTACTCCAATTCGCAGTCGGTGCTATCGCTGGCCAACCCGAGGACTAACGGCGGCTCAGGTACTCCGACCAAGCAGGGACAGCCGATGGCTCCCAGTGTAGTCATCAGTCCCAGTGGCCCAGTAAGTTATTACTTTTCGTGATCCCCAGCCGGTGTGTTGGTCGCACCTGCTCGTCCGTCCTTCTGACTGGGTTTCGCGCAGCATCATGTCCCCCCTCCCGGTGCGGCGGAGACAATGCCCGGCGACCTGGCTCCTCCTAGGAAGTCTCATGTCTTTGATCGCCTCCAGACGACGCCAAAGGACATGTCTGAGGGCATCCGAACCCCAAAGCGCCAACACTCGTCGCGATTCGATATTTCCGACCAGCGTCAGCGCGAGCTCGAGAAACTCCCCGGCTTCCACGAGGTCCCGCCCAACAGACGTCAAGACCTGTTCATGCAGAAGATTGACCAGTGCAACATTATCTTCGACTTCAATGATCCGACGGCTGATATGAAATCCAAAGAGATCAAGAGACTGGCGCTCCACGAACTCTTAGACTACATCGCCAACAATCGCTCCGTCATCACAGAACCGATGTACCCCCGAGTCGTCGAGATGTTCGCCAAGAACCTTTTCCGACCCATTCCACCTCCAGTGACCCCGCAGGGAGAGGCGTTCGACCCGGAGGAGGACGAGCCGGTGCTGGAAGTCGCCTGGCCGCATATCCAGGTCGTCTATGAATTCTTCCTGCGGTTCATCGAAAGCCAAGATTTTAACACCAATATCGCCAAGGCATACATCGATCACCATTTCGTTCTTCAGGTAGGTCGCGCCCCAACTATCTCGGTGGTATTCAGCTGTCTGACAAATCCAAAGTTGCTCGAGCTGTTTGACTCGGAGGATCCCCGCGAACGCGATTTTCTAAAGACTACCCTACATCGGATTTATGGAAAGTTCCTGAATCTGCGCTCGTACATTCGCCGGTCCATCAACAACGTCTTCTTCCAATTCACATACGAGACCGAGCGGTTCAACGGTATTGCCGAATTGTTAGAGATTCTCGGCTCGATCATCAACGGATTTGCGCTCCCCTTGAAGGAGGAGCACAAGCTGTTCCTGACCAGGGTCTTGCTGCCTCTGCACAAAGTCAAGAGCCTCAGCATGTACCACCCGCAGCTGGCCTACTGTATCGTCCAGTTTCTCGAAAAGGACTCGACTCTCACAGAAGACGTAAGTGGACCCTCGGCGTTTGCCTCATTGGCGATCGGTGATGAGCCTGAAGGCAGCTTCTAATGTTCAAAACAGGTTGTTCTTGGACTCTTGCGATACTGGCCCAAAACCAATAGCACTAAAGAGGTCATGTACCTCAACGAGGTTGAGGACATCTTCGAAGTGATGGATCCCGCCGAGTTTGCCAAGGTGCAGGTGCCCTTATTCCAACAACTCGCCAAGTCTGTGGCCAGTCCGCACTTCCAGGTATGAATTCTATGCTTCGGCTTGCGACGTATCAACTAATCGCCGGAAAGGTTGCGGAACGCGCACTGTACTTTTGGAACAACGAGTATTTCTGCAATCTCGTCAGTGACAATGTAGAGATTATTCTGCCGATCATGTTTCCACCACTCTACGAGAACTCTAAAGGCCACTGGAACAGGTATTGCTTGCTATCCTTGTGAATTCTCAAGTCTTGTCGTACTGATAGCAGCCAACGTAGAACAATTCATAGTATGGTCTACAATGCTATGAAGATGTTCATGGATATCAATCCCCAGCTCTTTGACGAATGCTCCCACGAGTACAACGAGCGACAGAACAGCGCCGAACAGCGGGAGCAGAGCCGGCAGACTAGATGGGAAAAGGTGCTGGAACGGGCCAACGATCGGAAAAATGGTGTTGCGCCTCCCCCACAATGCCAGATCGCGGAAATTCCCGTTCAACTCGATGACATCGACGCAGTCACCCTTGACAGCCAGAAGCGCCTTAACGCCCTGAAACTGGACGATACCGGAGCGCCAACGGAGCGGAGGTCTCGGGAGAACACGGCGACCTCGGTGAGTGATGGACGTCCCTGATTGCCTGTGTAGTCATGCTTCATGACGTTATCGCATCGCGCTAGGTGCCCTCCATCACCCTGATTTGTCGTTGTCTTTGCTAAGAATTCCCTGGTTTTCCCTGTACAGCAAGCGTGATTCTAATGTTGAAACGTCCGTTTGCTTCAGAGACGGCGCCGCGATGACATTCGAAGACGAAGAAGTGGTAGCGCGAGTGAGATCCGACCCCGTGTAGATCGACGACGGTCGGCTGGCTCTGGCGCTGCTGTCTCGATCCTGTCACGGAGCAATTCGATGAAATGACGGTCGATCTAATGGTATTTCCCTGCTAGATTTCCTACAATAATGGCATAGCGACTATGGGCTGCGACGAAGTGTACTCGACCTTCTTCTGGTTTTACGTTCGATTCAAATCTTCTGTTCGCGCTCCTCGTCATGCCACTGCACTTTGTTCCTCTTCCCCCTTTTCTTCCTTTTCTCTCGATTCTCATCTTTGTGTACATGGCCTTCTTCAATATTCTTGTGTCCGAGCGAGCCCGGGGGTCGCTACGCCCGGGTACGATTCAGCGGACGTTGTTGTCAAGTTGGACTACTAGAACTGTGTTCGGGTCTGGAAAACGGGTGCGAATGGCGTTTCCCTCGGTCGACGTTGAAGTCGACGACCTCTTTGAGCTTTAAAACATGGAAGTATTTATGGCATAGCCTTCAACCAGATTCAATTAATCCCTAGTGTCCAACGTGTCCGGTCTCCGCAAGTCGCGATGACGCCGATGTAACTACTGTACCTGGTTTGGTGCTTAGGTAGGCAACACGTGCCCGTGCCGGGCCTCGTTTAAAAAGCTGGCGAACGCCAGTCAATCGAGGGGTAGCGGGACAGACGCGCGCTTGTCGGGTGGGAGAAACGAAGACCCGATATTGCCTATTCGGGCCTAGTGTTCCGTTCGGGGTCTCTGCGATACCCGCGTTCTGCTCTGCTGCTTTCTGTTCCTGTCGCTGTGCAGCTCGTTAATTTGCGCTCAATCATCATTCTCTTGATCTTCTCTCCTCTCCCCTTCCCTTCCTTACCTTGCTGCGCCGAATTTCTTCTCTTCGCTCCGCTCCCTTCACATAATCGTCTTACCTTCCGTACGCAGCGAGCACAATTAATGACTTAACGACCGTATCCCTCATTTCAAGGCGCTTCCTGTCGCTGGGCGTGAAGAGATAGCTCCACCTCACGAATTCGCACATGAATACGCCATACCGCGCAGATCGTGCTGGCTCTTACTCTAAGGCCGGCCTTGTGGCCTGGCAATACACTTCATCTCGCATCACCTCTTGACTCCCTGTGAGGGGCTCTTACCAACCATGGAGCGAAACATCGATATCTATGCCGCCAAGCTCGGCGACGAGAAGCTCGGTACGTCTGGCTTCCTTCTTCCCCGGACGGGCTTTTCGAGCTTGCCACGGGTCCGGCTCTCAGTCCGAAGACCAAAAGCTGACCTGCCTGCCCTGTAGATATCAAGATCCGCGCCAATGTCGCCGTCGAACTCCGAGACAGCATAGAGCCACTCTGCTCTGGCGCAAGCTATCCAATCTTCCTTTCCAAGCTATGGCCCGTGTTCAAAAACATTCTGAAGGGCGAACCAGTCTTCACGAACTTGTCCTTCGAACAGGTGAGTTTGGGATCATGGACCGTCTGCAGTACCCCATGGCTTCGGAGCTTACGCAAGTCGCCTGGTAACAGAAACTGCGGAATTACATTCTCGAGACGCTGCATAGACTTCCCATGGCATCCCCGGATGTCGAACCGTACGCCGCCGATATGGTCGACCTGTTGATGGAGCTCGTCCGGATTGAAAACGAAGAGAATGCGGTGTTGTGTATGAAGACAATCATGGATCTGGAGAGGAACCAAGCCAAGGCAACCGCAGCACGGGTTCAACCTTTCTTAGCACTGATCCAAGAGATGTTTCAGATGATGGAGCAGGTGGTACGCGACACGTTCGACACGCCCAACCAAGCCACACCGTCTGGTATGCCCTCGACACCGAGTGCCACAGCTCAGAACTTCCAATCGCCCAGACCCAGCTCGCCAGCGACTTCCGTGTCAGATCTTGGACCCGACCAACAAGCCAACAATATTCTTCTGCGGGGAATGCAATCGTTCAAGGTCCTGGCGGAATGCCCGATTATCGTCGTTTCAATCTTCCAGACTCATCGGAACTCTGTCGCAGCGAATGTCAAGCTCTTCGTGCCCCTGATCAAGAGCATTCTTCTCCTTCAAGCCAAGCCGCAGGAGCGGGCACACACCGAGGCTGCCGCACAAGGAACGATATTTACTGGTGTTTGCAAGGAAATCAAGAATCGAGCTGCGTTTGGTGAATTCATTACCGCACAGGTCAAAACGATGAGCTTCTTGGCGTACCTGCTCCGCATGTATGCTCAGCAGCTTCAGGATTTCCTCCCCACTCTCCCATCGGTCGTAGTTCGGCTTCTGCAGGATTGCCCCCGGGAGAAGTCAAGCGCTAGAAAGGAGCTCCTTGTTGCCATCCGTCACATCATCAACTTCAACTACCGCAAGATCTTTCTGGAGAAAATCGATGAACTGCTTGACGAACGCACTCTGATCGGCGACGGTCTCACCGTGTACGAGACGATGAGGCCTCTTGCATACAGCATGCTGGCTGATTTGATCCACCATGTGCGAGACCACTTGACGCGGGACCAGATCCGACGGACTGTTGAGGTTTACACCAAGAACATGCATGATGATTTCCCCGGGACAAGCTTCCAGACTATGAGTGCTAAGCTTCTCCTGAATATGGCTGAGCGTATTGCCAAGCTGGAAGACAAGCGAGAAGCGCGGTACTTCTTGATCATGATCTTAGATGCCATTGGTGACAAGTTTGCTGCCATGAACCATCAGTTCAACAATGCTGTCAAGGTGTCAAAGCTGTACAAAGAGACTAAGAAGGATCTGGAACCCACGGCAGAAAAGTACCTCGCGGAGAAAGAGTTCCCTCCTGACTGGGATGAGATCGACATTTTCTCGGCTTCACCAATCAAGACATCAAATCCTCGTGATCGTGGGGGCGATCCGGTGTCAGACAACATTTTCCTTTTCAAGAACCTGATTAACGGTCTGAAAACGATCTTCCATCAGCTCAAGAATTGCAACCCCGAGCATATTCAGATCGACACGAACAGTGTGCCGATCAACTGGTCCGAAGTCTCCTATGGATACAATGCTGAGGAAGTGCGGGTCATTAAGAAGCTTTTCCATGAGGGAGCACGAGTGTTCAGATACTACGGCGTCGACCAATCGCCACCAGAGGTCAATTACTCGTCTCCCTTCGACTTCCTTGCCAGTCAATACACGGCTCCGATGTCGCGGGAAGAGAAGGAGCTCCTGGAGAGCTTCGGCACCGTCTTCCACTGCATTGACACCGCTACGTTCCACGAAGTCTTTCATTCAGAGATTCCGTACCTACATGAGCTGATGTTCGAACATGGTGCTCTGCTTCATCTACCTCAATTCTTCTTGGCCAGCGAAGCTACGTCCCCTGCCTTCTCCGGAATGGTGTTACAGTATCTTATGGACCGGATACACGAAGTCGGCACTTCCGACATGACCAAGGCGAAGATTCTGCTCAGAATGTTCAAGCTCTCTTTCATGGCAGTGACTCTGTTCTCCGTCCAAAACGAGCAAGTTTTACACCCACATGTAACCAAGATCGTGACAAAGTGCATAGAGCTCTCGGTCACTGCTGAGGAACCTATGAACTACTTCCTGCTGCTGAGGTCGCTCTTCCGCAGCATTGGAGGCGGTCGTTTTGAGCTTCTCTACAAGGAGATTTTGCCATTGCTGGAAATGCTCCTCGAGACATTCAATAACCTCCTGGTGGCTGCCCGCAAACCGCAAGAGCGTGATCTATACGTGGAACTTACGCTCACAGTTCCAGCTCGCTTGAGTCACCTCTTACCGCATCTCAGCTATCTCATGCGCCCTATAGTAGTGGCTCTGCGTGCGGATTCAGATCTTGTCGGTCAAGGTCTTCGGACTCTTGAGTTATGCGTGGACAATCTGACCGCCGATTATCTGGACCCCATCATGGCTCCTATAATGGACGACCTAATGACAGCTCTATGGGATCACTTACGCCCGCATCCCTACAACCACTTCCACGCTCATACGACCATGCGCATCCTGGGCAAGCTCGGTGGTCGCAATCGCAAGTTTCTCAATCATCCTCCAGATCTTACCTTTGAGCAGTTTGCCGATGACGCACCAAGTTTTGACATCAAGCTTATGGGCCCTAGCGAGAAGCGGCCATTCCCAATCGATATTGGCCTGGACTTAGCGATTGCCAAGTTGATGGAAGTCTCCAAGAACGGATCAGGGCAGGCCTCCGACAGCTACTACAAACAGCAAGCATTCCGCATGGTTTCGTCGCAGCTGAAACTCTACATCGGCTACGAGAATCTCCCCGAGGATCTTGCCTCTCTGATTCGCCTACACGCCAACGATCTGTTTGAGAGCAAGACCACTTCCATGGCTGATGTTCTGGAGAAGTCAGAAAGATCGAGCTCTATTCCGAAGAAGTTAGGTCAGGAGGCTACCATGAAGAAGCTCCTAAAGGCATCTATCTACGCCACTACCATTCCGGAGTTGGAGCAATCTGCAACGGCCTTTGTTGCAGATGTGTGCAAACACTTCGCTCTGGTGGAGGTCGGTCGGGCACTTGCACAGGCTCGGCACACCCGTAAGCCTTTCGATGTCAATAGCGGTGAAGGTCCCGTATACCTCGATTCGCGCGTGCTGGCTGAAGCAGTTGTCGAGTCGCTTTCCTCCGACAATACTCGAGTCCGCGAGGGGGCCGAGACGGCCATGCAAGTCATGAAAGACGCTGCCGCTATCATTTTTGGCGCCCCGGATCGAGTAGCGAAGTTACCTTTCTTCCAACATCTGGGCCGCGTGTTTTGTCATAGCTGTCACAGCGAGGAGTGGTTCACCAAAGCTGGGGGCAGCTTTGGTATTCACCTTTTCGCCACCAAGCTGGACCTGGGAGATGCATGGCTCCTTGACAAGCAAGCTGATTTCGTCAGGGCGCTCATGTATGTTATCAAAGATACCCCACCTGACTTGCCTGCCAGTACGCGGCTGCGGGCTCAAGAAACACTGGATCTGATTCTGCGCCGGTGTTGCAAGAGTCTGAGCCTCGAGGACCTCAAAAATGAGAAGAGCCGCTTGTATTCTTTGTGTGGTCACTTCGTCTACGAGTTGTCTCACATGAACAAACAAGTTCGCGAGGCTTCCCGACGCAGCTTTTCCACTCTGGCCGAAGTCCTTGGGTGCCAAATACACGAGCTCATCCTGCCGGTTAAGGAACGTCTCCTCCAGTCTATCTTCAACAAGCCGCTACGAGCGCTGCCCTTTCCCATCCAGATTGGCTTCATCGAGGCTATCACTTACTGTCTTAGCCTTCATAATAACATTGTGACGTTCAATGACCCTCTCAACAGGTTGATGATGGAGTCGCTTGCTCTGGCTGATGCGGATGACGAATCCCTGGCGTCCAAGCCGAACGAGTTCAAGAATGCGGAAATGATTGTGAACTTGCGTGTCGCCTGTCTCCGTCTTCTGTCTATGGCAATGAGCTTCTCGGAATTCGGCAACGCACCGCAGAATACCAGTCGTGCTCGTATAATCTCAACTTTCTTCAAGTCGCTCTACTCCCGGTCTCCAGAGGTCATTGAAGCTGCAAATGCAGGTCTTCGGGACGTTCTGACGCAGACTAACAAGCTGCCGAAAGACCTGCTTCAGAATGGTCTTCGCCCGATCCTCATGAATTTGCAAGACCCGAAGCGTTTAAGTGTCGCAGGGCTCGACGGTCTTGCTCGCCTGCTCACGCTCTTGACAAACTATTTCAAGGTCGAAATTGGCGCACGCCTTCTGGACCACATGAAGGTCATCGCGGATGACGCTACCTTGCAAAAGGTGTCTTTTAGCCTTGTTGAGCAGAGTCCGCCCATGAAGATCGTGGCTGCAATTTTCAATATCTTCCACCTACTCCCTCCCGCTGCTACATCCTTCATGGAGCACCTTGTCAATAAGGTCTTGGACCTTGAGGAGAAACTTCGCAGGACGTCCAACAGTCCTTTCCGGAAACCACTCGTGAAGTACATCAATCGCTACCCCAAAGAGAGCTTGACCTTCTTTCTGGCGCGCTTCAAGGACGAAAGATTTGGCCGATTCTTCGGACAGGTCTTGGCCGACCCAGAGAGTGAGGCGCTTCGCTCTGCAGTGGTCGCAGACACTGAAGGTTTCTTATCCGCTGCGTTCGGGCCAGAGGGGACTGATGGCAAAAACACCGCAGGGATCAATGGCATCTACGTCACTCACTCTATCTGCGCGTTCGAATCCACCAAGCGCTGGTTGGTGTCTCATGCCGACCTGAGGACAAAGCTTCTAAGCTCAGGGCGTGACCTTGCGAGGAAGCTTCGCAGCGATAAGCTGCCAATCAACGAACGATTGAGGGTGGAGCAGGCGGAGGATCAATTGATGGATATCTTCACCAACTACCTCTCTGAATCCGTACAGGATTTAGACTTTTTGTTCGAGATCATTGACGGCCTATCCGCAGAGGAGCTCAAGCGTACGCTGGCTCTTCCGCGGTTCATATACCGTCACATTATCACGAACGAGTCCATCGACTACCGTCGTTCTGTTATCATGCGTTGCCTGGATTTGTACACTCAGCGTTCATGCTCTCAGAAGATGAAGACTTACGCCTTCCGTCATCTCGTCAATCCCATCTTCGCCATGGATGTTCAAACGACATGGAACAGCCCACCCAACAGCCCCAAGCTCATGGACAAGAGCATGACCGAGTTCATTCAGAGTCGTTTGTGGAAACCTCAACTAGCGGATCTTAGCGAAGAATCCAACCAAGCTGGTGTCGACCACTCTAGGATGGAGCTCTTGCAGCTGTCGGCCTTGTTGATCAAGTACCATCATCAGACAGTGCAAGACTCCCGCAAGGATATCATCAAGTTTGCTTGGAACTACATCCGCCTTGAAGACATCATTAACAAGTACGGAGCATATGTTCTCATCAGTTACTTCATCGCCCACTACGAGACTCCCTTCAAGATTGTCGTTCAAGTCTATGTCGCTTTGCTCCGAGCCCATCAGAATGAAGGCAAGGCACTTGTTACGCAGGCTTTGGACGTTCTTGCGCCAGTCCTACCCACCAGAATCCTGTCGGCAAGCAACAACCAAGGCCCCGACTTCCGTTATCCTCTGTGGGCGAAATGGCCGCGGCGCATCTTAGCAGAAGAGACCGCAAACCTGCAGCAAGTGATGAGCATCTTCCAGTTTCTCGTCCGTCACCCGGATCTTTTCTACGAATCGCGAGAACACTTTGTTCCGCTTATTGTACCCTCCCTATCTAAGATAGCAGCCCCTGCCAGTCCCTCTAACGAGGGCAAAAAGCTTGCTTTGAATCTCATCAGTCTCATCTGGCACTGGGAAGAAAAGCGTGCCAAGGCAGGTCAGACCACGATGTCGAACGGTGTTCTCGAGTCACCCAACGCCAAGAAGCGTAAGTTTGAAGATGGCCAGAGTGCCTCGTCACCGTCGCCTGCACTTGTACCTCCGGCTTCCCGCGACCGCTCGGACTATGCGGTTTCGGCTGATTTCCGGGCTTCTCTGACCAAGTACCTTATTACCTTCATCACGACAATCCCAGAGAGGTTCCCCGTCCCGGCCGCTCGTATCCGAGAATTGCCATCGTCCAAGGCTCCACCTGTACCTACTGGCGAAATGGTCAAGAAGGCAGTCTTTTTGCTGAGAAATCTCTTGTCTCCTGAATACTGGGGCGACTTGGATGTTGAGCTGTATCAGAAGGTGACAGAGCCTATTCTCGCCGGCGAGAAGGCAGAGAAGCCCGACGAAAAGCACATTACGAGTATGATCAATGCTCTTCAGGTCGTGCGGATCTTGCTAGCATCCAAATCCGATGAGTGGATTGTTGCGCGCGTGCAGAGCATTCAGAAGTTGTTCGAGAAGCCTTTGCGGTCAGACAACCCCGAAATCCAGGATTGTCTTCATGGTGTCGAAGATGAAATGGATATCTCCCCCAAACTCGAACCCCCGGTTCGACGTGTTCTGAATGCTCTCCCGGATGACCAGCCCGAGGAGGAGGATGCAATGGAGGTTGAACACTCACCTTCCGAGTTTGTCACGTACTTGTCCACCATTGCAACCGAGACCCTGTCGGCGAACAACTATGTTTCGAGTCTCAACATCCTGTGGACCCTCTCGAAGAACAAGCCAGCCGAGATGGACCCCCATATACCTCAGATCATGAAGGCATTCTCTCAGAAATTGGCCAAAGAACATGTTGCCGCTTCGACGGCAAACCAAGGCCAGTATCCGCCGGGACAAAAGCCTCCGGAGGGAGTGCCCGAGCAGCAAGAATATGAGATTGGGGTTGACTTGATCTTCAAGACTATTGAGCTGGTTTCCGTGCGCATGTCTCACCTCGGAGAGCAGAGGCGACCCTTCTTGAGCGTTCTGGCGCAGTTGGTTGAGCGGTCACAGAATATCAAGCTCTGCAGTAAGGTCCTTGGCATGGTAGAGACCTGGATTTTCCATTCGACTGAGTCATGGCCCACGCTCAAGGAGAAAACGGCTGTCCTGCACAAGATGTTGCTATTTGAATCACGTCCTGACCAGACCATGCTGAAGAAGTTCCTTGACCTTGTCATCAGGATCTACGACGACCAGAAGATAACTCGTACAGAACTGACCGTCAGACTGGAACACGCTTTCCTGATTGGTACCAGAGCACAAGATGTTGAGATGCGCAATCGCTTTATGACAATCTTTGACCGCAGTCTGACTCGCCTGGCCAGCTCTCGGCTCAGCTATGTTTTGACTTGTCAGAACTGGGACACCCTTGCTGATTCTTTCTGGCTGGCGCAAGCATCTCATCTGGTTTTAGGATGCGTGGACATGTCATCGTTGGCTAGATTGCATCCTGACGATTTCACTGTCTATCCTGTCTCTTTCCTCTTTGGCAACGCCGAGAAAGACCCCCGCAAAGCTGACATCATGGTCGACACTCAGCTGGAGGCCTTTGTCACCGACCGCAAGCGGTTCATTTCAGAGATTGGTGATGTGAAGGCTCGTGATTTGATGGAACCTCTGTGCCAGCTTCAGCACACCGATTCTAATGTGTCTTACAAGCTCTGGACCACGTTGTTCCCCATTTTCTGGTCCACATTGTCGAGGGAGGACCGCATCGACCTGGAGAAGGGTGTGGTGACACTCATCACTCGAGAGTACCATCAAAGACAGCTTGATAAGCGGCCGAACGTTGTGCAGGCCTTGCTTGAAGGAGTTGTCCGAGCACGTCCGCGGTTCAAGATCCCTCCTCATGTTATGAAGTATCTCAGCCGAACCTACGATGCCTGGTATACTGCCGCTACATACTTGGAGGAATCGGCCATCAGCCCCATCATTGACACTCCTACTGTTCGTGAGAGCAATCTCGATGCTTTGGTCGAAGTATACGCCGGATTACAGGAAGACGACTTTTTCTACGGCACCTGGAGGCGTCGTTGCAAATTTGTCGAAACAAATGCCGCCCTCTCGTATGAGCAGCAAGGCATGTGGGACAAGGCTCAGCAATTGTATGAGAATGCTCAGATCAAAGCTCGCTCAGGAGCGATGCCGTTCTCGCAGGGCGAGTACTATCTCTGGGAGGACCATTGGTTAATTTGCGCCCAAAAGCTGCAGCAGTGGGAAGTTCTGAGCGATTTTGCTAAGCATGAAAACTTGAATGATCTTCTCCTGGAGTCTGCTTGGAGAAATATCGAAAATTGGCAGAGTGAAGGCAGTAGAGAGCAGCTCGAATCTCTCATTAAGTCTGTCTCCGACGCACCCACTCCGAGACGCACCTTCTTCCAATCCTTCATGGCATTGCTTCAGTTCCACATCAAGAAGGAAAATGTCCAGGATTTCAACGGTGTTTGCGATGAGTCTATTCAGCTGTCCATCCGCAAATGGCTTCAGTTGCCGAAGAGAATAACCAACGCTCACATCCCAATTCTGCAGCACTTCCAACTTCTGGTTGAGCTCCATGATGCCAGCCACATCTGCGCCAGTTTGTCTCAAACGAACGAGCGCAACCTGGACACCAAGTCTGCTGAGCTCAAGTTGCTGCTGGCGACATGGAGAGACCGTCTGCCTAATCTGTGGGACGACATTAATGCTTGGCAAGATCTGGTTACATGGCGACAGCACATTTTCCAGCTTATCAACCAGACCTATCTGAGCTTGCTGCCGCCGCAGACTAATAACGTGGCCAGCAACTCGTATGCCTACCGCGGATACCATGAGACGGCGTGGATCATCAACCGATTTGCACACGTTGCTCGCAAGCACCAGATGCCCGAGGTGTGCATCAACCAACTCAGCCGCATCTACACTCTTCCAAACATCGAGATCCAGGAGGCTTTCTTGAAGCTTCGAGAACAAGCCAAGTGCCACTATCAGAATCCAAAGGAGCTGAACAGTGGTTTGGATGTCATCAACAATACCAATCTCAACTACTTCGGTGCGCAACAGAAAGCAGAATTCTACACGCTCAAGGGTATGTTTCTTGCTAAGTTGAATCATGTCAATGAGGCAAATGAAGCATTCGGTGTTGCATTGTACTACGAACTGAAACTCGCAAAAGCGTGGTCTGAGTGGGGTCAGTACAGCGACCAACGTTTCAAGGCCGACCCGTCTGACTACGAGCTTGCGAGCAACGCTGTGAGCTGCTACCTGGAAGCTGCCGGTCTATACAAGAACGCCAAGTCTCGAAAGCTGCTGAGTCGTATCCTTTGGCTTCTGAGCTTGGACAATGAGGAGGGTCAAATCGCTCGTGCTTTCGAGAACTTCAAGGGTGATACGCCGGTTTGGTACTGGATCACCTTTATTCCGCAACTTCTCACCAGCCTTTCACACCGTGAAGCGCGTCTGTGCAAGGCTGTTCTGGTCAAGATCGCCAAGTTGTTTCCACAAGCTCTCTTCTTCTTGCTTCGTACTAACAGGGAAGACATGCTCAATATCAAGAAACAGCATGACCAGAAGCAAGAGAAGATTAACCGTGCTCGGATGCAGCAACAGCAACAGTCCTCACCTTTGGCGAAGGCTGCACCGACAAACGCCGATGCTTTGCCTGCTCCCACCACCCAGCCGAGCAACGCTGGTAGTACTCCAGCAATGCCAAATGGCCAGCAAGGCGGCGCTCCGCAGGTACAGAATCAAGCTCAGTCCCATCCTCAAGGGGTCAACCAGGGCCAGCCTGCGAATCCGGCGCAGATCAAGAACCCGAACGTTCCTCAGCAGGTACCTGGTCAAGGCCAGATACAGCAACCTCAAGGCCAGGGCCAGGCTTCCGCACCAATGCAGAATCAGGCATCAAATCCAGGACAGGCTCCAATGCAGCAGCCACAGGGTCAGCAGCAAGGACACCTTCAGGTACCCGGTCAGAACGGCGTTCCTCAGCCCAATGCGAAGCCGGCCCTCACGGAGATCGAAAAAGAACCTCTCAAGAAGCCCTGGGAGTACTCCGATGAGATCATGTCTGGCCTCAAGACAGCATTTCCTCTGCTTGCATTGTCTATGGAAACAATGGTCGACCAGATTCACAAGAACTTCAAGTGCCCTCCTGACGAGGATGCGTACCGACTCATCGTTGCTCTTCTGAATGACGGTTTGGCGTACGTTGGTCGGATGCCTGGCTCCTATGCGCAAGACTTCAAACTGCCGGCTGCAACCGAAGCCAACATTACTCGTTTCGCAGAGACTATCCTTCCAGCGCATATACGCAAGTCCTTCGAAGCCGACTTCGTTGTCAAGAAGCCGACCATGTACGAATACATTCACAAGCTTCGTCGCTGGCGCGATAAGTTTGAAGAGAAGCTGGACCGGCGACCGCAGAACCAGTTCTTGGAGACTTACTCTCCACACCTCAGCGAATTCCGCTTCCTCAAATTCGATGAGGTCGAGGTGCCAGGCCAGTATCTGCTGCACAAAGACAAGAATCAGGACTTTGTTCGCATTGATCGATTCTTGCCAGACATTGACCTTGTGCGCGGCATCGGTGTCTGCCACCGCCGGTTGAAGATCCGTGGTCACGATGGAAGCGTTCACGCCTTCGCCGTCCAGCACCCAGCTGCACGACACTGTCGGCGGGAGGAGCGAATTCTGCAACTTTTCCGCATTTTCAACGGAATACTGGGCAAGCGCAAGGAGAGTCGCCGTCGTAATCTGTACTTCCATCTTCCACTCATGGTTCCGTTGGCTCCCCACATCCGATTGGTTCGCGACGATCCGTCATACATCTCCATGCAAGGCATTTACGAGGACTATTGCCGACGCGTTGGCATTAATAAGGATGAGCCTGTTCTCTTCACGATGGAGAAGATGAGATCCTTGGCGGAAACGAAGCAGAATGTGAGTCAATACGACCAATCCCAATCTTGGAACAAGACTGACACATCCCAGCGGACTCCCGACCAGCAGCAGGTGCTTCGAACAGAGATGCTCACCGCGATCCAGGAGAAGTGGGTTCCCAGTACTATTGTGCTCGACTACTTCCAGAGGATCTATCCGAACTTCTCTGACTTCTGGCTTTTCCGCCGGCAATTTGCTTATCAATACGCGGCGATTGCTTTCATGACCTACGTGATGCACATGGGCAACCGGTACCCGAACAAGATCATGATCTCGAGACAGACCGGCGACATCTGGGGCTCAGAGCTCATTCCCACCATCAACCCGGCCAAGGCGTTCTTCTACAACCCGGAGCAGGTGCCATTCCGCTTTACGCCCAACATCCAGACCTTGCTGGGGCCGATTGCCACTGAGGGTCTCTTTGCGTGCGCATTAATGGCGATTGCCCGCTGCCTCACCGAACCCCGACACGAGCTGGAACAGCAACTCAGCGTCTTTGTGCGCGATGAAATGATGTTCTGGGCTACAGCACAGCACCGAGGCCCTCTGCCACCTCCCCAGCTTCGCGACCTGGTCTACAACAATAGCGATATCATTGTCAACCGGGCTGTCAGCCTGGCCAGTCCTCCGGAGGGCAACCTGCCTGCGAACCAAACCACTATCGATCTCATCTCCAAGGCTGTCAACCCTCAACACCTTGCTTCGTGCGATGCTTTGTGGATGGCATACCTCTGATTGTTTGCTTGCGAGGCGTTTTGTTTTTGTTTCTGTGGCAGAGGCTTACGGGTCTGCTAAGTCAAATGGGAATTCCATTCTAGCGTGGCGCTCTGAGGCGAAGTCTATGGGACAGGTTATGATGTTTCATCGCTTGTGTTGTTTGTGCCATTGTATGTATCATAATTTAATTCAGGCAGATATCAATCTAGACATTGACTGCTGTTACGAGTAGTAAGGTATGCAGTGTAAGAGATAACGTTATAGCTCATGCGTCGTGCACAAGTATGATTCATCAGCAGAATGAAAGGATTGTATGAGCCAGACAAAAATTTAACCGTAAGTTCGTAGTAATAAACCTCCCATGCTTAGCCATGCAACCAAACGCCTTGGTAGTGTCGAGCGAGAAGATCATAGAGGAGCAAATCAACACAAATGCAGAGACTTATACCAACGAGGGCTTAGCCTTCTTCTTGATGCCCAAGCTATTGGCCAAAGGCTTCTTGGCCTTTTTGACGCGGGCAAAAGACGGGGCCGGCTGATCGCCCGGGGGTTTCATCGTTGATGAAGAAGATGATGATGATGACGAGGCCGGCTTTGCACCCGCCGCCGTTGCAGTTTTGTGGTCTTCTTCTGCATCATCATCAACCAACCGCTTCACCCTGACCCCATCCTCCGTCATAAACGCCTTTCGAGCGGCCTCCTCAATCTCCCTTTCGACTCGCAGCGCCTCCTCATCCTTCTGATCCCTCACCCTCTCCAACGCCGTCAACGTCCCCTCTTCCCCGAGCGCCTCCGTCCGCTCCATCCGCGCATTCCGCGTGCGGATCTCATCCAACGCATCCGCAATCGCCATCTCCCGCTTCGAATCCAACATCTTCTCCTCCAACTCCGCCATCTTATCCCTCTCCTCCTGCTCGACTTCCTCCCCTTCCTCCCGCTCCAGTCGGTCCAGAATCTCTTGTTCCGTCTCGTCGTGGTTCGGCACCTGCGACGCGTCCCGCCACGGCTCGAAATTCCGCTTCGCCCCCCGCTCCGCCCGGTAATCCATGTTCTTCGGGTCCGTCACGAAGGTGATCTCCCCGCTACATCGCGTGCACCGGATGTAGAAGCGGTAGATCGGAATCGAGAAGTATTTTTCGGAGGTGGTTTCTTTTCGTGCGTTGAATTTTCGGCCTTTGTAAATGAATTCTCCTGTGTGTGTGAAAACATTCATCATCAGTATTGGGTGAGATTGGAAGACTGTTTGGGGGGAGGGGAGGGGAGGCCATGTTTTCTTGGTTTCAGGTATAGGTTACTACTTACCACACTTGTCGCATTTCATGGAGAACGGCGCCATCAAACGCACGGTGATCACCTTCGGGCCTGTCTTGCGCAGGTGTTTCGGGACCCGCGTGATGGCGCTGGGGTCGAAGTCCGGGGGGTAGTACTTGGTTAGCACCTGTGGGAGAGTTAGTGGGTGTTGCGTGGGATACACATTCGCATGACGCTTACCTTTCGCTCAGACATGGTGGCGGTTGGGTATCAAAGCTGAAGATGAGAGGTTGAGTGAGTTGAGTGGGATGAAGTTATAAGCTTCGGTCTTGATGATGCTTGATGTGATTGTGATGGTGATGGCGATTTGCGCCGGCCGGCTATCGATTGATAGCGGTCATGTGAGAATTCACGTGATCTTATCGGACTGGTCACTGCTTAGTAAGTGGCTATGCTTGGAAGCGGGATGCTTGTATGCTTGTACTCCGTATGCTACTGACTAGTGCCTTTATGCTGATAGTTGGTAGTCTATGTGCTGTACCATGTACAGACAGCATGAGTTTCTGGTTTGAGAAGCCTAACAGCAATAAATAATGCTTTACGAATTCATGCAGGATCAATACACAATACCCGGGTATAATTCATCCAACCCAACGCCCACGTCTATGCCCAATGCCATCTCATCTCACTGCTGCTGCTCACTGTCACTGCTGCCTCGCGTTGCTCCGCACCGCCCGCGTCCCTCGACTCCTGCCGCTTGCAGGCCCTGGCGTTTCGCTCTCCGACTCAACTCGCCGTCTACTGCGCCCGCCGCGCACGCGGCCCATAGCCTGCCGCAACATGCCGTCCGCTTCGTCGTCCAGCTCCATTTCCACCTTCTCCTCAAGCGTTTCCGAATGTCCGGCCGCGCTGAGCCCGTTGACATGAGCCACTTCGTCCGTCCATTCTTCAGCGTAAGACTCCTCAGGAACTCCCCGTCGCCGGGACACGCTCTTTCCCTTGCCTTTGGATGACCGCGTGGAGCTCCGACTGGTCGTGGTTCTTGCTTCTTCAAAAACGAGCGGCTCGCTGTCTTGCCCTTCAAGCGCCCAGATTTCCAAGGCACGAGAGAGCAGTGTGCCGGCGATGCCCGCGCCTCCTGCTGCGTCGCCGCCACCGCTGGCCCCGAGCACTCGCACCGCTTCATGAAGTGCCGTCACAGCTTCCATGGTGCGACTCAGCTCGAGTAATACAAGCCCGCGAGCAGTGTGCAACGAGCCGACCAGCCCACGGTCTTCGTAGCCCCCGACACCCGACGTGGCGACGCCAGATGCGCTCCCGCCGCTGCCCCCTAAGAATGGGCTGTACCCGAAACTCGCCCCAGCGGCTCCGATACGAAGGCACTCGTCGAACTCGGTCAGGGCTTCCGAGAATCGCCCAATGCGACGCAAGGCATGCCCCAAGTTCGCTCGCGTCGCTACCCACGCTCCGGGCTCGCATTCCAGCGACGTGGCCAGGTCTAGCGATCGCCGGAACAGCTCAACGGCCGCCTCAAGGTGATTTTGGTGATAGAAGACTACCCCTAGTTCGTTCAGAACCAAGGGGTCGCCGCCAAGAGAGGTCAGCTCGGAAGAGGGATTGGCACGGATGGCTGGAGCTGACCCGGACGCGTCTCCGGTGGACATCGAATACGCTGCCGAAAGGTACTCTTGTGCTAAAGACATGTTGTTCAGTGCAAGATGCTGCATGCCCAAAAACAGCTGAGGCAAGTGACTGCCCTGGAAAAGCCGTGCCGCCGTGCTATATGCGGCGATCGCCTGGTCGTGTTCTCCCTCGGCGGCAAAGGTGTGGGCAAAGCCAATCCATGCTGGTGCGGAATGGGGGTCCAGCAACGATGCCTTGGAGAAGAACCGTCGCGCCTCAGCGATCTTGGACACTGATAGGTAATACACGCCGATAGCAAGGTACGTATACGATTCTTCTGGTGCGTGATCAGCGAGCGTATGCGACAGTAAAAAAAGCGCATTGGTGGCCCCGGTTTCGTAGAGACAGGCCAGGTGTAAAGGGTACACCGCAGGCGGATGTCCAAGGTGGCTCTGAGCCGACACATGCATCGCAGCTGTCGTCTGTGTCAGTGAGGTGCTTGACTGCGAGGTGGATAGGATAGATGAGGTGAGCTCTAGAGCTTGTGCGAATCGGCACTGTGTATATAGGGCTTCTGCCCGCGAGAGCAAGATATCAGGGTTCTCCGACAGATTATAATGCGTCGAAAGAGTTTCGGTCGCGTCGGAAAGGATCGTAGGGGAAGAGTACTTGGACAGTCGGGTCGTGTATAGCATTTTGGTAAAATGAGCCGCCTCTTGCGCCACTGACGGCTCTGGGCTCGAGACAGAATCAAAGTCAAGAGACTCGAGAAACTCCAGTTCCTCGGCCGGCGACATGAGCGAGTTCTTCATGAGCTGGTCAAACGCCTCGAAGCATTGGACGTCGATCCGGACAGCATCCTTGTAGCAATCCCGCGCGCGGTCGAAGGCATTCTGCTTCGCAAAACAGACCCCCCTCAGATAGCACATTGCTGCCTCGAAGCGGACGTTGTTGGCATCCTCTTTTTCCCGCTCCTCGCTGCGATCGATCCGCGAAGCCGTGGTCTTTCCGTTCCGTAGAGTCACATGGCTCTGGCCGTTGAGGTGCTGCAGCTTGCGACGGCTGTTGCTGCTGCGTATCAAGTGAGTCGGGTTGTGGTCACCAAGAACAGAGAGCGCCTGCTCGAATTGATTCTGCTTGATGTAGCAGTGCGCGGCGAGGTAGCGACACGCGGTACTCCGGGAGATGAGGTCTTTGCGAGACAGGAGGGCCAAGGCGCGGGCATAGTTATTGTTCGAGAAATGGACCTGTGCTAGCCAGAAGGCGTCCGAGTCACTGTCTGGAAGAGGCAAGCCTTGAGTTAGCCTCTGAGACATGCGAGCAAAACCACGGCCGCATACCGGCTGGGTACTCACTGGTCAGGGCCAGCACTTTGTCGCCAATGTAAATGGCTGCGTCATGCTGGCCGCGGTTCAGCGCATCCTGGCGCCAGGAGCGCAAGAATCTTTCCATGAGCGAGAACAAGCACGTGGAACCGAGAGAGTCAGTTGAGGGGAGGATCACTGAGAACGAGGCGGTCACGACGGCGGCATCATCGACCGAGAGGCATGCGGCGGGTTGGAGGGGTGACGGGGATGTTTGAGCGGAGGATAAACAGACCGCGGACGAGAGTGGCGGTCAAGCGGTCGTCCAAGCGCGTGAGCTTGCGTATTTCCGAACAGTGCAGGAGAAAGAACGAGATTGTAGAACCAGAAGAAGGAATACGAGGTAAAGAAAGGGCTCAAAGTTGAAGGATGAGAAGGAAGCGTTGGGTCGAGGGCGGAGGACACAAGCGAAGGTACTGTACAATTCGCTAACAAACATACGAGGCAAACGCGGTAGTCTTGATGCCTGCCTTCTTAGGCATCAGTTCTCACCGCCCGGCAACCAATCAAGCAGAAGACATACACACATTGATTCATTTGAAAGTTGATGCTGATCAACAGAATTAAATTGACGCATACTATATGTCAAATTGCAGAAAAACCATTCCAAGAGATTCTATGCTCTGATTCATCCCATACCCATGTCTCATGGACAAGTCATGTTGAGACTGCAGTCACCCGTTCAGATCCACTGGGTGGAACTGTACACGATATACAGAAATGTAGAATGCAGATGCCTGAGGGGCCTATGTCCCAACTCTGTCACGAATACAGATCAGAGCATGATGTTGAGCTTGCTCATAAAAGCTTTGGCAAGTCCGACGGCGTTGACCTCTTGGCTTTGGCACATGGTTCTTGTTGGCGAAAAACCACCATCGAAGTGCCATGCCATTGTCAAAAGAGCCCTGCCATTACCGTGACACCACTCCAACAGCTGTCAACAGCCACCCATGAGTAGACTGTCGTGATCATCATCAGGGGCGCTGTTCTTCGACTGTGTAGCGCCATGTTTCAGAAATGTCTTCAGTCGCTCACAAAGGCATGGCAGTGAATTCACCGACTAGGGGAAGGATCAACCTCCTACCAGACTTAGAGCTTGAGGCAGCCACAAAATCGTAACATCGCCGCGTATGATTTCGACTTCACAGTCTCCGTCATACAGCCCCTTTCCGTGGCGCGAGCCATGTCCCCGGAAATTGCAAATGGCTTCAGTGAATCACCCCTTCAGGCTCCCTCGCCCAACTTCTAGCTCTTGTTTCCTCTTCGCTTATAAAATCATCTTATCATCAGAATGAAAGTCAGAAACCACACGACCAGTTTCTTTTCATTGTGTGTTTGCCATGGCTCTCTTTCGAAGCCCCCGATGGCGCTCACGAAGGAGCCATCTGCTTCCAGCTATCTACCTGATCGGGCTGCTCACTCTGACAGGTATCGCCCTTATCTGGTACGGCGTCAACTCAGACCGCGAATATATCTATCCTTTACTCACGCAGTTAATTCCTGCGGGCCACTGTGCGTGTCTTACCTCGACCACGTTTCAATGTGCGAGCTGCTTAACCTGCGCCCATCAAGACCGTTTACCTCAGACCGCACTTCCTTCTAGCCCGAGCTGGGTGTTTGATCCTGGTCAAGATGGTGACAATGAAGCACTGAGTCGAGCCCAGTGCATAGCTGCTTTCCCCGGTCTGTTTGAAGATCTCCTGCGTGCAGACACGTTCTGGAGAGAGAATGGCGGCCTCCAAGTCGAGCATCTGAAACACATCACGATCAAGCACGGCATGGCGCGAGTTTTCATCCATCGCGGGGAGCTGTATGTGGCAAAAGCCCTGTCAAGAGGCGAAGATCATCGGCGTAAGGTCTTAGCAGTGCTGAGTGCCATACACCGCGCACTAGTCACAAACCTGGAACGAGCATCATATCAAGATCTAGAATTTATCTTCTCTGTAGAGGATAAAGTCACGGATGTCACCACCACAGATCAGCCAATCTGGGTGTTTGCAAGGTCTGCTGGTGAAGAAGCAGTTTGGCTCATGCCTGACTTTGGTTACTGGGCATGGGAGAATGTGCAGAATTCCATCGGGCCATATGACCAGGTGGTCGACCATATCAAGCGCACGGAAATACCCTGGTCCCAGAAGATCAAGCGGCTCGTCTGGCGAGGTAAACCGAGTTTTGCTCCCAAACTGCGGCGCGCACTGATGGATGCTGCGCGAGGCCAGCCGTGGGGTGACATCAAACATGTGGATTGGAGCAAACGTACGAATGTTATGAGTCTGGAAAGCCACTGCCAATACATGTTCATAGCTCACGTTGAGGGTAAGGCTTCTGTGGCCGTACGATTGTTTCCAAGTGTTCCAGAACAATACTGAGTATGGATGTTAGGACGATCTTACTCTGCGGCTCTCAAATACCGCCAAGCGTGCAACTCGGTCGTTGTGGTTCACAAACTGCAGTACATCCAGCATCACCACTATCTTCTTGTGTCATCTTGTGTCAGAAGGACCGAGCCAGAATTATGTAGAAGTCGAAAGGGATTTTAGCGACCTAGCAGCCAATTTAAAGGCTTTGCTGGATGACCCATCACGGGCAGAACGCATTGCTAACAACAGCGTCGAGACATTCCGCGACCGGTATCTCACCAAGGCGGCGGAAGCGTGCTATTGGCGTATGCTTTTCGAGAGATATAGTAGCGTTTGGAACAGCAGCGTGCCGCATGGGTCAAAAAATCAGCAGAAAGAGCGCGGTGTGCGATACGAATCGTTTGTACTCTTGGACAGTCGCATGATGCTTGATTTTGACGCAACGAGCGCGACGAGCTGAGGCCTCACATACGATAGCAGTTGTGCGGAGAGGTGCATGAGTATTGCTGCTGGTATTGACGCAATAATTGGCTTACTGACAGGTCAAGAAATGCGCTCCTGGTTTCATGCATGATGGTTATTGCATCAGTGCTGTGGTGGTCTCAAGGGAGTCTTGGTTGGGGGGGGGGGGGGGGGGGGGGGGGGCAAATATCAGGAAAGCCTGGTAGCATCACATACGTCAGTCTAGTAAGTTATAACAGTGTGTAATTTAGTGGTGACTCGCCAGTCCCGTTCAATGGGGGAATAAGGTAGTTCGTAGTCTACATGATGGATAGATGTTCCAGTTGATGTCTTTGCTGGACCAAGGACAGTCAATCATGTGAGGGGTTGTTTCCGATCGATTTCCCACTTCGCTCCAGCCAAGTTCACATCCAACCTCATCATGCTCAACTTCAAACACAAGCGCGGCTCTGCCACTCAGATGGGCAATTATCAGACAGGGTCTACGAAGTGCTGAGTCACTTTGGTTTTAATTGCAGAATCAATCAACCTAAACAGACCATCAGCATCTGGGATGGGCGTCTGTATGCGACTGGGTAGTGCCGTGAGTTGGGCAGGGTTGCAAAAAACCCCCTTTCCATCATACATACGAACTTGTCTCACCTCCAGAAGCACCCCTTCCTTATGACTGTGCAGAACTGACATTGTTGAGAGTATGTCATTGGGTCTGCGAATCCACTAAGGCACGTCTGAGGTGGAGATACGATGGTTCGCTTGGCACTGCAGCTGCGGAGTGCGCTCCCTCCTAAACAAACCAACATGAATCACCCATCAAACGAATTCCTTCTTTCATCATAATTGTCCATGATCGCCGCGACCCTCCATAGCGGTGCAATACCCGCTGCAGCTATGTACCGACGCTATGGTTGCTCTTGTCGACCGACCATCTGACCAGATTGCGAGCATTCCTTCTCTTCGCTGACAATAGGTGGGTTCTGAGTGGCATACCCTCCCGTGGCGTCAAGCAAGGTAGCTTCCCACCCTCCAGATGAACCATGATCTGTGCGGAGATCGGCTCTTGCACTCGACCACTGGGGAGACGCCAGTGGGGCCTCGTCAAGGGCGCGAACAACCGACTATCGAAGGGATCATCGCGCGAATCGGCGAGATTTCAGCTCAGCTGAGATCTGCAGCCACAACACTCTTTCAGAGCCATTCACAATTCGTGCCATCTCTATGGAGGTCGCACGGGGGAACAGACACGCCGCCTGCCCACCAAAAGTGTGGAGGCTGGCGTGCTGGCTTATAACATAGGCTTGCATTCTCCAGTCGATTTGAAGCTGTCAGTTTTCCTGCTCTGTTCGCCTTTTCAACAACGCAGCCATGCCATCAGCTATTCCCAAGCCCCCGGGGGTCTTCCTCCTCGGCAATCTTTTTGATGTGAACTCTGGCAACCCTTGGATGTCATTCAACAAACTCTCGAGCAAATATCGTAAGCCTCACTTCATCCCGGGCCTGACGTGGTCGCCTGGTCCTAATATTTGTTTCGCTTCACAGGCCCTATCTGTAAGGTCACTATTCTCGGTCACGACATTGTTTTGGTCACCGGAGCCGCCCTTCTTGAAGAAATATGCGACGAGAAACGCTTTCGCAAAGCCGTCAACGGGCCTATTGTCGAAATTCGACAGCTCGTGCACTCGAGTCTCTTCACGGCTTACCACAGTGAAATGGATTCCTGGGGAGTCGCTCACCGAATCATGGCACCTCTCGTTACGCCAGAAGCTGTTGCACAGGTCTTCACGGACATGGGAGAGGTCTCAAACGACCTGATTAGGAAATGGACGGCTGGAACGCGCCAGCGTGTCAACGTCACTGACGACCTGGATCGTCTTAACCATGCCGCTAACATGCTTTGCTTTTTTGATCAACGACTCCATTGCTTGGAGGGCCCAGAGCCGTTGGTCATCAAGGCTATGGAGGGCGCGACCACCGAAGCGGTCCGGCGGCCCAGCCGGCCCAGAATTCTGAATTGGCTCTTCTATCAACGCAAATTCGACAACCTCATCAAGTCCCTGCGCGATTATTCGGCCGATTGCATCGCGCACCGACGCGCAAACCCGTCTGCCAAGAAAGACATGCTACATGCCCTTATCGAGGGCAAGGACCCAGAAACTGGCAAGGGTCTCGACAAGACCCAACAGATCGACGAGATCATCAACGTCTTCATCGGCAGTGCCACCGCACCAAACCTTGTCGCGTTCGCCCTTTACTACCTCATGAAGAACCCGAAGGAGATTGTGCGCGCACGGGAAGAACTAGATGCTGTCATCGGAGGACCTGGTACCCAAATCGAACACGAGCATCTTGCGAACCTCCCTTACTGCACTGCAATCCTCCGTGAGGCCATGCGTCTCGCTCCTCCGGCCCCGGGCTTCAACATCGAACCCATTCCCTCGAATGAAGGTCCTGTCTACCTCGCCGGAGGCGAGTACGAAGTCCCGCGCGACCAACCCCTGTATGCAATCCTGTATGGTGTGAACCGCGACCCGGCCGTGTTCGAGGACCCGGACGCTTTCAAGCCGGAGCGTATGGTCGGCGAGAAGTACGATCGTCTTCCCTCCAGCGTCAAGAAGGGATTCGGCAATGGTAAGCGCCACTGCATTGGAAAGCAGTACGCGTGGGAATGGTCGTTCTTCACGCTGGTCAGCATCCTCAAGGATGTGGAATTTGAGTTGGCCGACAAGAACTATGTCACCAACCCGGCCGCCGAGAACTATAACGGGGCGTTCACCGTCAAGCCACTGGGACTTTTCGCTGTCACCGGGCCCCGCCCTAGAGCGAGTTAGATCTCTGGTCCTCCTGTTAGCTATTCTGTCTCCTGCCTCATGATATCCAAATTGCGGTTGTAGTGTATGCTACGCGTTTGCATGTTCTTCAATACTACTAAGCTTTTTCGCTATGTTTCGGTCATTGAATGATGTAATGCTAGTGTCTGAATATCTTTCAAAGACGTCTCTCTTGGGGATCTGTTCATTTGACCACAAACTTAAGAGACAACTGAATGTTTTGGAGCTTTAGAAGGACGAAGTAGCCTCCGGTAGTATGTGCACTACCAAGCATGTTGCAGGGATTCGAACTCTTCCAGTGTGCCCATTTGGATCTTTGCCACAGACGACGAGCCCGACTATGCCGATTCAGGCCTTGCTTTCAGAAAACCATATACCCTACAAAGTCCATGATTTCATAGATACAAAGCATGGATGCCCCTCAGCAGCACGACATGGACGCTATGCTCGACAAATGCAAAGACAATGTTGATACCCGTGGCACAGAAACCGAATAAGTTCTACAGGGCCTGGAACCTGTGGGCGATGGCCCGAGGCAGCTGTTGTGGTAGAGGTTGCCGTCCCGAGAGTAACCCAAGGGTTGTATGAGTTGCGTGTCATGCTTGAACTATATCCTTTTGTCCACCAAAGATCATGCATATGTGTCTCAATAATTGAATCTACACTTCATTTCATTTATTGACAGATGGTTAGTACCGATGTGGAAGGGGAGCCTCTTCAATTCCTTCAGCTACTTATCTTCAATACCCACCTAAGGACTAAGGAATCGGTCTTGACCTCACCTGAATGAAGCCTGTGGGTACCATGCTACCGCACGCGACCTCATATACCAAGACATTATAGCCTGAACGACGATCAGCAAAGTTCAAGCCACCCCGCAGTGCAACCGATCATTGCAGACAGCCATCCTGCCACGATGGTCGAACAGACCGTCTGAATGTGAATCGCATTCGCCCTTCTGTGCCATGTCTAGGGTTATACAACTGGGGATCCAGTCAATTCGCTCGGATGCCCTGTCCAACAGGGCGAACGGCGACGGGCGAGAGCCCCCTCCCTCTTCCTCCTCATGACATGTGATCAGTTGCAAAGGGATGGGTCCAGGTCCGTTCTTAGAGGTCACCCCAGAGAATTCGCCCCGGCCCTGATTGCAACACCTTTCGCAAGCGCCGTTGCCGTGATGTGGGGTGGGATGGACACATTTGGTAATTCGATTCTCTAAGGCTTATGCGGGCTCAGGTTGATTATCACTGTGTTCTGTAGGGGTGATGCTTGTTGACTTCGGTCGGTGGTCTTGCTTGAACGTCAACTGGTTGGCACATTGCTGTTAGCATACCAAGGCAATATTATGACGTATAGGTCTGTGTGCTCAAGGAGCTCAGAGTCACTGCGGCCCAAAAGGACACGACAAATGAGAATTCGGGATGGCACACTTATTCTCGCTCGATATTGTACCGGAAAATGGCGAAAAAGCAGATAGATGACAAGGAGATGGTTTACCTAGTCAATAATAGCAACAGCCGTCCACAGTCGCTCAAGCAAGTCCCGGAGGAGCGCAGCTCGGACCATGTCCAAATTTCATGGTCGGATAAAGCCGATGCTGTAAAGTAACCGGTTTTCTCTTCAAATGTCTCGAAGCCAGGTGTTGATTGGAGACCAATGCCATGAAGCCGATGATCGAGGGAGGTGGAAATGGGTCACAACAGAGAATAATGAGGTTTCCAACCACTCTATGCTTGCTTTTGAGACGCCTGTCTGCTATCAATCTCTTGAAGCAGTACATGTTCCCAATCAGATGCAACTGAAACAGGCTGTTTGATCCGACAAAGAGAGTCCGAGAGGGGGGAAAGGGGATTGTACTGTTGTTTCAAACAGGGAAGGAGGAAAAGCAGTCAGTCACGGGAGAACGAGTTACCAGGGAATTCTTCTCTACCAATTCATTCTGGAACGGAAGGCTCTGGCAGTTTCTTCCCTCCATCTTCCTTCTCGCGATCGATTCAAATCATTTCACACCTCTCCCCGATACCCGACATCGGTGCTACCACACCTTCATCACTGCTTCCTCCACCGGACGGCTCTGAGTTGCTTCAGATTCATTGAGGTGACACAGGAGCTGGATCATTTGGCAGTGGCCCTCTGGCTAACTCGCATCCAAAACACGCCAGTCCGAATACGAATCGCCTGGTCTACCTTCTCATTAAGTTGGGATCTATTGCTCTTGCTCGGACACGCTGTCTCATCGGCCTGTCGGCATTGCTCTCTCCTACCTCGCTTTCCAGGAGATCTCCTGATTGGCTTTCCAGTCAACATACATCAAGGCACCTTCGATGCTGACGACAGGTCAGCCGTGAAGCTGAGCTCAGACAGCCTGGGCCATTGATTCCATGCTGTCACTGGATCCTCCAAGCCAAGCTAGAACCAATTGCCATCCTCGGGCTGTGCTGGCAGAAGAGCCTTGTTTCTCCAAAGAAAGTTTTGGGCTTTGGTGCCCGGAGGAGGTTTTCATCCTGACTGGTATACAGGACTCCATACTTTTTATGCAGATTTGATCCGCCTGCGACCAAATCGAGCCATGGTCGAGTAGCACCAGTTATGAAACCGGTAGACTATCCCAGTGGCCACCCTCGGGGTACGGCAAACATACCTTTGAAGACTAGTACGCTGAGCTAATTTCAATCCCACTCTCACAAACTTGTACCCGACAAATGTATAGCTTGCATCGCAGTTGGTCTGTATCTTCAAACCAGCTGGGTCAGACTTGCCATTAGCTACGCTAAGACACTCAATTAGCCCTAAGTGGTGCGCCGTGATCGAGGCTGCGCACTTACGGGTACCATACACATGGTCTTACTACCCGGAGCTCCCGGGTACATGCGACAGAGGAGTACTAGCCGTGTATCCCGAAGCACTGGAACAATTTTCTGTGCCAGTCTCCAAGGGCCTCAAGCTGGGTTATTTGCAGCTGTTCACGATTGCCGCATAGCTCGCTTAGTTTATTCAAGTTACGCCCCAGATCCGTGCGCATGGCTTGCCAGACCAGTATGCTGAATGGGAATAATAATGAGTCTCTGATCAAACAGGTGAATGTGCAGTATCAGCTGAGAGTCACCTAGCCGGCAGGTCTGGCTCGATCTTTGTGGCCTGGCCCTCTCGATACTCATGCAACGCCTCTTATCGATTTTAGTTGGACACGCATTAATGATCAGCAGCGCCAAATGAAGCCTTGCCCGCAACCTCAGAGCTATGGGTTATCATTGTCTGGGCAATTTTACAGCCAATGCCTGGCGTGTGACATGGACCAGGGTTGCAGGGCGGGCTAGCAAAAGAGCTCAGCGCGTGGCTCGAGCAGTCACGAGCCAAGTACCAGTGTAGTGGGAAAGCAAGGAGCCATGAATAACTGGCTGGCTGGCTGGAGGGGCCTGAGAGAAGACACAGAGAATGGTTCGAGTAACCACGCACGGCGGATATTCGAATACTGCTTTGCGAGCACGAGCCACGACCTTTCCTTGATTCTACGCCCGAGCTGATGTTGCACCCATTGCGCAACCTCGTAAAATTTACCAATAGAGCCAATCATCACCAGTGAGGGTCCCTGGAATATCCGGGATTTGGCTCGTTGGATTTTTCGGATACGGTGAGCTGAGTGCATAATCTCCTTATAAGGAAAGATGGTTAGATTGCAGCAAGATCGGCCTACTGACGGTTTGACAGCGAGACACGCAGAAGGAGGCGGAGGCTCTGTCCCTCCAAGACGCACTGCTACCCCGCAAGAAGCTAGCTATATGAGTCCAGCCTTCATCCTCTTGCCTGGTTCTCTTCATGCTACTTGTGTACAGTGCTTATGGTCAAGGCAGATATCTGTTCACACCGACAGCATTACCCTCACTTTATCATCCTTCCCTGTCGTCTGATGTCTACAAAAATGCGAGTACAACCCACCAAGGAAGAACGATGCTCGAGCGACGGTTCTGGACAGAAGCAGGATCCTATCGAGCGAAGGAGGTTGCAGAACCGTCTGTCCCAGAGAAATCATCGTGCGTGAGGTCAGCGCGGATGGCAGTTGACCCGGTTACTTACAGGGAGCGCAGGTCGAAAGATACGTGACCGCATCGCGAAGCTTCAGGAGCGTGTTATTGCCAGTGAGCTACGAGCAGCTGCAAGTCTGAATGGTTGGGATCATGCCAGCTCGATCACCGGACCACCAGCGGTGGACCGGTATTCGCCTATCTTTGATCCCAGTGGCACATCCTCTTCGACGATGGCCGATGGGTCCTCCGGTTATGCATCAGCGTATATGTCTCAGTCCCGATTGTTCTGCTCGTCGTGCAACAGTGCGTTGGCGCCGCTGCCGCTATGCTCGACCCAAATGACGATTACATCGCCTCTATACGATATCACCGAGCTCGATGCTTCGAATACATCCTCCTCGAACCCCCGGAATCACCCCTATTTCCCCCGGTCTAGCTCTGGCGCTTCTGAGTTGCTGCAAAGCATGTCTGGTGGCTATTCATCGAGCGACGCAAACGCAGTGCCCCTTTTCGAACCGTGGACTGGCCAAACTCAGTATTCCGGATCGTCACTTTACTACCTCACAACAGGTAAGATGCATTCGGGCTCGCATCGGCCTGAAGCTGATCATTCTGCTCTAGAGGCGTCGTTGCCACAGATCATGCAAGCTTTAAGCACGGGACCAGCACGACCCAAGGCGATCATCGTGCTCTCGCAGAATACGCAACCAGCCTCAATTTCCACCAGTCTACCAACGTCGCAATCGCCACCCACTGCAAACAGCACTGTCGAACTGTCAGGATCATCCAGTCCTGTTGAGTTGCATGAGACCTTGTGCCAGTGCCAGAGTCAGCGATCGATGGCTGGACCCCCGGGCATGATGGCCGCTGATGACTGGGTTAATGCAGGTACCTCAACCTCTCCGGCTGTTTGCCCACTACATTCGATGCCAGCCAATGAGAGCATGCAACTTATGATGATGTGAGATGAATTTATATATACTATACCATGTTGGAAGTTTTGGGAGCGGTGGTACATAGACTGAGAACAATACAAGATTGTGTGGTAAGCCTTTTTTCCTTGGGATATGATCAGTGCAACCCATCAAGATGGTGAATTAGATTTAAAGGAGTTGTTCGATGAAGATGAAGCGGTGAGCCTTGGACAGAGGTGCAGTGGCGAGTTGAAGCAAACAAGCAGATGTTAATAGTAGAAGCCGGGCCTTATATCCACTAAAGCCTTCTTTGTCTGTTTGATCCTCCCTGGTTCGACATGCAGTAGTTTGCAGCATCAGCTTTGCGTGTTCCAAGAACACAGTTCACCCCAACGAACAACAACAACAACAATGTCTCAGAAGATTGAGCCAGGATCCTCATCCTTAGGCCATAGCAGATCGTGAGGCAGTAGGCAAAGCAAAGAAAGTCACGATCACCGGTGCACGCCACTTGTGCTATCGCCGATGGCACAATAACCCCGAACTACATCTGCTTTCACACCGGCGACTGGGGAGGAAGCATTGAATCCCCTGATCACCGATCTTCCATTTTCTACTCGCCACTTGTCTCGTCAGTTGTCTCTACGAAAATCCAAGATGAGTATTCGCTTTTGCATCCCATGTTGCCCCCTCATGGGTAGATCACCGCTGTGTACTTACCTCTTATTCTCTCACGTGGGCAGCTTGTCACATTGATTACTACTAGATCTCGGTAGGTATATGTGTATCCTGTGTGTGTCCGTGAGAAGTTAGTCCTCAACGTACTATACTAATTAGACCAGTGATACCTACCAGTACCTACCTTAGTGCACAAAATACAAACCTTCCTCTCCTCTTTCCTACAATTACAGTATAGTCCAGTACAGTACATTCACCTCACGCTCAAAGCCCCTCAACTCCAAGTCGCTTACGGGGTATTAGTGAAAATGACAATCGGGCCGTGGTGCATAATCCTCTGCCGAAAAAGGGATCGAATGTTTGCTTTTTTTTGGGGGAGGGGCCGGGGGGCCTCAGCAAATGAGCTGGGTGGTTATGTTCTGGTGAATAGAAAGAACATGGGGTCAGCTGAGGTATGGATGTTTGTGGGAATCTGATCGCATGAAGGGGGTTCGTTGCGTTGTTCTATTCTTGGGAATGGGGCTGGAGAGCTTGAAAATCGGGGATGATGGGTTGGTTGTTTGGGGTTTAATTCAAAGGTCGGTCGGGAGGGAGGGCGAGAGGGACGGGGAATCTTTCTCCGAGGATCGCCGGGTTGGACGGAAGTAGTAGCCATAGTGAATAAATTCATAGCAAGTAGAGTACGGAGGAGAGGGTGCGAGGTGTGGAAGTAATCCCTTGTCGTTAGGCAGCAGTAGCAGCGCGGGATCCTCGAGAGTATTGTACGGAGATGATGAGGGTTGTATAGCATCCGCCCTAATCTCTAGTTATCCACGGAAGGATATGATAATTCACCACTGCAAGTGACTCTCCCCCACCATCATACCTCATACTGATTCCACTCCTATCCCAGCCGGGAATCTCGATATTGAAAAACCGCCCATTCAATCCCCCCCCTCCCTGTTCCCCCATGAATCTGAACTACACCTTGGGAGAGACAACGAATCGGTAGACATACTTATTCACAATCTTTCTATCTAGTTTCTCGCCGCTCCGCCACAGCGACAGTAACGCCCGAGTCCCCACTCACGAGATGCGTGCGGTCCGTTTACGTTGACTTAGGTGTTGGTGGGTGTGTGGTCGTTCCTACTGATAAGCAAGTCAACCTGATACTAAGGTCATCTCACTTGAAACCAGCCAGACACCATTGACCGTAAGACCGTAAGAGGGCACGTTCGTTCCATCCAGAGACAGACACACTACCAGATACATCCAACATCCCCGCATCATTAATCAACACATCCAACACCCTCCCCCTGCAAGCATCTCGTCCACGGTCTCCGCTACGTCCGTCACGTCGAGTGATACCGGCGTGATGCGCGAAGGATGTCTTGGAGGAGGATTTGGAAGGCCCGGGGCTTGTTGCCGGCGGCGAGTTGGCGCGTGAGTGCGAGGCCGATGCCGCGGGTAGCGCCTGTTCTGAGGTAGCTTATCATATTCAATGGTATTGGTGGATCGTTTGTAGAGGTTGTTGGATGGAGGGAGGGTTTGGTTCTGGCGAGGGATTCGTGCGACTGATTCAGAATCCGTATGGTAGATTGTAACTGGGGCAAAAGCACCAACGTCCTGCCTCGTTAGTAGATGCTCCCATCCACTCCGGACGCTCATTCCCTCGTGCGTGGTCTCATGTTTACTGTACAAACGATTGAAACATGCAGGGAGGTTATTATGAAGGTCATTGACTCGGCAATAACCTTAACTACCGAGATGGAGACGGTAAACCTCACCACCACCTTAGTTATAAACACCACCACAAGCACTACGCACAAGCGAACCAGATACGAAAGTGCTCAATTGCTCAACTACACAGACAAGTCAATTAGACAGAGAATAAAGTTTCTGAGAAACACAATAAACCATTTTCAAACTCCCCATTATGCGCCAGCAGTGATCATAATCGCCGTCCCAGCGACCCCCCCCACCTCAAAATAAATGCTAGAGCCAAACGCCGGATTAAGTGCAACTGCTTCCTCATCAACGACCTACTTAGCTCCACAACGGTGGGTGAATGTATTCGGCCGCACGATCCAGGATGTTAGGGATGGACCACTCGCCGCTGGTCGAACTCTCCGGCGTTGGCGGCGGAAGAGACCCGAGGCTCGGCGTCATACCCGCCGCAGCACCCGCAACGCCCATGCTGGACCCTGCATGTGGATTGAGGTACGCGGGAGATCCAGCCTGGCCGGCAGCTCGAGCGGCTTGCGAAGTAAACGCGGCTTCCAGTTTCTCCAGAGCACGGAGGGTTTTGGTCAACGGCTTGGCCCACTGAGTCTGTGTCTCAACGCCGACCCCGACAGACCCGGGGGATGCAGAGTTCATGCCTGCGGGGCTCGGGGCGGCAGTGCTGGGCGCGCGGGGAATAGTGCTGAGGGTAGGGGGGGCGGCACCATCCGCCGGAGGGACAGTGGCATCGAGCTCGGCGTTGGCGCGCTCGGAGATGATCATCTTGAGCTGCTGCAATAAGCTCCAGAAACGGGGAATGGTTTTCGATTCGTCGGTGACCGCCAACAGGAAAATCGAGCTGATGGCTCGCTGCAGCGCGATCCACGACCGCGACGCATGGGAGCTGACGCTGTGCATCTCGATGTACGCCTCCACCGTCGTCATGAGGTTGTGAATACAGTCGGCCCGCATACTGGCTGCGGCTGGGTCGGCGGTATCTCCCGCCAGCTTCAAGGCGGGCCGATAGAGTTCCGAGGAGAAGTACGAGGAGTGCAGCTTGAGAACAACCCGCTCCAAGTGCTCGGTGGCAGAGAGACAGTATTTACGATCGCGGAGATGAGGCTTGGCCTCAATCATGATCTGCTGGATACGCTCCTTGTAGCCCTGGATCGTCTTGTAGCTCAGTTGCGAATGCGGACTCAACATGCGGCTGCGGACCACTTCCAAACACAGACCAATGACTCGGCACAGCGTCTCAAAGTACGAGATTTCGCCGGGCTTCCGGTCTTCACGGTATGCGATTTCCGGCTGGCTCACAGCGGTCGTAGAAGGCCGGTCGTAGGAGAGAGAGAAATGACTGTCCTGCCAAGCCATAGACCACCTGTGCATGGGTTAGAGTCTACCTCTCGTAGCGCCGATCTCGTCATCGGAGAGGGATCACGTACCAAACGTGGCGACGGCGATACCGCTCGGCGGCCGAGAAGCGGCTGGATTCAACATGCAGCCCGAGGGCCAATCCCATCCGAAGTGTCATCCCAAGAAGTACATATGAAATTCCGGGATTCATGTTGTACGACAAGACGTTGCCAATCACCAGCAGGGTTTGCATGGCATCGATGGTTGGCTGCGACAAAAAGTTGGTCATCCGAAGACACTGGTATGAGCAACAGACTACAACCATCAGTGACTGTCAGGTGCGGGGTTGGCAGGGACAGACAAACCATAGACTTGCGATGTCAACTCTCTCTCCTTGCCTGGAAGATCCGACGATTGACAACCAGAGGCCAGGACAGCGAACAGCAATCCCATGTAGGCGATAGTCACCCCAAAGGGCTTCTGGGCCTGGTCTGGATCGGCGCGGTATACACCGCCCATTGCCGCCCTATTGTTGAGCAAGAGCTGCAGGTTCATCTCGAACTGTGGAACGTCTTCAAGGACAGGATAAATGGCTCCTGCTATGTCTCGATAATAGCAGAAGAAACTGCCAGCAGACGCCATTAGCGCTCATGTTTGGAAAGAGAATGGCTCGGGCGGACGACTTACTCCTTGCACTGCTGGTCGGAGGGAAGAGCACTGCAGACGGCGCTGATATCAAAGGTTGACATGTCAGATGACCAGAGGTCAACAAACGGATAGGTTGCAGATTCGTTGTCCAGGCCCAGCTTCGGCAGGATTCCTCCTTCCAGAAGCGCCTGAAGCTGATCGGATCCCGATTTATTGTTCAGGATGTACGCTAACACCGAGCGGGACCCCAGGTGCACCGTGCCCTCACCAAAGGTGTTGGGCGCATGGATGCCCTCCCGCTCCGGCGAAGCAGCCTTCGACCGACTACTGGCATCGCCGCTTTGTATACTGCCGGTTTCCAGCGAGGATCCATGTCCATCTTCCGCCTTCTCGAGTCCGACTCGCAGGGTATTGATTGTTTGTTCCATTTCTCGCAACCGCGTGCGAACATTGTCCCACTCCTCCCGCGCGATGGACACCCGCCCTGGTCCCACTGGCGCTGCTAGACTTGGTCGGCTGGTAGCCGCTTCCGGCTTTGGGCGGGGAGGCTCGGGTGGTATGATGATGGTCTCACCGGGGCCCGGAGGCGGACCGCCCAGCGGACTGTGGTAGGAACCCGTCATGATGCGCTTCTTGGAGGGACGTTCATAGGAGCAGAGGTCGGCATGGTCGCGCTTGACACAGCCATCGCACGGTAGGTTGCGGTCACATTTCACTTTGCGAGCGTGGCAGGGGTAGCAGGCCTTGGGTTCGCGCGCCTTGCGTTTTGTGCGAATTATGGCATCAACTTGGGATTGCGGCAGGTCGGAAATGGCCCGCGACGAACCCGCCATGTCGGGACCAGCGACTGACGGCGAGTATGAGATAGAAGACTGGTAGGGAGAAGTCATTGTGAGTGGTGGAAGAGAGCGAAGAGATCAGGAACAAAGTTCGAGGCGGTTCTGCGCGAGGTTTTGCGCGAGCGTGGAAGGATCGTCGGTTGGTGTGTTATTGCTATCTTGAAGCTGAACCATGCGAACAGCACAGCGGGGAATGGACGGAATCAAGCGGGTGAATGAAGGCGGCGAGAGAATTGAGCAGAGACTGTCCAGGATTCACATTGGAAGCATCACATAAGTCACTCAGGGAGTCAGTCCATGAACAATTGTCGAGAAGTGAAGAGAGGATGACGAGGGGCCCATTGAAGATGGGCTCAACCAGAAAGTGTCTCCCGAGGTCACTAGCAGGGCGCAAGATTGGATTCCACCGCCAAGTTGTGTGACTGGGCGGGAAAACACCTGCAAAGGATCCGCCAGTGACTCAGCAATCCGCGGCACTTGCGCACGTGACATGGAGGGGGTCGATCATGGGTTCGCCAAGCCCTGAGCCCTACTTACCTTAAACAGTTTAATTCACTAACTACGTAAGTTAACTAACTACGTAGTTAACTTAACTTATATGCATCAGGTGACGTAATGCCCTCTAGGCAGTTGCCTTTCCCTTAAGGTACTGGCTTCTGTTCAACTAAACCACACATGCTTTGCTGTGCTACTCATGTACTCTACTCACAATACTCACAAAGACACAGTATATACAAACTGCCGATTTCAATCCTACTTTGCAGACACTGCATATCCTTCCCCTTACTTAATCAGTTGCTGAACTGACAAAATATGTTGCAGCCACCGGCTCACCCACCGCAGCCACAATGGGCGCCAAGGTGAAATTGAACCGTGCAGCAGTGGTTTGATCATAGTACAAGCCCTCCACCGCCGCTGTAGGCGGAACATAGCCCTTGGGCTGATCAAACAGATAGATTGTGTAGGTATGCTCGGTGCTATCTCTGGGCCGCGGGGCGGTATAGGGCGCCAAGGCATCGCTCGAATTGACGAATGTCCGGCCCTCGAGGGTGAAGTTCCCACCCCACCAATGCACACGAGTGGTGGTATTGGCTGCCAGTCCTGGAACCAGTGTAGCATAGTGGTTGGCGGTGGTGACATCCGAGTCCGGAATGTTGAGGTCGAGCATCACGATCATATAGGTTCCAGGGTAGACCTGCTTGACTCGCCCCGGGTAGACGGATGGGGCAGATGTCACGTCTGACAGGTGGATGCATTAGTGTGCTGCATTGGGCTGACCTTCTGAAGGGCAAGGAAAGATCGGAAATCATACCGTCAGGGTTGACCCACACATCAGGAGTGACAGTCACGTTCCCGAATGATGCTCCCAAACTGACCTGCGCTGTTGGCCAACTGCCTACAGGGGTCTGGGCCAGTGAAGTCACGGTGAGGAGAGTGGATGTGAGAATGGTAGTGGTGCGCATGATGTTGGTCCTGTGATGACCGCAAGAGGGCATGAAATTTGTATGGGAAGATGGTTCAGCGTGCACAAAGTCACGACAATAGATGATCTGTAGTTACATGGTAGATATACGCCTGCATTAAAAGAGCTGTACGTGTAGTACGTACCCGAGGTGATGTGGAGAGGACTCGTCATCAACGGGTTCTTCTTAAAACGCCGAACAAGACTAAACATGTCCGGAATCGGAGCTCGGACGAAAGAGCTACATTGGGGAAAAGGATTGAATCAAATTTCGGACATTGAACATTCATTTCGGACAGATATAAAATAAGATGTTGTTTGGTAAGGAGTAAATTCTTTTAATGTTCAGAATTGCTGGGGACAAGATCACACTGAAAACTATCTGGGCACGGATACGTGCATTCAGTTGGGTCGAAGTCTTTTGGAGAATGGATACTCTTAGTAGGGTCAATTACTGAACTAATGTATTCTATTAATTTCTAGCACGTTCGGTATTTAGCATGAATCATGACTTGCAGCGCTTAATGAGATGATGAAAAGGGGAATCATTTGCCAAAACTCAAGCACTGAAACAAAGTATGGCAATACGCCAGCGAGCCGCCAATCTATATAATCAACCTTCAGTGCTTCTCGCCCTGCTCTTCATCATCGCTAAAAGCAAACTTGGAGAAGCGACGAATGGATGCTCCCTTGAAATAGAAGACATAGGGAATCGCACAGCAAGCAAGGGCGATGAAAGCCAGCAGCGAGCCTGCCCACTGGTAGCCCAGTCTGGCATACATCTGTTCCGTAAAGAGAACGGTGGCTGCACCCCAGATAGATCGAAGGAATGTTTTCGCGGCAAGCGCAGAAGCTGCCTGATGCTGATAGGTATCCACTATAGCTGTGTTAGTCCGCATCCATGACCAGCAACGCTCACGGTTGACTCACCAAGGTAATTGTTGGCCGAGTTATACAAGAAAATGAAACCAAACCCAATTGGCCAACCTCCCATCGCGGGACCGAGCCAGTGCATTCGGGGATAGGAGGTCCAAGCAAAAATGAATAGTGCGATCGGAACAAGCCAGCAGGAATACATCATGGGGATTAGGCGAGCTTCGGCGGGAGGCTTTCCACCATATTTTTGGTACAGCGACAAGTAGTGCTTGTTCACGAACGGTGCGCATGCCGAGCTCATCAGAACGCCAATCGCAAGAGGGATGAACATGAGACCGGTGGAGCCAGCACTCCAGCCTTTGCCATCCTGGTAGACGACCGGATAGCTTGAGATTGTAGACGTTAGGACATAAGCTCGGGCTTTGGAGGTATCAGAGCACTCACGCGATGAAGAACATGTACAGCAGGCCGTAAAGCACTGACATGTAGAGAGAGATACACAAAACAATAGGCTCCAGACACAGAAGTTGCAAGGGTCGGTAGAGAGTCAGTCGAAGCTTCTCTGCCAGCGGTCGAGCATCAAGCTCCATTTCGGTGACGTAGCTGGGGTCGTCCTTTTGCTTTCTCAGCTTCTTCGCCCTTCGCTTCAGCAGAGTCGGCGCATATGTCTCGGGGACAGTGAATGTGATCAGCACCCAGGCCACAAAGGCAAGAATGAGCTGCAACCAGTATAGCCATCTCCAATTTGTTGCATCGGCAAGATAGCCACCAGCCAGAGGTCCGATCGCAGGCCCGAGAAAGGGGCTAGCCGAGAAAGCTGCCATGGGGATCCCTCGCTCCTCATTTTTCCACAAGTCCGACAGTGTGCCGCCCACTAGCGTCATGGGCGCGCTGAAAGCGATTCCATCGATAGCTCTGCAAACAATGAGTGTGGCGATGTTGGGAGCGACGGCGCATGGAATGACAAAGATCACAGCCAAGAGCATGGTGACTGCATAGACGAGCCTGCGGCCGACCATTTCAGAGAGCGGGGCGAATGCCATAGGACCTTAAATCAAGCAGTGAGAAGGAGTTATGATGATAAAGAATATGACCCTTCAAGGGATGGCAACCTACCCACACCAAAACCAATAACAAAGACGGTCACTACCAGAAGACTGACCTCATTCGAGACACCAAAGGTTTCCGAGGGTCCTTCGATATCTGCGGTAACGACACTGCTGGCGAAGGCGACCACGAAGCAAGTGAAGGAAACCACCATGGTGCAGTACCACTTATATGCTTTTGACCAGTTCTTGGGATTCTCCGGGTCATCAATGCTGAAGGTGACGAGCTTCCATTCTTCCTCGACTCCTGTCAGAGCAGATCGAACTGGTTTGATGATCTCTCCCGTGGCTGTTTCCGTGGTATATTCTTCCATGTTGGCGGCATCGTTCACTTCGCGATAAGGTAGATCCAGTGGATCAGCTTCCCGTATGGATGTCGTTGTGTGTAGTCGGTGGGGCTGGTCATCATGGGTCTTGACTCGACTTGGGGGCGCCATATTTGAGATATCAAGAACGCTGTCCAGGAACAAACACCACGATCTCTGAGGCTGATGCGTCGATGAACATGATTGCGGTAGGCGGACAGAATGCTTGCACTTATAGAGCTCTGCTTAACGCCACAATCTGTTCCAGACTCTCACAGGAGCGATACCATTTGATGGAAATCGCGTCGAGATGCCGCCAGAACCATTCCAAAGATGAGGATGAGAAGGAAAATCCCTTCTAGATGCCCAAAACGGCAAGTCTTTGGCTCGGATCCACCGCTGCAGGGACCATATTTCCCGACTGGGGAGTTAGAGCTAACCATTTTAGGCAATATGCCTCGAGATCATCAAATGCAAAAACAAGAGCCCGGAAAATCTAGACTGCTTGGAAGATTTGCAGGCACATTAGACTAGAATCTATGAGGTGAATTCTCATGCGCGATGCGCGCACACATCGTCACACGGTCAACCATGACCCTAAACCCGGCATGTTTTAAAGTACGATCTACAAGATATACCTGCCAAGTACCTCGCCTGTGATCTGGCAGATTGCCAGGGGTTTTATGCGTCATGAGCCCGGTACGATTAAGCAGCTGGGGGGACGGCCGCGTATATCTTCTTCACGGGATAACATCGAAGGAGGATGGCCTGATTCCGGCCCATGCCAACATAGATAAATGGTTGTGATTCGAGTAAATTCTGGTGTTCAGCCCAAACTTGCTCAGCTCATACCATGCCAAGCTGACCGGCGTTGGATGTGGCTGAAAAAGAGACAAGTCGAGATTCGCAGTTGCCGGCAGTACGGCACGCGGAGCATACTGCCTGAAACGGCAAGACTTCCCGTTGGGAATGGCGATGTAATGGAAACTAGAAACCTGCCTTCGCACCCATTGAAACCCCAGGATCTCCTCTTTCTACTATGCTACAATTCTAAACTGCAGTGGGGACTACACTGGAAAGACAAAAGCTCGATGGATATATAGGTGGTCCTAGCTCTTTGCCCCGGATTGTAACAGCATCCGATGCGGACAAGGCCATGAAGCACAACGGCAGGGAAGCCTGGCCAACTCAGCACGCACTTCAGCTGTGTAGGCACATGAAGGTCGTGAGGCTCAACTGTGCATGATTCTCGGATGTATAACCTGACCACAGAGGGGATCGAATCAGTAGTAGATGATGGACAGAGCTCACTGCTGCCACTAGAGATGGCCCGCTGCCTCAGGCTGCAGCAGTTTGCCGCTGTTTGCCGGGGGAAAGTGCATGACACGTGACTGATAAGTCAAGGGGGGCGACGATGAGCCGGAAGGAGACTAGCGCGGGGTGGTTTTTCGCACCCTCCGTCAACGGAGCAGAAAGATTAATTTTTGATTTCGAAAGAGACGAGCAGCTCAAAACGCCTCCCTTCAGTCTGTGAAACTCACTCACTAGAGGTGTGTCGGTGACACCTCTTTTCATAGAGGACTCTTTTCAGTTCTCTCTTCAATCCCAGCCAACTTGACCCTATCCTTTTCTCCCCTCCCGCCACCCGCTTCTCTATCCTCCTCCCCCGCCCTCCGACCGAGTGAGTCACTCTCCACCCACCTCAAAATGGCCTCCAACTCGACCTATTTGGCCATTCCTGGCTCTGTCGCCTTTTCCCACTCTCGTGGACGCGCTGTTGCTGCCAGCATTGGAGCCAGCGATGTTCGTGCGCAATGGATCCATTATGTCCACCTTTCTCAGCCATTGGACGAGCCCCAGCGCGCTGTATTGGAGCAGCTCCTCCGCTATGGTGATATTACCGATATCCCCCCTACATTCACTGCGGAGGATGGCTCTTTCGACGTCTACCACGTCTACCCTCGGACGGGTACCATCTCCCCTTGGAGCTCCCAAGCGACCGGTATCTCTCACGTCTGCGGCCTGCGCCAGTATGTGAAGCGCATCGAGCGGGGTATGAAGGTCTCATGCCTGCGCTCTGGCAGTGGCAATTACAAAGACGGCTTCCAAGATGTTCTCCATGACCGCATGACCCAGATCATGAGCGAGACCGAACCGGATCTTCACTTGATGTTCTCGGAACACAGCCCCCGACCCCTCGAGACGATTCCGCTTCACGGCAGCGACAAGAGCCCCAAGGAGGTCCTCCAGGAGGCAAACAAGAGACTTGGATTGGCATTGGAAGAGTCGGAAATCGATTATCTGGCTGACGCTTATGGCCCTAACGGCCCGATCGCTCGGGATCCTACCGACGTTGAACTCTTCATGTTTGCCCAGGTCAACTCGGAGCACTGCCGTCACAAGCAGTTCAACGCTTCCTGGGTCATTGATGGAAAGCAAATGCCCAACAGTCTCTTCTCTATGATCCGCAACACCCATAAGAAGAACCCCGATTACACGGTGAGTGCTTACAGCGATAACGCCGCCGTTCTCGAGGGAGATCACTCCGCTTTCTGGGCTCCCAACACGGCTACCGGAGAATGGGCCCACACGAAAGAACAGGTCCACTTCCTGGCCAAGGTTGAAACTCACAATCACCCGACGGCCGTTTCGCCCTACCCCGGTGCAGCGACCGGATCCGGTGGAGAGATCCGTGATGAGGGCGCTGTGGGCCGTGGTTCCAAGCCCAAGGCTGGTCTTGCGGGCTACTGTGTCTCCGATCTCAACATTCCTGGCTTGAAGCAACCTTGGGAGATGGATGTTGGCAAGCCTAACCATATTGCCAGCCCATTGGACATCATGCTGGAGGCTCCCATCGGAAGTGCGGCCTTCAACAACGAGTTTGGACGTCCCTGCATTACGGGATACTTCCGCACCCTTCTGACGGAGATTGATGTCGGCAATGGTCAAACTGAGGTTCGCGGTTACCACAAGCCCATTATGATTGCTGGTGGTGTCGGAACCGTCAGACCTCAACACGCCATCAAGGAGCCCGAAGCGGTCAAGCCTGGTGCTTACCTCGTGGTTCTGGGCGGACCTGCTATGCTCATCGGTCTCGGTGGAGGCGCAGCATCCAGTATCACCTCCGGTGAAGGTTCTGCGGATCTGGACTTCGCCAGTGTTCAGCGTGGCAACGCTGAAGTTCAGCGCAGAGCTCAAGAGGTGATCAACGCCTGTACTTCCATGGGCGATGCCAACCCTATCAAGTTCATCCATGACGTCGGAGCCGGTGGCCTGTCCAACGCTCTTCCCGAGCTCATCCATGACTCCGGCCTGGGCGCTACTTTCGAGCTTCGTGAGATCGACAGTGCCGACAAGAGTATGAGCCCCATGCAGATTTGGTGCTGTGAAGCTCAGGAGAGATATGTCATGGCCGTTGGTGAGGAGAGCATGAACAAGTTCACTGCCATTGCCAACCGTGAACGTTGCGGTTTCTCCGTTGTCGGCCGTGGCGGTGGTACTACGGAAGAGGAGAAGAGGCTCATTCTCTTGGACCGCGAGTCCACCGAGTACCCCAAGCCCATTGACCTGCCGTTGTCTGTCCTTTTCGGCAAGCCGCCTAAGATGACCCGGGTGGTCGACTCCCGCAAGCTGAAACTGCCCGCAGTCGATGCGAGCCTTTCCACCTACCTGCCGTCTCTTGCAACAAACCCTCTTGAGCTCCTCGAGGAGGCTGCCAAGAGAGTTCTGTCCCTGCCTGCTGTCGGCTCCAAGTCCTTCCTTATCACCATCGGTGACCGGACAGTCGGTGGTCTTACGGCTCGCGACCAGATGGTCGGTAAGTGGCAGACGCCCGTGGCGGATGTCGCTGTCACCGCCACCGCATTGGTTCAAGGCGTGAAGTCTGGTGAGGCTATGGCTATGGGTGAGAAGCCCACCCTTGCCCTCATCTCGCCGGCTGCTTCGGCCCGCATGGCAGTGGCTGAGTCTCTTATGAACATCGCTGCTGCCGACCTTGTGGACCGCCTCAGCCGCGTCAAGCTCTCTGCCAACTGGATGTCCGCCAGCAGCCATCCTGGTGAAGGCGCTGCCATCTATGAAGCGGTGGAGGCGATCGGTATGGAACTTTGCCCCAAGCTTGGTATCAGCATTCCTGTTGGCAAGGACTCCATGTCCATGAAGATGAAGTGGAAGGACGAGGCTTCTCAGGAGGCGAAGGAAGTCACTGCCCCCATGTCTCTTGTCATCTCTGCTTTCGCGCCTGTTGCCAACTTCCGCAAGACGTGGACCCCCGCTCTCCGTCGTCTGGAAGATGTCGGCGAGACTGTTCTGATGTTTGTCGATCTGTCCTTCGGCCGCAAGGCATTGGGTGGTTCCGCTCTCGCCCAGGTCTTCAACCAGGTTGGAGACGAGTGCCCTGATATCCGCGACCTTGAGATCTTCAGAGATTATTTCGATGCCACCCAGCAGCTGCAGGAGGCGGGCATCGTTCTAGCTTACCACGATCGCTCTGATGGTGGTCTTTTCACCACCCTGGCTGAAATGATGTTCGCCGGCCGCTGCGGTGTTGAGATTATGCTTGACAACATCTGCGCTAGCTCCAGCACCAAGGATGTCGTGGAGACCCTGTTCAATGAGGAACTCGGTGCTGTTTTCCAGGTACGCAAGGAGCATGAAATCCAGTTCCGCTCTTGCTTCGCCACCTGTGGCCCTCCTGCTGGCTTGATCCACAAGATTGGTCGGGTCTCGGAGAAGTCCAAGCAGAACCTCACCATCTACCACAAACACACCTTGGTTCACCGCAACAGCCGTGCCAACCTGCAGCAGACCTGGGCCGCCACGTCTTACCACATGCAGAAGATGCGTGATAATGCTGCATGCGCCGATCAAGAGTATGCTAGCATCCTTGATGACGCTGATCCTGGTCTGTCTTGGAAGGCGACTTTCGATCCCAAGGACAAGGCCATGCCCCTCTTGACTAGCTTGACCTCGCTGTCGCCCTTCAGCAACAAGCCCCGCGTTGCCATTCTCCGTGAGCAAGGTGTCAACAGTCAAGCCGAGATGGCGTTCGCCTTCAACATGGCTGGTTTCTCTGCTGTCGATGTTCACATGACTGATGTCATCTCCGGCCGTGTCTCGCTGTCGAGCTTCGTCGGTCTGGCCGCCTGTGGTGGTTTCTCCTACGGGGATGTGCTCGGTGCCGGTCAGGGTTGGGCCAAGTCTGTCCTGCTGCACGACAACACCCGCAGCGAGTTCCAAACCTTCTTCCAGCGCCCTGACACTTTTGCTCTCGGTGTCTGCAATGGTTGCCAGTTCCTCTCGCGCCTCAAGGAGTTGATTCCTGGAGCCCAGAACTGGCCCAGCTTCGAGCGTAACGCTAGCGAGCAGTACGAGGGCCGTGTTGCCTTGGTGCGCATCTCTGATTCCGACCCATCTCGTCCCAGCGTCTTCCTGCACGGCATGGACGGTTCTTCCTTCCCCATCGCCGTCGCTCACGGAGAAGGTCGCGCCTCGTTCGCTCCTGCTTCCGGCACCACCGCGCAGTCCTTTGTCAGCGAGGGTCTGGCTCCCGTCCGCTACGTGGATAACGCATCTCTCCAGCCCACCATGAAGTACCCTGCCAACCCCAACGGCAGTCCCGAGGGTATTGCTGCTGTCCGTAACGCTGACGGTCGCGTGCTGGCCATCATGCCTCACCCCGAGCGCACCGTCCTGGGCGGCATTGCCAGCTATCTGCCCCCCAACGCCGAACAGTGGGGCGACATTGGCCCGTGGGGCCGTGTCTTCCTCAGCGCCAGAAGATGGGTCGGTTAAGCGGTGGCTGCAGCCTTCGCTCTGGTTCTTGTTTGTCGGGTGATGGCACTAGGAAGAGCCGTGGGGGAAGATGCTAAAAACAAATACAAAGGTCACGGCGCATGTCTTGAGTTTCTACCTAATGATATAAATACAACGTTCCCCTTTTCTTGGGGCTGCTTCTTATGATGACATTGTGTGCAGAAAAAATCAGTGTTCGGAATAGTTCGCCTGATTGGTCGATCGAGGTTTAGTGCACAGCCAGAACACAGAATGTGAATGAGTACTAGTATGAATCAATTACTTTCTTGCATTGTTTCTGGTTGGATCAAGTAAGGGGTTCGTGTGACTTGCTGGCAAGGAAGAAGGTGATTCGCATAATACTATAGAGGAACGGGCCTAACGCTAAGCGAAAGGGTCCTTTCTTTCAGCTTCCCAGCTAAACTCAGCCCTATATCCTGTTTCTTATAAACGATTCCGGGGGAGAACCCCCGGACCCCCCTTTCTTTTCAGCTTCCTGGTATAACTCATCCTGGATTCCTAGGGTTATATAGCGTTCCGGGGGAGAACCCCCGGACCCCCCTTTCTTTTCAGCTTCCTGGTATAACTCAGTCCTATATTTACTTGTATATCACCGGATCCCCTTCTTTTAAGCTTCCTGGTATAAATCAACCTACGGCGTAACAACATACACTCCCCCCTTCACCGTGACAATCTCCCCCCTATAAACCACCCCATTAACCCGAAATCCCCGTCCATCCTGCACCCTCAACTTCAACACCCCCCCAACCCGCGCCTCAATCCTCGCCTCCACCAGCAACCCCTGCTCCCAACTGACATCCACCACAAACCCTCCCCTCGCCACCAACCCTTTCACCCACCCCTTCTCCACCCCGCGCGGCAAAGCAGGCAGCAGATGCACCCCCCGATGACTCTGCAGCAGCATCTCCGCCACCGCCGCCGAAAACCCCAAATTCCCGTCCACCTGAAACACGGTGGCGGGCCCGGAATCCGTGTTCCACAGATTGGCACTCACAAAGCGCTGCACATACATCTGCGTGTGATTCCACGCCTGCTCCCCCGCCCACAGCCGCGCATACAGACTGATGATCCACGCGCGCGACCACCCGGTACTCCCGCTCCCATTCTCCACCCTCCACTCCAAAAACGCCCGGGCCGCCTCAGCCAGCGTGCGATTCACGAGCGGCGTCAACTGCGACAGCGGATACAGCCCGACAATCGGGCTCAGGTGGCGGTGGCCGGGCTCCTGCGCGGTGTAATCCTCGCGCCACTCCATGATGCGCCCGGCGGGGTTGATTTGCGGGGGTCGCAGCCGGGCGAGGTTGTGTTGCGCCCTCTCCAGGTCGGCGCCGGTGATGTTCAGGCTCGTGCAGGTTTCAATCACCGCCTCGAACAGCCCGTGGAGCAGCGCGTTGTCCATCGTCGGGGCGAGATCAATCCCCTCGGCCCGGCCCGCCACCGACATCTCCTCCGGGACGAGGAAGGCGGCTTCCGGCGACAGCGAGGGCCCGGTACTCAGCCACCCCTGCACCGGGAACAGGTAGCAATCGAAGAACCGGGCCGCGCTGCGCAGGATCGGCCAGATGCGGTCTCGTAGCAGCGCTTCGTCCTGCGTGAAGCGGTAGTGCTCCATCAGGTTCGCCGACAGCCAGGCGCCCCCCATCGGCCACATCGTCCAGGTACTCCCGTTGTCGACCGGGGCGGCGTCCCCCCAGAGGTCGGTGTTGTGGTGCAGGACGAACCCCCCGTTGTCGCAGTGGTACATGCGGCGCGCCACCGCTTGGCCGCGCGGCTGGATGGTCTCCACCAGCTCGAGGAAGGGGGCGAAGGTGTCCGCCAGGTTCGTGACGTGGGCGGGCCAGTAGTTCATCTCCAGGTTGATGTCCAGCGTGAAGCGGCCGCCCCAGGCCGGGTCGTAGTCCTGGTTCCAGAGGCCCTGCAGGTTAGCCGGTAGACTGGTGGTGGTGGTGGTGTTGCGCGCGCGCGAGGAGGCAATCAGACAGTGACGGCCGAAGTGGAAGATGAGGGCGACCAGCTCGGGGTCGTTGTCGGGGGTGTCTTGGTAGTTGCGCAGGCGAGTGTCGGTGGGCAGGTCTCCATGGGCCCCCGAGGAGCCCAAGTGCAGATCCACGCGCTCCGACAGCCTCGCGTAGTCGCTCACAGCGTCTTTCTGGACCCCCGGAAATTTCTTGGTGAGTGCATTCTGCAGTTTACGCTCGAGGGCCGTCTCGCGCTCGCTCGCGGACGGGTATCGATAGGAGGTCTCTGCATCGAAGACGATCTCCACCGTCGACGCGCCAGCGACCACAATCGACCGCCCATCCACCCCCATCCGCCCTAACCATTAGCCAACACACCACCACACAACGGGATAGAAAGGAAAAGATAACTCACCATCTTGCGCCACAATCCGCGCCTGGGATGAGAAGCGAATCGGTCCCTCCGCCTCCGCAATCGACAGCGCATTGAGCACAAGCATCCCCACCCCGTCCTCCACCCCCGCCGTCTGATTCACCACCTGCACATCACGCTCCAGGGAGCACACCAGATTGAGACGTCCAGGCGCACTCGCCGACAGTCTCACCGCAAGGACATCGTCAGGATAACTCGCGACATACTCTCGTCTGCCACCGCACACACACCCCCCCACCCACCGCATCAATCAGCCTGGTATTCCTCCCCCGCAACCCAACCAGGAACAAATTAACTACAACTCACCGAAAAGTCACCCCCTGATACAAATACTCCACCGTCACCATTCCGGTCCTCAAATCCAACATCCTCGTATAATTTCTCGTTAATGCTTCCTCATGCCCGAAATCCACCCTCAAGGCCCCCAACGCACTATACGACTGCGGTAGGGGCGGAATCCCCACCATATCCCGCAGCGTGCGCTGTCCGGCGGCGGTGATCTTGCCCTCCGCCAGCAGGGCTCTGACCGGGCCCACCGCGGCGTAGGCGTCGGGGTTGACGCGGTCGACGAACGAGCCGTTCCAGAGGGAGTCCTCGTTGAGCGTCACATTCTCGATCGCGGTGCCCCAGACGGCGGCGCCGAGGCGGCCGTTGCCCAGGGGGAGGGTGGTGGTGAAGTTGGTGGCGGGGGAGGTGTACCAGGCGGTTGTGGAGGGGTGGTGGACTGGTGGGTGTGCGTCTACCACCAGAGGGGAGTATGTGGTGATGAGGATGAGGAGGAAGTAGTGCAGACGCATGGTGAAGATCAAACCACTTGTTGAATGAACCAGGAGGAGGAGAAGAGCAGATGCAGACCAGCTGGTTATTTAACCGCAACCGAGAAGGATTTGTACCTAGTATAAGGTGCAGTGAGGAGCTGCTGTGCTGCAGCTAGGGCTGGCGCGGAGATCGTCCATTCCATCCCACAAATCACGTCCCTCAGGTAAAGTTGTACATTAAGGCCGAGCAGGAGGGGTACAATTTATCCGCGAGTCTCGAGGCACTGTTCAGGGTTCAGCCTGTATTCATGCATCATGGCATGATTCCCGGCACAAGCAGTGCAATCTGCCAGCGGAGAACACAGAATCAGAGGGTGACTAGTATGAGGGTGTAGACGGGTCACGTGTTCACATACTCCCCCACACATCCATCGCATCCCCCGGGCTGTCATTCACAGTGACCACCACTGACGCATTCCTACGACAGTATGCATCCCGGCGGGAGATCCGGATGGGAATGAGGCGCATTCCAGTCACCAAGGTCGAATATACAATACTTTACTTGATGTAGTATGTATGTACACGGCGGGAGCTCTATCCGCAACCGGACCATCGCGATACTTATGGTACAACCTGCCGCCAGAGACGCATTCGTCGCGTCAGCCAGCCATTCTTTCGAACATCAAGGACAACCGAAAACAGAGACCCATCCTAACTCCAAGCAACTCCCCAGTACCCAGCAACCAGCAACCAGCAAACAGTAACCAGTAACCCAAACCGTTCAATATCGCCTCGCCGTGACCCGGGACGGGCATGGCATGCAATGGCTCAAATAGATAGACAGACAGAAAGAAAAAGAAGCGACAGAGCTGGAAATACATGACAAAAGACAGGATAAATCATCAGAAGAGCGAGTCAGGGGTATGTATGTAGAACGAGGAAGGTGTGTGTGAGGATCACACTGAAGAGCGCACTGCTGATCGACGAACGAAGACGTCCCACCACAGACAGCCATGCGCAATGTGGCTATCGAGAAGAACTTCACCATCAAAAGTCATCAAGTTCAGCTTCCCGCCTCATACATTTTCCGCATTCCATTTGCGAATCTCTTGATCCTCTTGCGCATCGCGTTTCTTGTTGCGGATATGCAAGTAGATGAACACACAGATGGCCCCCAGTACGATCCTAAGCGACATCAACAGGGGATTCCTTTGAGAAAACCAAAAATCGAGGCAGGACTTACACGCCAGTGACAATGCCCGGAACCCCGCTCTTGAGGAAATTGCTGACCGGCTTTTCATCATCGGACGAGGAGGAGTCATCGCTTGAGCGCGTCCCGAGGTGCAAGGCAGAAACCATTGTCGCGAGGGCTCTTTTGGAGTCGAGATGTAAGGTGGTGTGGTACGAGGCCATGACGGCTGCTAGCTGTGGTTGCGATTGAGCCTTTATTCTGGTGGCGCTGGACTCCGTCGTAGCGATTCCCGTGGTAGTGGTGGTGGTGGTGATGGTGATGGTGCTGATGATGCTGCTGCTGCTGCTGCTGCCGATGGCGAGGCGAGACGGGAAAAGGGAGAACAGTGAGAACAGTGAATTTCGGGGCAAAGACGGAGTCAATCGTGGGAAACGTGAAGAGAAGGGGGAAATACAACAACTACAATTCTAGAAACTAAAAAAGGCGAAAAGGGGACTTGGCATGGATTCTAAGGGGAAAGTGAAACAACAGCGACATTCCTTTGCGGAATGGTGAGGTTTCAGCTCCTTGGCTGTCCTGGGCCCCTCTTCCGCCCCCTTTTTCTTTGTGTACTCCGTATAGTTACGGTTCCTCCGTAGATCCACTGGTTCAGTGACCTGTACTTGTTTAAATTAGAGTGTAACATTCATTCACCAATCATTCCCCGAATCTCCCCTGCCAATCTTCTTGTCTTTATCATCACTATATCATCCATATTAATTAATATGATTCAGACAGACCAATTCAACACCTGCCTGTTCAAATACTTCTGTACGGAGTAGGTACAGAGTACACACAGTACGATCCCCCTTAGGCCCACTCCTCTACATACACTTCCTAAATTCACCCCCTTGAAGCGGATGCAAAACGAACCCTGCGAGACTCCGTGGTCGCTAAACCCGGGGTGTTGCACATCCCCATGAACCACCACTACCACTGAAATACTTCCCCCCCCCCCACTGGATCCGCTTTCCCTCCAGTATGATTACTCCGTACGGCGACAGTAAGAACTGAACTATTCTCGGTCGGACTCCGACACTGTCTTGACGCTCGAGCCGCCGTTACACCCTCACCCTCCGTCGTGCCGCGGCAGTTCGTTCTGACCCGGTGAGACCCTCGACATGCACAGGGCGGATGGGATGTTCGACACGGTCGCGATTGACGGCTGTTATGCTGTGTGTTATGATTGCAGGTCGCCAGGAGAATTTACTCAAGGACAAGACAATTTTGGATAGATACTACTGTAAAAAGGATTCAGCTTCCCAGTTCCTCCTCTCCTCCCCGCCCGGGCCATGCGACCGTGGGTGGATGCCCTGAAGCTCACCGCGCAGAGAGCGCACGTTCCACCCCGATAGTACAGTAAGTAGAACGCACAGATGTCTCCATCAGGGCACTTGTTTTTTTACATATCTAGTCTGTCCCCTTTCCGACCCTATTTCCACGGAGAATATGGATGGGTCTTTGACTTCGTCGACGGACCTATTCCGATGACTGCGGGTTTCTACCAGGGAGTTACTGAAGCATCATCTTAATGAATCCATTTCTAGATGCAAACTTCCCAAGATCAAAAACTTTTCCCGATCCATCGCTCATCCTCTAGGTATTTCATTGCTCTCACCACACCCATCAACATATCAAATTGTCAAGCCTCCTCCGGTGAGGCAGGGGGCACAGAATTGACAGGTCTCGCGGGTTTGGTGTCGTAGTACTTGTACGTCACCCCCGCAAGCACGAGGCAGAGGAATGCTGCAGATCAACCACCCATTAATCAATACCTGTCTGTCTCTGGACCAAGCCATTTCCAATGGGACGCAGGGAGACAACAACTCACCAAAGAATGAGGTCGTGGCATAATAGCCCACCGTCTCGGACAACGAACCGGCCACCAACGGCCCCAGCATCGACCCCGTCCCAAACGCCATCTCCACCATCGAGAAGCTGCGCGAGCTGCCGCCATGCGGTCCGAAAATCTGCGGGTTCTGGCGCTGTTTCTCCTTGACGACCCAGGTCACCTGCAGACTGCCCGCCCCGCGCACCAACATGGAGACCAGCCCGAAGCCAAACATGGTGGTGGTGAACAGGGCGGGGCCGTGGGTGTCGGCGCCGGCCCAGGGGAAGTGGTCGTCGCCGGGCACCCCCAGCAGCCACAGCAGGGGGGCCAGCACGAACCAGCCCAGCGCGGTCGGAGTGCGCAGACCCTGTCGGTCGCGCATCCAGCCCGTGGCCGCGGAGAGGAAGAACGAGGGGATCTGGAGACAGAAAAACATCAACCCCGTGGCTAAGCTGCCCCAGTGGAAGACCGCCCGCAGGTGCAGCGGCAGCGTGGCTTCGAACCCGGAGAAGATCGAGGACATCAACAAGGTGTTAGCGAGTCCCGCCACGACCCGCGGGTCGCTCAGCATGATCTGGTAGAAATGACGCCGCGACGTGCCACTGTCCCCGTTGGTCGCAGCCTCGGGAGTCGCGTCGGGGCTGTCCGTCGACTGCAAGAGCCCCGTGGTTTCATCATTTTTCGGGACGGATCGATCGCCCGGTTCCAACATGATCAACCGGGCGACAATATCGACCGCCAACACGATCAGCGGCACCGACCAGGCCGACCAGTATCCGAACAGTTCCAGCATCGCCCCCGCCACCGTCGGGCCGGAGATGATTCCCGCGGTGACAACCGTCATGGCGAGCCCCAGCGCTTTCCCCAGATTATCCGCGTCGATGTGGTCGGTCAGCATCGCGTGGCCAACCACCCACGCGGCGCATCCGGCGATCGCCTGCATCACGCGTCCCACGAACAGGGCGGCCACTAGTAGCAGCAGCTGGGGTCAGCATAGCAATGGTCTCTGAGAGAGAGAAAAAGGAAAGGGAAGTCTCCCAGGCGGACGGGACGGGACTGACCAGAGTAAGTGGAAGCGACCAGCCCCGTGCCCACAAAACAGCCGGCCAGCGCCACGAGCAGGGGGATCTTGCGATTCGGGGTTTGGTCGGCGAAGTGGGCGATGATCGGGGCGGCGACGATGCCCAGAAACCCATGCAGAGACAAGAGTGTGGTCATGTAGCGCTGGGTCTCGGACGGGTCGATCCGCAACCGCACTTCGATCATGTAGCTCAAGATGGGGACGAGGAAGCCATAAAGAAAGGTCTCGGCAAATAAGGCGACCGTGACGGTGAAAATGATAAAGGTGCGCGACGAGCGCCATCGGTAGCCCCAGGGGAGTGGCTTTTCCATCGTGTGTACCCAGGTGAACTTTTATCGGACCTTGCAACTTTCCCGCAGAACGAGACAACATGGAGGGAAGATCCTCCAGATAAAGATAACTCATCTCATCTTTTATTTATTGTGGGGGTGGAGTAAGCCCGCCAAATTGACTCATTTGGATGACTGCAGGTGGGGGCGAATCCCGTATACGCGGAGGCACTAACGGTTTGGGGATCAACTAAACCTCGATAAAAATTCGGTTGTCACCGTCAACAAGTCATCGTGACTCACCTCTTGATCCAGTAATACGGTTATGTTAACTTACTCCATCTAAGTGAACTCGGCCAACCGTGCGCCAAGGGGTCCCGCGTCTGCCGCCTACCAGTCGGTGACCTCGTGGCTGCAACCTGCCTACTACTCCAGTCCAGACTAGAATCACGGTGCTTGACGCAACCACAAAGCCTAGCAAGAGGATTGAACTGTTCTGTGAATCTAGCCATGGAGATTCTGGAAGATGATGACTAGCTAAATCAATTGCATGGCTGATCTCTTGCCCGGTCACTGTACATCGCCTTCGACTCGTCGTTTTCGACCAAAGTCTTTCTCCTCACTCGCACTCGTCAATGTCATAGTCGCATTGATTTGTCTCATACGCATCAATATGGCCACCGCATCGCCCGGCTAAGTCGAAAATATGGGCACTTGCTGGATGATTTGCGAAAATACCTGAAGGGCGGTCTCCGGCTCTAATGCGCAACCCAAAGTCAATAATCCATCCATGCAGCTCCCTCGAAAGGACCAAGGAAACTTACGGTAATAGGGCACCTCGTGGCCAGCCTCATACACCCGCAAAAAGGCGAAGTTTCCGACCGTCTTATAGAGGCCTTTCTCCGTCCCATTCACCGTGTACGGCTGGAGAGTCTTGTTCTGGAAAGTCGTTTGACCGGCGAACTCCACCGCGTTGGCGACCCCGAATCCGCCAATCCAGTTACAGATCCAGTCGGCATCACCCGCCCAGAGTAAGACGTTGATGCCAGTCTGCACCACCTCGGAGAGAGTGGCGAGGAACGAGCGGGTGCCTGAAGAACAACAACATCGTTAGCGTGGCTGAGCCGGATGATCGCCCCCTCGACATATACAATAGTAGTACATACCGTCACCTGTGGCAGCAAACTTGTAATACGGCCCATCGGGACATTCCGAGTAATTCTGCCGCGCTCCGATCGCCCGCTGCACCGCCGGCTGGTTCAGATAGGAATAGTAGGTCTCGGGAGGGTAAGGGTCGTTGGAAGGCTCGCGCACATCATACACATCCCAGTCACCGGTTTCCGAGATCGGATCATCGATGTATTCGCTGCAGATGTTGCCCGCTTGAATACAGGCGGCATCTGTGCCAAGACTGGTGCATTTTTGGATGGCTGGCACGCAGTACTCCTGATAGTCCTTGTAGTACTTGGCTCCCGCCGAGGCGTTGATCAACGGACGGTAGGGATTCTGCAAGGCATAGGTGATGTAAGCCTTCTCCTGGATCGTGGAGTCGAACCAGCCGTTGTTGATGCCCAGAGCCCCAATGTTGATGGTCTCCCCAGCGACAGCACCGGTCTGGATTCCGGTATTCTGTTGTTGGATGTAGTGGGCAAACTCAGGTCCGTAGTGACCGCCGTATGACTGCATGCTGTTAGCTAGTGGCCGTCATGTACGAGAAACTGAATACGGTTAACAGCCTACCTCGGTGAACAAGTTGAATTCACGGCTCTCGTACTCGGGGAAGTGGGCAAAGAAGGCTTGTAGCAGCTTCCACACGAAGGGAGCCGCTGTGACCGTGCTGTTCACGGCATCGTTACCATAAGAGAAGCCGACGCCAATGGGCTGATCAATATAGATCATGTTCGAGTAGGTGTTCCAGCTGTACGGGTTGAGGGACGGGGTGGTCTCATTGTTGACAAACCGACACGGTCCATGTTCTTGGAACAGTCCGATCATCGACGAGCAACCCGGGCCCCCATTGAACCATGCGGTCAATGGCGCTTTTTGAGGGTTTTGTCGCGCTTCAAAGAACCTAATCAAGAGTGATCATGAGCATTTCTCACCCACCGAATCTGGACGATCGGTTCCTACCAGAAGAACATGTTCATATCCTCCCCTACTGAGAGATAGCCCGAATACTGATTGACCCCAGGCGTGGTCTCGCAGATGCCCGAGTTCTTCACAATCTCCAGGTTGGCCCCGGTAGCGGCATGATGGTAGACAGTGTACTCAATCCCCCGCTTGATCACCTTTGATACAGTATCACGCTGGACATGCGGGACAGCCTGCACCGCGCCAATGAACAGGGTGGGCAACAGCCAAGAAGTGGAAGTGAGCTTCATTGTGGCGAGATCAGGGCAAACCCAGCTGGAAGCTTCTGGTGAGAGAAACGTGTGCGACACACCAGACGACGGCAGTTAAATAGTCCCCATGTCGAGCGGGGAAGGTTTGGTGCTGAATCGTCTGTTGCTTGCACGAAGCTTGCCATCATCCATGACAATATCACTCTTGCAGCTCGGCTATAAGACACGGGAGGCATGCATTGGCCATTGGGAAGAGCTGATCACCCCGAGTTCAACCTGCCTGAGGCATTGTCCCATCTTCGTTGGTCAATAAGGTGGTTATCATGTCAATTCGTGCAGGATTTCACTCACCCCCTGCCGATCAATCCCCTCCCGGGGCCCGTCGGAGTCCGATCAATCACTGACCGGCAGTCGGCCACCATTGGTGCTATATTTGCAATTGTCATCGCGTTGTCTCAACGGCTGGGTTTTGCAAGACTTTGGTCCAACCATAGGACTCCAGATACCTTCGAGCGCAATGGCGAGCGACCGGGATGGCGTGTCGTAACCTGCCTTCCTCCAGGCCTCTGCTCAAAGCATGTAGTTCTTCTTGCTCTCAACTTCAAGGCACACGGCGGAGCTAGCAATCCATGGGATGGGAATGAATACTTCTGCTGCAGATAGGAGAGTGCGATGGATTGTTGGGTAGCGAGACAAAGTCTCGCAGGTTGCAGGTAGTTTGAAATTACTGTAGAAGGAGATAAACAAACAGGCCAAACTGCAGCTGCAGCCACTCACTCCTACTTCCCCATGTCTGGACGGCTTCCGATTCTTCCTCCTCCTCCTCCTCCACTGGAGTTACGCCACCACGCTTGCAAATTTGACCTGATATCCTTGCAATCACGACCTCCATTTGTATGAAGCCTTCAATTAACTTCCGAAATAGATGACATCCACTCAGAACCCCGACTGTCCAACAAGAATCACAGACGATAGCGGAACCCGACCGTATTCCAGTCCGTGACGTCGTCATAGTCTGCCTGGTTCAGTTCTACAGAACGTACAAGGACCGAGACGTCTGCTCCATCGCGCTGCTCGCCGACGACCTTTCCTCCCACTGCACCCGCTAAGCTCGCGCTGCCAGGGACTCCCTCGTCTCGATCCCGCTTCGCGTTCAGCCACTGCAGATAGAAACGTAACGAGATGGTGAGCCCCCCAGCAATGATGTAGCAGATCAAGATGGCTCGGAAGGATGTTGGGTACGTTGGGGCTTCACTGGTCCTGAACAGCTGTGGCCCGGCGATATTGCCAGCGCAGTACGCCACAAACATCATCGCGGTCATCGTCATCTTCTTCGTGACACCCCGATAGTTGCTCTGCAAGAGCGACATGACCAGCGGCAAGGCCCCTGGACCGGTGGACAGGAGGAAGTACCCGAACAGTTGCGCCCCGAGCGGAACATGCTGGGCGCGAGCGTAGATGATCGCACTTCCAATGATGGGGAAGATGATCACGCAGACGATCAGGATGCAGTTCATCCGGTGGGATCGACTCGCCGCCCATCCGGTCAGGGCAATGGTGGCCGCACTGATCACGCTCGCCGGGATATTGATCAGCGTCGATTGCAACGAGGTGAAGCCAAACGACTTGATGACCAGATTTCCGAAGTTCTGCGTACCTCCATTGGGAATCTGAGTCAGCAGAGCGATGGCAAACAGATGCCAGCTCTTCGGGTCTCGCAGACACTCTTCCACTTGCTCCCATTTCCAGGCAGTACGCTCCGTGCGACCGGTACCGGCGATCACAGCTCGATTGCTCATAAAATCTCGCTCCTCGGAGGTCAGAAACTGAGCGGTCGAGATACTGTCCGGCAAGAAAGCCAGAAGCACAAAGCCCCAGAGGAAGGTCGCGACACCCAAGATGATGAACATCCACATCCACGGTCGGAGGGGATGCTCGATGTGCCCGATGCCATAGGCCAGCAGGCTAGCAATCAACCCGCCGACTGAGTTCCCCGAGAACCAAATCCCGGTTCGGAAGGGGATCTCATCCCGGGTGTACCAGGTGGAGGTGATGAACATGAAAGCAGGTGTGATGGTGGCTTCTGCGACCCCAAGCAAGAAGCGGACGGCCAGGAGACCGCCGTAGTTTACACAGGCGGCAGTCAGCGCAACCACCGCTCCCCAGAAGAGTGTATTGAATCCCAGATATTTGGCCACTGGAACGCGGGGAATCAGCATGTTGGTGGGCTTGAGAAGTCAGCCCCGTTGTCATCATTTCCCTGCAGACGCAGCTACTGCTTACCCATTGCCAGAAGAAATATCCGAAATAGAAGATACTGGACACCCAGCTGTATTGTTGTCCGACCAAATGCTGTAAAGAATGATCAGCAAGCATCGAAGTATGCGCAGGGCACAGTTAGCCACACCGTATCTTCGGTCAACCCAAACACTGAAGCACTGGACAGAATGGCTTTGTCCATGTAATTGAGCAAGTAAGTGACGAACAGGAGAGGAACCAGTCGTCTATCCACCTTGCTTAACGCGCGCGATGCGAGGGCCGTCGTATCCTCCGCATCGTGGTTGTTGGAGGGACCAGCTGAATCGGAGGGTTCCGCCATAACCTTTGACATTGAATACTGATCTTGAGCCAGATAGGAGTATGGAAGGTTTCGAGGAGGTGACGCTGCAGATGCTGCCTTCCGGCTCTTTATCAACTATCTATTCGTGACATACCCCCCATTTCTTGCATCGACCCGACGATAAGAAAAGCGGGGAATCTGCCGTCTTATCTTGGCTGAGCTACAGTAACAGTATCCGCACAATAACTAAGCTACTATATCCCCGATCTGAACCAAGGCCAACGGAATCATTGCCTATTTTGGGAAGTATGCTATCAATGCCTCTGCAGGCGTCTCTTCTTTTAACAGGCAGGATGCCAAGATTCAATCACTGATAATCGCGGGGAGCAGACGATCAATTGATCTCCATATCGCTGATGAGTCGGGACTCTCCCAAGCGGCTCCGATCCAGTAGGTGTTGCGATGCCCTTGCGAGTCGCTCACATCCTGGTAGAATCCGGCCTCAATCGCCTGCCGGCTGACATACATGTCGAACGGACTATGGGTGGCAAAAGCTAGAAATGTTGGCTTCCGAGCATTCAGTCCTCCATCTTGGAGTCGAAAAATATCATCGACCATCGCCTCTCGAACATCATCCTCGCTCATCTCTTCCGCACTGCCATACGTCACCAGATGAATACCAGGAACCGCAGAGGATACAATCGAGGATGTGCATGGGTACTTGGGAAGCCCATACGGCGTATCAAGCCCGCGGTTCAGGATTTGGGTCTTATGCGGAAGATTGCTGTCGCGGATCACGCCGGTGTAGACGTACCCGTACTGAAATTGACGAACGAAGAATGATTCGAGGCTGTCCAGGTCGAGCGCTTCCAAATCGTCGGTCTTCGGAGGCATAGCCACGATGGTCGCATCTGCTTCGATGATAAACCTCTCGCCGTTGTCGGATTCAACTGTGAGTCGATGGACCTTATCGTCGGACCGGCGAGCATGAATGACGGTACTATTGATCAGCACGTCTTCACCCAGCTCTTGCTGCGCTGCGTGATAAACCTCTGAAACATTACGACTTGAGGGACCAAGGTAGCCGTGTTGCAGGCCATTGAGCCGGTTCAAAGAGACAACCTTCAGGGGATAGACAGTCACATAGTCGAGCAGATAGTGAATCCCTTGGCTGAGCATAGTCATGGTCTCCAAGGCGGCTCCAAGATCGTGGTCCCTGACAAAATCACGGAAAGGTTGGAGAAGAGGCTCCGCCACCTGATCCGAGAGGTTCCATCCTTGCGACAGGTATGAGTACCGTTGCAGCTCTGCAGTGTAGCGTTCGATGGCCGCTCTAGGACTACCCGGGTATGGCGGAACAGACACGCCGGTGCGAAAGTCGTATCGCAACGTCTTGAGGCCTTCAAATCTGGTGTTCAGATCCACAGAGATGTTGAGATGCTCGAAGAAACTCCGAGTCTCTGGGGAGTCATCGAAGTTTCGCACTCCGTAGTCGATCGCTACGCCTGTGTCCGGGTCGAAATAAGTTTGCACCTGGCCTCCCAACCGGTCTGTTTTCTCCACAACCACGACATCCTGGCCCAATTCCCGGAGGCGGATGGCGGCGTACGTTCCAGCTGCACCGCCTCCAATGATGCAGAAACCACGTCTGATCACGGTCTCGTTGGTCGATGGCGAAGGGTCATTGGCGCTGACGACTCCCCCAAGCCAGATAGGCCCCAGCAGAAGTGTTAGAACGAAAGTTGTTGCCACCTTGGAGATCATGATGATAGATTGCCTTGAGAGTGCAAATGTTCTCCGTTCTGTCAAATCTTCTTTCCTTATCTCCAGGCTATATAATTTCGCCCAGGCTCGTCAAACTCCTCAGATCACGCTATCACATGAAAACGCTCGTCCATCGGTACGGATAGCATGGCTGTCGCACAGATGCCTTCACGTTGAACAGGCACGGGTGAGGATTGCGATCCCACCAGGCCCCCTGCCAACTTTTCATATCGAGATAATCCGCTTCCGGGATCGAGCCGCTGCCGAACGGCTTCGGTGTGAGCAGGATATATGAACAAAGCTGGTGAGATGAGTTCCCGCGAAGCCTCCGCGACCATACAGCATCACCTCACCGATACTTCCGCGTGGCTATTATAGTGTTTAGTAAGGAAATGCAGTTAACAATGCAGCTTTTTATCTATCGAAACATGTGTCCCTCTCTCATCGTCCATCCGTACCGTTACTCTGACTGCCTCCCGTCTACAGGTTGCATGAGACCGTGGTGTTACAGTAGAACCACTCCAAAACAAACCAGAAAAGCGCAAGTTACGCGCACTTGCCGCTCTGGCAAGTGAGATCGTCCGAGCAATCATCGTCCGTAGAGCAGGTCGCACCTATATTTATCACAGCATTTAGTATCACCGACCGAGCGCTACGTTACCAACAAACAGCACCCACTTACCGGCACAGTGACCCGACCAGGAGCAGGAGGGGGACGAGGTCGCGCTCGGGTTAGACCCGGAGCTGGTTCCGGAGCCAGATGAAGTGCAGTAGGTGGAAGCCTCGGCACCACTGTAGGTGTTGGAGGTGTAGCACTGGCCATTGGAGAACAGCGCTGCAGCTACGGACGAAGATCAGCGTCTTATTTTTCAAAAGTGTGCGACGAGGAACGAAGGACCTACAGTTGACGGTATACGAGCTTGCCGGGTTGAGCACGATCGACTGCGAATCGGGAGTCAGGTCGTCCTCGCAGTCGATCTGTGTGTCGCCACCATCGGAATTGGCGCCGGTCCAGATATCGATGTGCAGCTTGCCCGACTCATAGACCGTCGCTGTGGCAGGTCAGTATTCTTGGTTGCTTGGAGTTTGAATGCGGTGGAAGGTAGCGTACTGCACTGGGCGCATTCATCCTCGTACCGCAGGTACTTGCGCAGGTAGGGCAGATAGATGATCTCGCACTGCTCGAACTCGCCGGACGCAGAGGCAAATGTCAAGGGATCGCTGTAGGTACCGGTACCTGCCCCTTGTCAGCTTTCTTGGGATGTGGACGCCGGAAAGACGAGGCTTACCGCCGGCAGTGTATCCGCGGCCACAGTCATACGCGATGTCTGCACTTGGGGGATCGTTGTCTGGGAAGCCGTAGAAAGTGACCGTCACTTCCGACTCGGTCGAGCAAGCGGCGACGGCGGAGAGAAGGCCTGCAAGGGCCATTCCTTTCAAGAGCGTGGCCATGATGACTATCCGTTCAAAGTTGCGGCTGATATCGAGAAGAAGTATGCACTGGTTGAGAAGGAACGGTCCTCTTAACAGAGATTCGTGCCTCTTTATAATTCTACACTTCAAGTAGCGCCAGTTGCATAGTATTAAACCACTAGCTCCAAGACCAGCGAATTACGCTGATCGACAGAATGGCGGTTTTAGTATACGGAGCAGACGTGCAGCAAACTCGAATCCTTCGACCATACACTTCCCCACCGATCCAGCGTTGTCAATCCAATCAATTCACCCTCAGCATGAGTCGGCGGATGTCTCGTTATGTGATCAACGATTCCGGGGGAGAACCCCCGGACCCCCCTTTCTTTTCAGCTTCCTGGCAATGCTTAGTCCTATATTCTGTTTCTTATAAGCGATTCCGGGGGAGAACCCCCGGACCCCCCTTCTTTTCAGCTTCCTGGCTAAGCTCAGTCCTGTATTCCATCTGATAAGAGTTTCCGGGGTTCACCGACTTCACCAGTACACCAGCTTCGACGACTCGCGACGCAAACCACGAATTCCCTCTGCCATGAACCATGGCTCATCCTCCCCTGACAGACTGAGACATGGCCCGTATAGGGCGCATGGGGTCCAAAAGCCCAGTTTCAGAAAAGGGGAATTCAGCCCCCATTCCAACTTCGCTCCATCTATTCTAGGAATATGTGCCAGAATAATCCGTAGACTTGACAATATGGTCGCATCGCTCGCGTTGCATGCGATTAGTGGAGAGTCTGTTGTTGACGAGGGTGGGGTTCTTGGTTCTGAAGGTAACTCCTGGGGCTGTATGTCGTTACTTTGACTCAAAGCATGACCCTGTTCCAGCAAGCTTATCGCCTCGCCCAAAATCGCCAAATGGAGTGTTCCTCTTCTGGAAGAGAAGGACCGCCCCCCCAGTGCGTGCCAGCCAGTCGAACAAAACGGACGAGCGCGGTCGAGTTCCTGGCCGTGCGGGCTAAACCACTGGATGAGAGTCAATTAGCCCTGAACCCATACAGAAGAATCACACCATGTTTTGAACGTGTGGGTGGAGTGGGTGGGGTGGTAGATTGGTTGGCACTGCGTCTTAACTGATGTGGTTGTTAGGTGGTTAAGCATCTAATCCACCTGGTCAGGTTGATGCCTGTGCATGGGGGGTCTCGTCTTGGTGTGGTATGTACAGTACTGAGTAGTACCTGTAGACACTATATTCCGGAGTGACGCTTACCTTGACAACTCCTATGCTGTACTTCCTTACGGAGTGAGGACTATGGCTGTCAATGCTGACACCGCGTTCGGGGTTCTCCCAGAGTAACCAGTTTCAGTTGGGATACTGTATAGGATTGAGCTTGGCCGGGAAGCTGAAAAGAAGGGGGGTCCGGGGGTTCTTCCCTGGAATCGCTTATAAGAAACAGGATATAGGTTGAGTTTAGCCAGGAAGTTGAAAAGAAGGGGGGTCCGGGGGTTCTCCCCGGGAATCGTTTATAGTGTCAGTGCTGGGCAATTCACGGCTTATGGTTCCAGAGAGAGTGTGGGGGAGATCAGATCACCAGTGGGTTGATCTGAGATAAAATGCCTATTCTGGCTGATTGATATCAGGAGCATTGAAGACTGGATTTAGAGGGACAGCAGGCCGAATGAGGTTTAGCATGAGAAAGAGGACAAAGAACTATAAACTGAGTTTATATTATCCTGAATTGTATTGTGTGGATCTACACAACTTGTTGAGGCGATTTACGTCGTGATATCCGGTCTAATGACATCTCTGCAGAAACAAAAGGGTATAATAGTATATTAATGATGTCTGTATGAAACACTATATATGCAGTCCATGCACCCAAACCGAAGCAAACCAAACGCCAGTATGCATCATGCTCATACTCATGCTCATGCTCATGCTCATGCTCAGCTCATGCTCAGCTCATGCTCAGCTCATGCTCAGCTCATGCTCAGCTCATGCTCATCGCAATCTAGGCATTATTCGCGCAGGAGAAACTGCCCCCGGAATCATCATTGTGGATGGCCTCGCCAGACACCCAGAGCCCACAGATGCAGATCGTCGCACCGATACCGAACAGGCCGAGATTCGCCAGCGTGAGGAGGGTTTTGCGCCACGAGGTGAAGTAGCGGCCCCGGTACAGGTACAGCCAGAAGACGCCGGGCAGACCGAAAGAGAACCAACTTGCGAAGAGGGCGCACTAAAGCACTATTAGCATGGTTTTTTTTTTTGGGCGGTGGGAGGGTAATAGGCAAAGAACATACCACCAAGCTAACCAAATTGCTGAACACGGGAATCGCCTCGGCAATCACCCAGGCAATCACCCAGTACGCGGCCGCCAGACCGATCCAAGCCCCAACGCCCAGCGCACTGCGCTTGTGCATGACATCGGTGCCTCGGAAAAGACGCACGTAGACGTTCTTGATAGCCACATGACCCAGCACCACACCGGCCACCACAATCGTCGGGATGGCTACTCCGTACGCGACCTTGCTGACGATCGGGCTGGCCGACCCCAAGGCGGGCGACTTGACGTCTTGGCCGGCATACCGATAGATCACACACGAGGCGACGGTGTAGAGCACGATCTCGAAGGCCTGCAGCATGCAGAGCGACTTGGGGAAATCCTTGGGGTTCTTCATCTCGGCGATAAACCCGAAGAAGGCGGGGTGGCCGCAGTAGGCGAAGCCGATGTTGGTCACGGCGGAGAAGCCGTCCACGAAGCTGACGTGACGCGTCAGTTGCATCGGCGCGTGCGAGGGGCGCTCGATGGCGACGCCGATCATGGTGATGAGCACGGCGGAGAAGATGCTGACGAAGCCTGGGGGGATGGTTAGATCCTGCAGGGAAGGGCACACTTGAAAAGGGCGGACATACAGGTCATGGCGAACCACGAGACGTTCTTCATGGTCCGGGGCAGGGAGCATATGAAGGACAAGACCATGCCCACGACGCCAAAGACCACCGAGCAGGTGCCGTGGTTGGTCAGGGTGTTCATCATGACGGTAAAGGTCACCAAGTGACTGCCCGAGGCAAACATGAAGAACAGCAGCTGGGCGACCTCGATGAAGATGCGACCGGGCTTGCCCATCAGGACCTCGCCCGCATCGGCCATGCTGTGAATGAAGGGATACCGCGCGCGGAACTGGCCGATCACATAACCCGAGTAAGTCGCGACAACTCCCAATCCGACGATGAGAAAGATAGCCCTGAGCAAGTTAGCAGAGGTACGATGGTGCCAAGACAGTGTGACTCACGGGATGAGGCCGACAATAGCGACGGTGGATGGCAGCGACAGAACACCCAACGAGACGGTTTCGGCAATCATCACTAAAAACATATTAGAATCGGGGGTATGGGATGATATCATATCATATTCATCACATACAGAAGCCAGATTGCCTATGCAGGAAAACGTCAGTATCGAAATCGAGTTCGGTTCGAGGTTATAGTCAAACATACCACCAATTCAAGGTCTTATATTGCACCTCGCCATGCTCCGCACCAAAGGGATCCTGGTCCTCGACGGGCGCCTTGAGGTCGGCGTCCCAGGCCTCCGGGTCCGTCGGGTACCCAGAGCTGTGTTCGATGTCTTTGACTTCCGGTGACGACATGGTGAATGCCACTTCCGGGGAAGGAGAGTAAGGAGAGGAAGGGGAGGAGGGGTAGGAGGAGGGGGGAGAGGAGAAGAAGAAGAAGAAGAAGAAGAGAAAGGTGAAAGAATAAGTTAAAAGATCAAACCGTCGAAATTAACCTGAGGCGAAGAGCTATTATACTGCAGGGCCGTGCAGCATGGACGTCTGGGCTGATGATTTTTGTTAGTTAATAGATGGAGAAGGCAGCAAATCAGCGTGGCGAAAAAGCGCAGTTTCTGCCGCCGTGACACAAACTTTTTCCTGCGCCGTTTGCCTCGCCCCGATGTCGGCCTCTGTAGGTCCACACCAGAAGGTGGAGAGAATGTTCCACCAGGCTTCGGTGAAGATGAGTGTGAGTGTGACGAAGTGCGTCTCTACGATGGGCGAAGCTGAGTTATTTCTTCCTTCTCGTCTAGTTGCAATTGCAGCTGCATTCACCACGCCCTATGCGTTTAGTCCCCTCTCTTAGTTAGTGCACCGCACCGGGGAGAAGCCAAAATGCAAAATGAAATAAGGTGTCGAACGCTGGGGGAATCCGGTGGCAACAATTGGTGAGCACCGGATGCGGACTAGTGCCCTCGTGCCGCTTCCGAGTCGGCCGCGTGCCACCATCCCCGAAGCAGACTAGCAGCATCGATTTCGGGGCTGGATGGCAGAACTCCGGCTCTCCCTCGCCGGTCTCGCCCCCCGTCCCTATTCCGGAGTTATAGAGTACATCCAGTCCACAATCACCCCCAGTAGAACATCGGATCAGTCACTGGTGGCTGGTGCTTCTGCAGAATTTTCTCCATGCAAGCTAAAACAAGCATATCGCATAGTCTCATCAGGTAGCCTGATCTCGTCCCGTCCCCCGTGGCAGGGCGGATCCCGACACAATGACTCATGCCGACTCGCCCCCGCCTCCTAGATCGGCTGGCAGTTGACTCAAGCTGACAAACGGTGTTTCTGCTCGAGTGTCAAAGACCAAGACGTGGGGATCTCTGGATGAGTCCAAGACAGAAGACTCGAAGGCTGTCTGGAACTGTGGCATGCGCAGCTCTCCACCGAGTGGCTGTTCCAGCCGACGCAGACCAGACGTGGCGGGAGTCAACCGCTGTCGCTACCACAGTATACCACCCATTGACTTACACAGTCAAGCCATTCACCATAGTACTGTACTCTATCGTGCTGGGGGAAACACGCTACAGTCCAATCCGTTTTCCAGAATACACCCTCGTGCCTCTCAAGCTGTCTAGCTCTAGTAGCCTCAGGCTCTGCCTCAACGCAGGAAGCTCCTCGCTCCTCGCTTCCTCCCCACACAGCGAAATCTTCACACGGGAGCCTCCGGTGGGTAGACCACGTGGAGATGGCATCCGGTGCCAGCTCCTACATCGGAGTAGACCAATGGGTGGAGTGCGATCGGCAGTTGACAGGCGGCTGTTTGGGGTACGTGGTTCACGATTCAAGGTCGGAAGCTGGTTCATACCGGGTTCTAGCCCTGGAGAGGCATCTGCTCGTCCTCAGGATTGCCACTGACTTCCTCGGAATGTGCAGAGACTAGATGCAGTCAGGTAGTGAGCTTGTTCAGCTTCCTGGTCCAACTCAACCCTATATTCCATTTCTTATATAGCGTTCCGGGGGAGAACCCCCGGACCCCCTTTTCTTTCAGCTTCCTGGTATAAACGCAACCCTATGTCCTATTTCTTATAGCGTTCCGGGGGAGAACCCCCGGACCCCCCTTTTCTTTCAGCTTCCTGGTATAAACGCAACCCTATGTCCTATTTCTTATAGCATTCCGGGGGAGAACCCCCGGACCCCCCATCTTTTCAACTTCCTGGTTTAACTCATCCTGATACCCTATGTCTTATAAACTACTCCAACTGCCGCTGAATCGACTCCCGCACCAACGCCCGCAACGACTGCGTCGCCACCACCCCGATATCCTCATTATCCCTGCGCTCGTACAGCGTGCCGCCCTCCGCCCAGATGCGCCGCAGCGTAAACGTCGTGGCATGCGGGGCGCCCTGCTCCCAGGCCTCGGCCTCGCGGCGCCGCAGCTCCTCCAGCGAGACACTCTCGACGTGCCACTTCTGCCCGGTCTGGGATTCGAACTCCTGCAGGATCTCGTGTGGGGTGGTGGTGAAGGAGTTGAGTTTGAGGGCGCGGTAGCGGGCCTGCTCCCAGTGGGTGAGGGCGTGGGAGACGAAGCGGCCGACACTGAAGCGGGGAGGTGTTAGCTTTGCACGCCATACAAGGTAAAATAAGTATGAGGTAAGTTATAATCGGGGGAAAAGAGGAGATAGTACTCACTCAACACACGCACTCAAACTCACCCTCCCCCTCTCATCCCCCACAATCACCGCCCGCTGCTTCTTCACATCCCACGAGCCCGCCTCCGGGGCGCCGGGCGGCCCCTGGGCCAAATAAAACGGATAATCCGCATACGGCCCCGTCACGATGTACGCATACTCCAGCCGGTCCCGCACGCTGGCCAGCGCGGCCCGGACCTTCAACTTCGCCTGGTGCGGCTTCTCGTGCTTCGAGGCGGGGCCGTACTCGATGTCCGTGCCGTATTCGGACGGCAGGAAGCGGCGCACGGAGGGGGTGGCGGCGGCGAGTTCGATCAGTGGGATCTGGGCGGCGATGGCGGTGCGGCCCAGAGCTGAGACTACGGTGTCGAAGTCTGTGTTTTTATTCAGTCAGGAAGCTGAAAGAAAAGGGGGGTCCGGGGGTTCTCCCCCGGAACGCTATAAGAAAGAGGATATAGGGTTGAGTTGGACCAGGAAGTTGAAAAGAAAGGGGGGTCCGGGGGTTCTCCCCCGGAACGCTACAAGAAAGAGGATATAGGGTTGAATTGGACCAGGAAGCTGAAAAGAAAGGGGTGTCCGGGGGTTCTCCCCCGGATCGTTTATGATAAGTAGTGTAGTGTAGTGTATATAGTCGTTGTCATTGGAGTATGGGAAACGCACCAGCATATGCCTTACGCACATCATCCTGATTCCCAATATCCCCGACCAGGATATCCACGCCCTGCCGCCGCAGCTTGTCCAGCATCTCGCCCTTGGTCTGCAGGCTGTGCGGGCTGGTGAAGACGGCGAAGCGGCCGAAGTGGGCGCGGTCGTCGAGGAGGGCCTGGGTGATGTAGGCGCCGATGGAGCCGGTGGCGCCGAAGATGAGGATGTTGGATTTGTCTGCCATCTTTGATTGCGAACACGATGGATACAATTGCAGTGAAACTGGATGTGTGAATGTGGGACTGAGATGTGGACAACTTGTATGGTGGGTGAGGGGAAAGTGGGTTTTTATATTGACTGACGTATTGTATTGTATTGTAAGCGGGCGGGAATGCGATTACCCCGCGCCGGAATCCAGATCCGCCCTACGAAGAATAGTGAATACATCATATCACATCACATCACATCATACCTTCATAACTTCATTACTAGTATCTGGCTGCTAATTTGCTACACCCACCCTCCGACTCAAGTAACATGCTCCTTCTCCTCCTCCTTCGGAATCCGCACGCAGGTCACTGTAATCAACGCCGCCACCAGCTGACAGCCAAGCGCAAACCACCAGATGGCGCGCAGCCCCGTCAGCCCGACATCGCCGTCCGGGGTCTTGTCCACGCGTGTGCCAATCGCGTCGGCCACACTGGTGAGAATCGCCGCGCTGAGGTTCTGATTCGTCACCAGCAGACTGCCCGCGCTGCCCTGGTACGAGCGGGCGACACTGCTGGTGATGAAGATCGAGGCGGCCGCGAAGGCCAGGTCGGGCCCGAACGTCACCAAAGCAATGCCGGGGAAGGAGAGCGCCCAGTAGGTGGTGTGGGCGGTCTGAGGCAGGAAGAAGGCGGGGCCCAGCGTGAAGGCGAACATGGAGATGGTGTAGATGTAATGGCCGGGGACTAGATGCAGGGTGCGACTGACGACCCAGGTCGCGAACACCCCGACGAGGGCGTTGGGGATGTGGTAGAGGGCCACCGCAACCGGGGTGGCGTGCTGAATGCGCAGCCAGAACTGGATGGCGTAGAACTGCCAGCAGCCAAAGTAGGAGCCAAACCCCAGGAAGTAGGCGATCATCAGCGGGGTGAAGCCCTTCGTCCTCCACAGTCGGTTCGGGATCAGCGGCCGCACCGCGTAGCGTTCAGCGAGGAAGAGGCCCACCAACAGCACCAGCCCCAGCACCGTCAAAGCGATCGTGTACGGGGACCAGTTCGTCACCCCACCCTGCGTGAGGCCAAAGAGCAGACACACGCAGCCGCCCACGGCCAAGCCCGCCCCCAGGTAGTCGAACTGCCTCAGGGAGGGGGCCTCGGTGCCGGCGACGTCGGCTTGCGGGCGCAGCGGCGGGATGGCGAAGAAGGCGGCCACGGCACACAGCCCGGTGAGTATCGCGTTGGACCCGAAGATCCAGGGGAGGCGGTGGAACAGCAGCCCGCCCTGGATGGCGCCGAGCGAGAAGCCAAAGGGGGCGCAGGCCGCCATCGCGCTGAAGACGCGGTTCTTGCGGATCCCCGGCTTGTAGACGCGGCCCAGGATGCTCATACTCCCCGAGACCAGCACCCCAATCGCCAGACCCTGCATGGCCCGCACCAGGAAGAAGAGGATGCGGCGCGAGGGCGAGAGGGAGAAGGCGCCGATGACATTCCACAGTGTCAGCCAGCCAAACGCCCCCACCATCAGGGGTCGGGGCGGGGTGAGGTCGGTCAGGGAGCCCGACACCACGACCGAGAGTCCGTTGGCCACGTTGAAGGCACCCACCAACCAAGGCAGTTCGGTGTTGCTGATGCCCAAGGCCGCCCGGATCGGGATCTGCGGCGCCAGCATGTCCCCCAGAAGGAAAGAAAAGAGCATCAGACCGACGGAGCAGACGGCCACCAGCATGAGCTCCGCGGCGAAGCTGGACAGCTCCGGGGGGATGCCCTGCCGAGCAGCCGTGGAGGCCTCGGGGGGTGGGGAGGCGGCTTCATCGGCGTACACGTTGTCGCCCGCGTAGACGGCGGATGGACGACGGAATCGAGGGCCAGTGGCCGACAGCTCCAGGGCCTCGTCGTCGCTGTCGAGGGGCCGTATGATGGTCTGGGGGAGTTTCTTCAGCACATCAGCGGGCGCAGCAAGCTTGGGGCCCAGCAGAGGGTCGGGGGTCTGCGCCCCCGTGGCTGGAGTAGCAAGGTGACTGCTGCCGAGGCCGGCCTGATCGGAGAATGACGTTCGGCGCGAGATGGCTGCAGAAGATAGCCCCGAGACCGGCTGGTCCTCGATCGGACTGGGGGGGTGGGAGTGATCGGGGGTGGGATCTGGAGGGGCCATGGGGGGAAGAGGTGGATTCACTTGATCATCATGCTGGAGGCGTCGAGCAATGGCAAGGAGGGGTTGATTTATATAGGTGTAGGCAGGGCCCGGAAAAGAATGTCCGGGGGGTGGATGGTGTTTTGACGATGGAGGGTGAGTGTGATGGTGGGTGGTGGTGGTGGTGGCCACGACACTAGGGTTCAAAATTTGCAGAGCTACCCTTCGATCCCTTGCGGTGGTTTGCGCGTCGCCCATCAGGTGGATCCCCCATCCACGGTCGCTCCACGCCTAGAGACTAGTCCCTGGGGACAGACGAGTCTTTAAACGTCTTTACTGTAAAATTCGTCAACCGCTGGAGCCATCGGAAACTGGTTTCCTGGTGGTTTGCCACTGCAGTAGTGGGTCGAGTTATCAGTGAGTGCTGTGCAGGGTGCATCGAGGTGACTTGGGCACCAGTGATGCCTGAGAGAAGACGAAGTACGCAGAAGTCAAAAGTGTTAGTCATACAGGCACATTAATTTAATCACTTAGGGTCAGACTAGCTGTGTGTAGTAGAAATGAGACATGCCAGGTTCATCCTCAGTCGTCATGATCTCCCGATCGACAGCGAGCAGCTGACCGTTGACGCAAAAAGGGACTGGCGATCGTGGGTCGGCCTTCCTTCATGGTTCAGGGGAAAACTCTATAGTACGAGATACTCGCAGTACTATGGAGTAGTCACTAGCAGGCACTGCAAGTCTGTTGGTGAAGGTAGTACGATTCATTCAGGGTGTACTCGTATAACTAGTATAACTATTTATATATCCTCCGTATGTCAACCGCCGTCGGCCCGATCAGTGCCCTATCTCTCGACGACCAACACCACCATCGGCTTTCTACACCGTCTGCTGCTTTGCGGACCCGACCGACGGTCCGAATAGACCAGCTGGACAGTCCACCGAAAGATGAGGAAACCCGGTCACGCAATGGGCAAAGCCGACCGTGGAGAGTGAGCCGATGCCGACGGGATGCGGCCGGCGAGTTGACGTGTGGTCAGCCCATAGACTCCTCTGAAACTGTCCAGATAAACAACGATGGGGTGATGTGATGGGGAAGGGGATGCAGTGTTTGAGCTGTGTCTAGCTATAGAATAGCATGAGAGTACTAGAGAAATACTGTGTAGATGCTGTAGATATATAAAATGCACTAGTAGTGCTTACCATCAGGAAGAGCCTCCCTGTCATCCTTGAACCTGCTTATCATTCAATTCAACCCCGCCCTCTCTGGCACTTAAATATTCTCCTCATCTCACCCTCAATTTTCCATCTCACCACCACAACCACTTCAACACTTCAACCACTACCATGAGCTTGACAGCCATCGGCATCCTCTCCATCGGCGAGATGGGGTTCGGCATCGCCCAGCTCCTACGAGCCCACAACTACCGCGTACTCACCTACGCCGCCGACAGAAGGTACAATGCACCCTCCCCCCCCCAACCCCAATCCGCCTGAGATCTAAGCAACTATCGTACCATCACCATCACCACCACCAATCTAACCGATCTCACCCCCAGCGCACACACCCAACACCGCGCCTGGCTCGCGGAGATCGAACTGCGCCCCTCCCTACAAGACCTCATCGACAACAGCGACGTGCTCCTCTCGATCGTGCCGCCCGATCAGGCCCTATCGACCGCCGACCGCATCATCGCCGCCGCGTCCGCGCGCCACCTCGTGCGCTCCACTCCGCTGTACATCTTCGATCTGAACGCGGTCTCGCCGAGTACAGCGCGGGAGATGGCCCAGCTGTACGCGACACGGGCGCGTGCGGAGGATCTGGTATTTTTGCAGGGGGGAATAATAGGGACGCCGCCTCGGCTGGTGGCCACCCCCTCCTCCTCACCGACGACTACGCATTCAACACCACTACCAGCAACATCATCATCATCATCATCATCATGGAAAAAACCCACTATTATCCTCTCCGGCCCCGGTCCTCTCCCCATCCCCCCGACCCTCACCACCATCCTCAATATCCGCCACATCTCCCCGGAATATGGCACGGCGGCTGCGGTGAAAATGTGTTTCGCGGCACTCACCAAGGGGTTCACCGCATTGGCCATCGAATCCTTCACCACCGCGCAGGGGTTCGGGGTGCTCCCTGCGCTGCGGGAGATGTTGGCGGAACATAAACCCGCGATGCTGGGGATGGCGGAGCGCGGGGTGGTGGGGATGCCGTCCAAGGCGTATCGGTGGGCGGGGGAGATGCGGGAGATTGGGGGGACGGTGTCGGAGGGGGGCGGATTCAGTCCTGAGGTGTATGTATTGATTCTCATTCCGAGGAAATTGGCTTGAGGGTTTGCCTTGCTAACGTTTTCATCCTGGGGGTTAATAGGTTCAATGGCATTGCAGAGGTGTATGCGGCGGTCGCGGCGGATCCCGTGTTAGGGGAAGAGAGACACAAAGTGAAACGGGAGCATGGGGTGACGGTGGAGGAGGTGGTGGGCTGTTTACAGGCGAGTTTGAAGGAGAAGACGGAGTGATCTTTTGTCGTGGGGCGCGGTAGAGATGTCGTGTGTAGAGAGAAGGGGAGTTTTATAGATCAGATCTCGACCAGGACCAATTCCATAGATACACTAAACTACTAATGTAACCCCTTCGGGCCACGGAAACCTAACACTCAAACCCAATCATCAATTGATGTAAACGAACGTCTAAATGTACACGAGAAGAATTATAGTCTAGTCGAATGCGGTCGGCTTACAACACAGCCAGACCGAGGATGCCGACAACAGCGCCGAGCAGGGAGCCAGGCAGGACCCGGCCGGAGCCACCGGTGAACAGAGCGGAGGAGGAAGCGGCAGCAGCCGAGGAGCCAGTGTTGCTGCCACTGCCCGAAGAGCTGGAGCTGGAGCTGGAGCTACCAGCGACAGCGCTGGCGGAGGGGATCAGACCGGCGCTGGCGGAGGGGATCAGACCGGAGCTGGCGGAGGGGCGGAAGCCGGGGTAGGTGCCGTTGCGGCCACCCCAGCTGCCCGCGGAGGCGCCGGAAGAGCCAGAGCCGGAGCCGAAGCCAGTGGCAGAGACGCCAGAGCTGGAGCCAGAGGAAGAGTCAGAGCCGGAGCTGGAGCCAGAGGAAGAGCCAGAGGCAGAGCCGGAGCTGGAGCCAGAGGAAGAACCAGAGTCGGAGCCGGAGCCAGTGGCAGAGGTGCCAGAGGAAGAGCCGGAGCTAGAGCCGGAGCTGGTGCCAGAGGAAGAGCCGGAGCCAGAAGCAGAGCCAGAGGCAGAGCCAGAGGCAGAGCCAGAGGCAGAGCCAGAGGCAGAGCCAGAGGCAGAGCCAGAGGCAGAGCCAGA